AACAAATCTTGTTTCACAAGCAGTGATTTTATCTGTAGATAACGTAACATTCTAAGCAGGCTGTCGATTCTGTCCGCTATACCACATTTTAATAAAACTACATCTATTCTCAAAAAAACCCACAAACACATATTCATAGTAAAAGTAGATTTTTTTATGCTTTATTTAAAAAATAAAAACTAATTTAAATTGCTTGCAGGATTGCTGTTTTTCTCCCAAGAATGTGTTTTGACGCTCGGTGGCTCCCTCGATGCTAAAAGATTTTGGCAAAGTCTGACCTCTTTATCCGGAGTATTTCAACTGTGTTTGTGTTTAAGGAACAAACTGTACAGAACCCGCAGAGTTGTTTTAATATCTCTGTTCACAATATCTGGATAAAAGGAAGAAGAAACAAACGGGAAATGAAAAGATATGAAAACTATAAGTAGCAACGACACCATGGACTGACAAATTATCAATAAACTATTAAATGTATCTAGTAGTAAATTTTGTCAGAATTACTATTTGAAGAAAATGTTTTTACAAGATTCACATATATGTTTTCCAGGATATTGTCTTCCCTCCGAGCATTACGATCTATGGTTTGATTTTAACATGTTTATGTCGGATTATGAGCTGTAAACGATGCTAAATTATCACATCTATTACCATTTACAATTGGTTCAGTGAAAAAGGGCCCTCAAGGTTCTGAGAGACAGTTAAGCCCAAGTGATCACAATCTTGCTGAAGGACAATTTTCATCACAATTATGGACTTGTTGGACATTTGGCAAAATTTCTTAAAAAATCTTTAAACTTGTAATTGGCAGCAGCCATTAATTCAGCCACTTTCCCGATAACAGTACGCAAGGATGGGTGTTGGGATTGTCACCTTCACTGAAAAAGATTTTTTAAATTCTCTCTATGTATAAATAGCCAAACTGCTACCACATCATGGCACACAAAGAAATATAGAGTTAAAGGACCACTATAGGCACCCAGACCACTTCAGCTTAATGAAGTGGTCTGGGTGCCAGGTCCAGCTAGGATTAACCCATTTTTTAATAAACATAGCAGTTTCAGAGAAACTGCCATGTTTACCTATGTGTTAATCCAGCCTCTAGTGGCTGTCTCATTGATTTTCACAGTGAGAAGACGCCAGCGTCCATAGGAAAGCATTGACAATGCTTTCCTATAGACTGGCTGAATGCGCGCGCGGCTCTTGCCGCGCATGCGCATTCAGCCAATGCCAGAAGAAGAGGGAGGAGAGGAGGAGGAGAGCTCCCCGTCGGCGCTGGAGATAGAGGTAAGTTTAACCCCTTCCTCTCCCCAGAGCCCGGTGGGAGGGGGACCCTGAGGGTGGGGGCACCCTCAGGGCACTATAGTGCGAGGAAAACGAGTATGTTTTCCTGGCACTATAGTGGCCCTTTAATAGTGGGTAATGTGATGGGATTTATTATCATGGATCATTATTCCAATTTTAACACACAGAAAAAATCCTAAACTAATAATGGGAAATGTCTTCTCCCGGTTCGCTAATAGAACTCCTCCCCTTACGCTTGATGCGATACTGACCTTCAGGGTTGATAGGATTTTGCAGAATTTCTCCATCCTTAAGAAGATCCATAGCAAAGGATACATTGTGTATCTGTCAGGGAGAATATGTTAGATCGATGAATGAGATCAGCACACGGAATGATAGCGCACTGCATTCATTTTAGATACAACGTAATACACGGCTCTGCACTCACATCCCTGAATACCTTCATCACCCGGGGTTTGAGTTAATCTTCCTACATGTATCCTAGAATATATGTATTTATTAGAATTCTTAATCTTTCTTTCAAAAACGCCTAAAAGTACTAATGAATAATGCTGTATTTTTCGAGAGCAGAAATACATTTAAAAAACTGAAACACTGCCTGAGGCGAACACATTAATTCACTCTTATATTCATGAAAAACCACTTGTGATGAACTGCAGTAACATTCTGACTGATTCTCTGCCATTTTAGTCATGTTAGTACCTCTATTCATTTCATTAACGTGGATCATTTCCATTAAAATGGCTGGGATGCAGTCCTTCCCTTTAACCCCTTAAGGACCAAACTCCTGGAATAAAAGGGAATCATGACATGTCCTTAAGGGGTCCTTCTTCACCATTACTTATCTTCATAACCTGGAGTTTGTACACAAATGCAGATATTGCCCCTAAAGCTTATGCTCTAACAGACTGTGAGATACAAACTGACATTAACAATCTCCACTACCCCGACCCCCCATCCTTTGCATGTACAGACATACTGCGTGTATGTGCTTGTATGTTTGTCCTTAAAGGACCACTAAAGTGTGGGTGCAGTGGCGGGGCCCGGAGCACCTGCTCTTCCTGTTAAAACCCCCCTCCCTGCCTCCGATACTCACTATACAAACCCTCACTGGTGTGGGGGGTGGAGGGACATAGATCGGTATATTAAGACGATAGCATTAGGAATACATGTTTGTATTTGTTTGTAATGCTATAATGTTCCTGTAATACTGTGCTGCCCAATATGGTAGAACTCTAAATAAAATATGTTGTTAGTATTTCTTTTCTCTATTTGATTTTTATTTAAAGTTTGCTATAGTGTGACTGAGTGCAGAACATATTGCCAGTAAATAAATGGTAATAACAATAACAACATTTTCAAACTTCACAGAATCTGCCAAAACAATAACATGTAAGAGAATGTGTGGCCCTCTCCAGGATTCACGGGGCCCATTCAGAGTGAACGGGAACATTTTCGTACTTGCTTTCCGCATGATTGCATGATTTCCCATTTAAGAAGTCGAGACTGACAACTTGATTCGAGGTTTTCATTTCTCTGACATTTGTGAACAGACAGGTGGAAATCGGAAGAATATGTAAATTTGTACAAATGTTTTGATTTCAGTGACAGCATAAATAAAATGTTTACTCATGATTGTGCGAAGCCAGGAGAATCGTTCTCCCGACAGAGACTCATGAATCTTTTATCAAACACGTGAAAATTTGTATTTTATGTAAATTCTGCTGAACGAGCTGTTGGCTCTGGAGACCGGCTCCTTGTGATAGAGTGAATGTGTGACGGTTTGTTGCAGGTAAGGTTATTCAAAGCTTATTGGTAAAAAGCATGGAAAAGCACGCCGCATTTAGCGACAAAACATGGACAAAAGGCAAATGACCAATGAGGCTGTGACGGCTTGTTTCAAAAGAAAAATACACAAAATAAAGTTCTACTCAAACTCCCACTACTCTTGTCTATGGTATTTATCAGCCCAAACACATAAAACTAAATCAGAAATCACAGCAATGTTGCAGTGCTGCCGCCCACCCCATATGTACCCCATTAAGTGTGTAGGGGATCGGAAGAAGACCCCTCTCGGTCTCATTAGAGGTTCTGCCTTTAAGCTGAAAGCAGCGAGGTGAATATTAGTGTTGGACTCACCTGAACGTGGCAAGTGAGCTTACACTTTAATGGCCATTGGAGTGATACTACAAACCTCACAACGATTTGGGATAGTGCGTGGGGAACGTCTTTGCTTTTGTTCTAAAGGAATTTTAACACTAAAAACAATGCGATTTTTGTCTTTTAGTCTTTTTAAGAGATAACTGCACATGCCAAATCTTAGAGAAATTATGTTTAAAAGATAATGTAGTCCTCAGAGCTACGAGCCAATTCCTTTTCAGACATGCAAGATTAGGGGATGGGTGTCCACTTCAGAGGTGCAGAGTTGGGGGCAATAACCACAGTGGATCGTCAAAGTCAATCAGTACATGTAAATTAACACAGTTATGTACTTATACGCATGGAAGCACTACAGCTGCGGTGGGAAACGAAGACTAACTGAGACTATTGGGAGATACAGTCCATGAAATCCTGAATACAGTACCCACGAACACTAATTATCCTGGTTACAATGACTCTGTTAGCACCATAATGACGCGCTGTAGGTGCTGCGAAATGATGGCTGAGAATGTCACACTATACCTGATCATCCTTTGAGCTGGGGGTCAGAAAGAAGCTGCCCAGATTTAGAAAGTAGCCTTCAAGTTGTCCAATTAGCAGCAGTAATATTACCCCATCTGCAAACTAACGAAAAAACAAACAGAACAACAAGCAAACGGTCAGGTTAATGCCGAACATTCGCTGAGAATATAGAAAGCAGTTGTTCTTTGCTGCAAATTTCATTTCATGTTCATTTTCTGGGAGCACACAGTGAGATCCAAAGTTTGTATCCAAAGGTAGAACAGGAAAACAGAAAAAAATAATAAAGAATGAAAAAAAACTTCTCAACTGTATAAAATAAAACAAAAAAGGCCGGCCAGCCAGCCATGCTTTACAAAAAATATCAAAAAGTTTATTTAAAGGAAAGGAAGTCTGCTCCCGGTGTATTCATTTTTTTCACAACATTATCATAAACAGTAAAATATGCAATACAATAACAACTACAATTATATTGTATATAGAAACAGGCCAGGAATCAAAGCAGGGCCATTCGATTTTAATAGATCCTAGAGGAAGTTTCACTAGAGGATTTAACTCCACACAGTAATCACAAATTAATTATAAAAATTAAATTTATTGTGACAATAATAATAAAAATAATATAAGTAACATGTGACAAAATTAATTAATTTAATTTAATTAAATAAAACCAGCATAATTACTAGTTATGTTGTAGATTTTCTATCAGATGTGTAGATATGTCCCAGGAATTTCAAATGATAGTATGATGAGAATTGTGGGAAATAGAAAAGTTTTCAGAGTTCTGAAATTGTGTTAGTTGGAAAAGGTAATAGTAAGAATTAGGTGCGACCAGCTTTTGATTCAGATGTCGGATCTTAGCTGTTAGATGTGAGTCCAAGAGAGTGTTTACAGTGTCCAATGGGCCGAATCTGTAAGTCCCCAAGAGTTTTTCCTTTCTCTTCCCTTTGTCCTTACTTTTAAAGGGGCAAATTCTCTGCATGTCACTAGTCGATAGGACCAATAGGGAACTGTAGGTGTGTCTTCCCTACAGACTACGATCTAGTTTTTGGTCAGTAGATGGCGCAATTACATCACAGAAAATTCTTGTCAGGGGGTCCATTTACCTTTTTGTATAATGGGTTAACTGAATTTGGTGATGCGTTTGACGTAATTTTTTGGAATCTTTATGTCTGCTATAATTTACACAACCTGTCAACTTCAAGGACTTTTCCCCAGTCTTAGTGTCTGGGATATACCTTTAAATCTAGCTTTCTGACTTGTCTAAACTCTTCTTCACCTCTTTCTTACAATGCAACTTTGTAAGATTTTGTTATTTTTTTGTTTTTTTTAGAAAGTAAAATTAATTACTTAGTGTTATCTGTCATTTGATGTCTGGTTTTCCTGTGTGAAACTGTGTTTAAGATTATTTATACTCCACTAACATTAGTAAATAATATGATATTTATTCATTGATATTTATCCATGAATAGTCTATATTATAAACATAATACTAATTATGTATGATTAATATAATAATAGTAAATTATAAGTGGATAGTGTGTGTTTATATAGCATTCAACCCCCCTTTTGCTTTAGACATCAAAATAGGAGTTAAAAGATGACAGTGTAACGCAGTCATGTCAATGTATACGCACAGGTTTAATTCTCTTAATCTGGTTTGTTTTATTAAACAATGAAACAGGTAGAAGTGTAGTCAACACCTGGTTTACAGGTCTGTAAGAAATTCTACTCTGTTACAATTATTCACTAAAGTGAAATCTGTCAGGAATTAAAAATTAATTTAAAGTATATTTAAAATTTAGGCCTAAATAAAAGAACTGGAAACATAGATTACTTTTTTCCTGATTTTGCTACTTTGGACTAACATTTAATACTCACTTTTTATTTCAAATTCCTGCAAATTCACACTTTAATGAATAACTCTATAAAATCTGACAATTAAAAACTAGAATGTCCTTTTCCTTTAAAGGGATACTAAGCACCAGAAACACTGGTTCTATGTAGTCGTTCTCGTGCACAGAGTCTGTCTCTGCAGCCTCAACAATGCGAACACTGCCTTTCCTGAGAATCACAGTGTGTATATAGCATTCTCATACAGTCATTAGAGGAACTTCCAGATCTGGTCTTGCCATGTTTCCAATACCGATCGTTTGTGTCTTCAGGACAGGAGATGCTGATTGGTGCAGCTCAAGGATTGCTGCGCATGTACACCACCCCCAATGCTTTTCCAAACATCTATGTAATTAGTAAAACACTTGAACGTTGGGAAAACATGTCTTTAATGACAGACTGGTACTTTACCATCACTCCATTATTTTTTTACTTCTGACATTTAAAAACCTGGAAATCGGGTGAAAAGTGAATATTTCCTGTTTTTGATTATAATTTTTCCACTCTCTCTGATGGTTATATTTGAACATTAAACACTACTCTATTCTTCACCCAAATATCCCTCTTTTTATTGGATTATCCAACGCATGTTTTTGGCTGATCAGACTAATTTCTTCATGTCAGGTAAAACAAAGAAATAGAATTTATAACCAGAAAAACATTGTATTCCAAACAGTGGTTCAATGTTTTTCATGTTATTTTCATATACTAAGGTCTATTGATGAGAATATTAAATGATCCAGTATCCCAGGGGGGGGGGCAGCATCAGTTCTTGAATATAATGGTTATCATTGGTTATTATATATGATGTCACCTTGTTAATTCCAAACAAACACATATCATCCCCCTACCTGAGAGTCTAGGTCTGTCACTGTCAGGCCAAGGTTCGCCAGCGGTTTGTTCACAAACTTAACGATTGCCTGTGAGAAAAGAAACATTGAAAACATTGCTGTAAAAAAATACAATACATTTACTTAAAAATAAAAAAAGGAATCATCAGACATTCTGCAAAAAAAAAAAGCAATTCTGGAGCATACTTCTCAATTGATGGATGGTGCTAAATACAGGGATATTCTTGAGCCAAACCTGTACAACTCTGTGCGTGATTTGAGGCTAGGACAGAGGTTCACCTTCCAGCAGGACAATGACCCCAAACACACTGCTAAAGCAACACTTGAGTGGTTTAAGGGGAAACATGTCAATTCGTTGGAATGGCCTTGTCAAAGCCCAGACCTCAATTCAATAGAAAATCTGTGGTCAGACTTAAAGATTGCTGTTCACAAGCACAAACCATCCAACTTGAAGGAGCTGGAGCAGTTTTGCAAGGAGGAATGGGCAAAAATCCCAGTGGTAAGATGTGGCAAGCTCATAGAGACTAATCCAAAGCGACTTGGAGTTGTGATTGCCGCAAAAGGTGACTTTAGGGGGTGAATAGTTATGCACATTGACCTTTTCTGTTATTTTGTCCTATTTGTTGTTTGCTTCACAATAAAAAAATAAAAATTTTCAAAGTTGTGGGCATGTTCTGTAAATTAAATGATGCAAATCCTCAAACAATCCATGTTAATTCCAGGTTGTGAGGCAACAAAACACGAAAAATGCCAAGAGGGTGAATACTTTTGCAAGGCACTGTAGACACTTAATAATATAAAACATATAAATCCTAATAAATCACCGCCTTCTTTTTATATATGGAGTTAAATATATAATAAAATCATTAATTTACATTGCTAATTATAAAATGAATTCTGTCCATCATTCTCCACTATTTAACACTATTTAAGTCTCTGTAAGAAACATGAATTCACAAACTAAATTTATTTCCAGAAATTAATTGATCTCCATGCATTGGTGACATTTTTTAAATGCTATTTATTTTCGGGTTAAAATTATAAAATATAAAAAAAAACTGTTGATACTTCAAAGATGGCTGCTCGTTAACTCACCTGCTTTACTTCCTGAACTTTATCTGGAGTTTTTTCAAAAAGTAGATCAAATGCGTCAGACTCTGGAACCAACATGAAAAGAGAACAAAATCTGTGACCTCTCTGCGAGGGGGAAATCAACTCGCAAATAGTGTGTAGCCGGAGAGAAACTGTAAACTGTGCCTCCTTCTCCTAATGGTACACAGGACATGGGATATTGTGCACAGAACGTTATTTCAATGTGCTAATGAAAGGTGATGACCTGCAGCATGGACAGCCTATGCCACAGCGAAAATCAATATATTAAAGGGTGATGCTACAGGAAAACCTCAATCGGTTGGATTTTATTTTATTATATTTTTTCAAAGGAACACTCCACTGCCCCAAAAAACAAAACTAGAATCACTGTTTAGTAGATATACCCCATAGGAAAACATGCATGCATTTAATTATGCATTTTTTTAAATCTAAAAACTGCTTGCAATAGCTGTAGGTCTCTTGTCTGCAGCCTCTGCAAGCCCTCCCCTTCTAACCCCGCCCAGACTTTCTGTGTCTGTCCAATCACAGACTTCCCAATGCAGCTCAATGAGAAGTCTTTGCAAGGCAGGTGTTCTGGCCAATTGCTGCCTCTTGAGTTTATCTCCACTGAGCTAAAAAAACTGGAAGTAGCAGTACTAGTTGTCTGATTGACAGTCAGGGGGGTGTTACAAGGTTAATGTATGAAAGTGTGCCTAAAGTCCCCTGTAGATGCAATGTTTTGTGGGTTCACCTAGAGTACAAATTTATGGAAAAGGTTGTTTATTCTCCACTCGCCACGCAGGATGACTGGACCAGCTCTCTAACCTGCTAGCTATGGGTTTACACAGTCTGGCTCACTGTTTAGTAAACGGGGCCCCTACAAGACAATCAGCAGGACTGAGCATTGTACAAGAGCGGCCTGTGGTTCCACCCTCTCGCTGTGCTGGTGAAAGAGCTCAGCTGAAGTTGTGTTTGGGTCATGTGAACACTTGGGGCCAAACATGGACAATTAACCTTACTGACTCCATCAGAGAGGCTTATTTCACAGCCAAGTGGAGTCCAGCAGGAGATGGGAAATGTGTGATCTTTCATAACTGGAACTTTGTCATTTAAAATAAAGTAAATCTTGTGTAAACGAGGGATTGGGGGTAAATTACATATTTTTAACACCCTTTGGACCATTCTGGTATGGAAGGAGTTAAACAAGCACATAACATGCCATATCCAGTATAAGGGCTAAAGCAATGAATATCTGGGTAGAATGTAACCCTGTCTGTAATGAGCTACTCCGCAAAAAGAGGTGTTTGGAAGAGAATAAAATGACAGAAAAACATATTACCGTGGATTGGGAAGCTATACCTTGGTAAGAACTCACTCACATTGTATCTAAGCAGGTTTAATGAGATATTCCAAAAACTAACAATGTTTCTCCTTTAAAAGGATTCAATTTACATTTCTATTCTTCTCTTTTATTAATAACTATAGGGAGTTTCTCCTCGGTAAGTACAATATTTTGTACCTTGTCATACTGGTAACAGCAGAATCTGTCACGTTTACCAGGTGACAAGTCTGAGACTCGGTGAAATATTTCTCACGAGGAGAGATGTGGGGGGGGGGAGGGAGATTTGACACAATGTGTCACACACACGCCAGTTCGCATCCCTATCACAAAATCTGGAGCTTTTTCAAACTCCCGGGTCGACATCCTCGCTTTTCAATATTTTAGAGTTGCCAGGGAAACCGCGCCAGAGCTCGGCATCTCAAAGCTCTACCTGGTTTCTCTGTAAGGGTCATTGCATTTAGCTCTGAAAAGTCAGTAACAGAATCTGTTCCACAGCCGTGAATAAAACATCAAGGCACTTACTGAGAGACGAATCCCCGTCACTGAACGCATCCGCGGGCAGGAAATTCAAAGCAAAAAACATGTTTTAATGAACGAGAGAGAAACGGGGAGAAAGAACAAAATAAAAACAGAAGCACGTTGTAAACACACACACTCATGGAAGCAATTATTAGTGTTAATAAAAAAAGGGGGGGATTTCTTAACATTTTTATAATAGAATAAAGAAGACAAAAGCATGCCCTGTACTATACTAACTGTTCACAGATTATAAATATTATAATTATTCATTAATCTGGGAATTAATGGCAACTCAACAAGTAAATTGTAAGTTTTTATCCACAGATGCTATAGGGTCACCTGGTGGTCAGAAGTGGTACTGCAATAACTCATCAAACACCACAGGCAGTGTGCGTACCCTGACTTTCATAGATTGAGGATACATGCGCCAAATTACAATTAAACTAAGCTTAATTCTGCCGTCTGGTCTTCTCATGTTAAAAACAAGATGGAGCTAACTTTGTGATCTGCATATTTTAAGAATTTTGGAGACATTGGAGGAGATATGAGGTCAGGCGGTTACCTGCTGAGGGTGAGAAACTCCACGGCCTTTTCGGTCTTCATTCCACTTTTGGTTGGCTGATACATAAAAACACCAAAAAATATATTAATTATGATAAATATCACCATTAATCCGCACAGGAAATGAGACCCCCTGATTTAATACCTTTAATACTTGGCCTTTAAAATGCTCATTTGTGAAACAGTATTAACTACAGCGGGGCCCAGCAGAAACCACGTTACAGGTTTTGAAAAGCTTGACAATATAAGATGTAAAATAACAACGTGTTTCCTGACAGGAAAGGTATTGTGCTGGAGCTTAGGAGATTTTCAGCTATCGGAACAAACGATCAGTCCTGTTACCGGGAAAAAAATATTCTACATCAAATCAACAGAGCACAAAGAACCGTCTATATATTTCTCTCTATGTATCCATTGTGTGGGAAGTTTTAAAAATACTTAAATATTTTATAAGGGCTGTTTTCTACCCACTTAAAGTGCTATTCTAAGCACCAAAACAACTTTAGTTTAATGAAGTGATTATGGATGTTTAGAACATGCCCCCTGCAGTCTCAATTCTCTGCCATTTAGGAGTTAAATCACTTTTGTTTCCGTTTAAGCAGCCCTAGTCACACCTCCCCTGGCTGTGACTCAAACACAGCCAACATTATACTATGGTTTTCATTGTTTAATCAGATCTGACAACACAGTGTGTTTACTTTAGAAGTTTGCATCATGTGCTGGGAGCAAGTACCAGAGCAGGAAATAAGAAATTCGGAATTAAACAGACTATGCAACAAGGTAAGCTAAACAATTTGGATTTTTTCAGGAACAATGTAGGAAAATGGGAGGTATGGCTAGGAATGCATAAACAATGTGATTTAACACCTATCTCTTAACTCTGTGAAACGCATCAGAATCTTTCAGCAACTCTGCAAAGCGCAAAATCCAGACCAGCTTGTGGGCACCAGAATATAACTTGTCAACTTACACTTATTATTGGGTTTAGTGAATTGACCCCTTTTACAAAAGTTAACATACTATTATAGAAATATTTTGTGCATCATGCAAAGCAACTAGATTTGAATCAAAATATAAAAACATTTCTCGGCCTTACATTTATTTAATTTTCATATATATTAACTTATGTTTCTCTTTTTCCCACCCTTGAATGTTGCTACCACACTGACTTCTGACCTATTCTGCCCTCTACTCTGTGCTGAAATGAAACCAAGTTCGTCTCCACTGAACCCGTTTCCTGCATCGCAGCAAATTAAAGAGGACATGGTAGAGTTTTTTTGCTAAAGGATTTTAGTTTTTTTTTTTTACTGTTATCACAATCAGGGCCGCCATCAGGGCATGACAACCATAATGGTTGTCATGGGCCCGGACTGCTCAGGTCGTCCCGGGCCCCACATTCAGTGGCGTACATACCGGGGTCGCAGGAGGCCCGGCCGCCCTGCGACCCGGTATATACCCACTGTGGCCAGCCTCTTCTCCTAGGGGGCCCAGCAGCCGGTCACCTTAGGGCCCCCTGAGGCTGGCCCTGGTGTCACTGGGCGGGCTGGTGTGCGCGCGAAGGAGCACTCTCCCTTGAGTGCTTCCTCTTCAGCTCCCTCCCACACCGCACTGATACCGGAGCCGGAATACGGGGGAGAGTGCTCCCTCGCGCGCGCCAGCCCGCCCACAGGACCGGCTGCCGGGTGACACCACTGGACCCCAGGGAATCCCATCAGCACTCCCAAAGGTAGGGAGGCTGGGGGGATGAATAAAAAAAAACAAAAAAGAAACGTGTGTGTGTGTGTGTGTGTGTGTGTGTTAGAGTGTGTGTGTGTGTTAGTGTGTGTTAGAGAGTGTGTGTGTGTTAGAGTGTGAGTGTGTGTGTGTGTGTTAGTGTGTGTGTGTACACTATACACACTATACACTAACATTTACACACACTATACACTAACATTTACACACACTATACACTAACATATACACGCAATATTCACTAAAATTTACACACACTACATCCTTAAACAAACATACACTCTGTAGTCACTACACACACTACATCCTTACACAAACACACACTCTGGAGTCACTACACACACACTCTGCAGTCACTACACACACTACTTCCTAACACAAACACACACTCTGCAGTACCTACACAAACACACACACACTTTGTAGTCACAACACACACTACATCCACTACACAAACACAATGTCTGCAGTCACTATACACACATTAAATACTTACACAAACACACACTATGTCATCACTCTACACACACTACATCGACTACACAAAGACACACTCTGCATCCACACACTGTATTCACTAAACACTACATCCACTACACACACTCTGCATTCACTACACACACACACTACATCCACTACACAAACACACACTCTGCATTCACTATACACATTGCATTTAATACACACAAACACTACATCCACTACACACACATACACACACTGCATTCACTATAAACACACACTACATCCACTACACAAACACACACTCTGCATCTAATATACACCTCATACATTACACAAATGTACAATCTGCATCCACTATACACACTGCATCCGTTTCCACTTAACACACACTCTGCATCCACTACACACATTCTACATCCACTATACACACACCAGAATCAGTACAGACACTGCATCCCTGTGAGCGGACTCGGGGGGGGGGCAGCACTTTGGGTGGACTCGGGTGCAGGCACGGGGGGCCCAGACCTTGAGCTGTGTCAGGGGCCCCAAAATTTCTGATGGCAGCCCTGATCACAATGCCATCACATTTAATGTCACATTAAAATAAAAATCCTTAGAAAATGTAATTAGCCTGTCCTTAGATCCCTTGTTACATAATGTTTTATTTAACCCTTGTCTTTTAAAGTGGCTGATACGGGACATATTCGTCCCTCTGGCATTGAGAGGATTAATGAGGGCACTGGTTTTATTATTATTATTTATATAGCACCAACAAGTCCTGCAGTGCTGTACAATGGTTTATAAATCATGTCTTACTGTTTGCGGAGGGAGCTTCTAAACAAACGTTCTAAACATGGAGCAGTCACCTTGGAAACCAAAGTTCTGCTCCTCATTCCGTCACATTTATCACTTTGCTCCAGAATCGCTCTTTATGAAGAACTTATTGCGTCAAACATTCCCGGTTTTACTCTACATAAATCATGAGCTGCAAAAAGCTGACCGGTGGATTTTTGAAGATACCACCCTGGAAAAGAAGCCAAGTCGGAGAATTTATTCTAATTTTAAACTCATGGGTCAGTTCCTGAGAAATCACACTTTAATGAATCAACGTGCGCATGTTTGTGGAGAGCAAACAAATATCTATAGATGAAATGATCGAAGGGTTTAGAAATGCATCACTCCTCACCTTTCACAAAATGATTATATTCAAAATTCCACAAAAAAAATGTGCATTTATTTTATGCCTAATCTGAGACAATTTCCCGAAAATATGAGGGTTCTGAAAAAAAATGAGTAATTCTGGGGCTAAGTTCTAAACTTGGAGCAGTCAACATTGAAATCAGTGGAAAATTACTGATTAGTGCATGTAATGGAGGCTCCCATGCCACAGATTCCTGGAGAGGCGTGTAGGCCAGCCTCCTACCCAGAGACTATGGACCTGGTCCCAGAGACCCCCTTTCTCGTTGAATAGTTATTTTCACTCACATCGCTATTAGAACAACTGATGCAGGACTCTCGGCCAGTTACCCCTCCAGTCCATGCTTTGCAGCTCATTGCCCCTTTCCCGGGGCCCAAGACTCATCCCAAGCTGGCCCGGGAGAATACAAACTCTATGGAAACCTTGGTTGGATCAGAGAATAGCCGCGACAAAAGACACCTAACATGTTAGGGATTGGGCCTCCCTGGAGTTCCAGGAACCCCATTTTGTAAGACCTGGAAAAGCAGCCAAATCCCTGGAACTCTAAAGGGGATCAGAGAATAGCTGCGACCTGGTAAAATTTTACCAGCTCATAACTTGGGCACGGATTCTCGGATCAGAACGCTTTTTGGACAATATGGGCGCTCAGTCATGAGCTTTCGAATGAGGTATAGCAGGTGAGGATATGTTATTGTTGAGTTATTATATAAACTGTAAACAGAATAGAAGTTATTGTGTGATTGTGAAACAGCTATAGTCTTGGTGTCAGACAGGTAATTCAGTTATGGCGACAAACTAATTACAGTGAGGGAAAAAAGTATTTGATCCCCTGCTTTTTTTTTAACATTTGTCCACTGACAAAGAAATTATCAGTCTATAATTTTAATGTTAGGTGTATTTTAACAGTGAGAGACAGAATAACAAAAAAAAAACAAAAAAAAACAGAAAAACGCATGTCAAAAAACTTATAAATTGATTTGCATGTCAAAGAGTGAAATAAGCATTTAAACCCCTATCAATCAGCAAGATTTCTGGCTCCCAGATGTCTTATGTACAGGTAACAAGCTGAGATTAGGAGCATCCCGTGGTTTACTTAAAGGGAGTGCCCCTAATCTCAGCTCGTTACCAGTATAAAAGACACCTGTCCACAGAAGAAATTAATTAAATTTCAAACTCTCCACCATGGCCAAGACCAAAGAGCTGTCCAGTTATGTCAGGGACAAGATTGTAGACCTACACAAGGCTGGAATGGGCTACAAGACCATCGGCAAGCAGCTGGGTGTGAAGGTGATTCAGTTGGTGCGATTATTCGCAAATGGAAGAAACACAAAATAATTGTTTCCATCGGTCTGGTGCTCCATGCAAGATCTCACCTTGTGGAGTTCCAATGATCATGAGAACGGTGAGGAATCAGCCCAGAACTACATGGGAGAATCTTGTTCAGGGCTCGAGTCCTGCAGGAACGCATGGGAACGGCGTTCCCGCACTTTTTCCACAGCAGGAACGCCGTTCCCGTTACCTGTCCTGCAGGACCGGCCCTGCTACCTGCACAGAGGGGCCATCACACGCTGTGTTCCCTCTCCAGCTATAACTCTCGCGAGACCCGCGGCTGTTACCATGGCAACGCTCCGCACAGGCGAGTCTCGCGAGAGTTAGAGCTGGAGAAGGAACACAGCCTGTGATGGCCCCTCTCTGCAGCGGCTGGTTCCCTCCAGCATACCACCGGACCACCAGGCGATCTCCCCCCTCCCTGACAAGGTAAGAAGCAGGGAGGGGGGGGATAAAATAAAAAAATATAAACACATAAAGTAAGAAAAAAATGCTTCCCCCCCCCCACCCATCATCCAGCACACACACACCCATCATCCAGCACACACACACCCATCATCCAGCACTCACACACACACATTATCCAGCACTCACACACCCATCATCCAGCACTCACTCACACATCCATCATCCAGCACTCACTCACACACACATCATCCAGCACTCACACACCCATCATCCAGCACTCACTCACACACATCATCCAGCACTCACACACACACACTCATCCAGCACACACACACACACTCATCCAGCACACACACATCATCCAGCACACACACATCATCCAGCACACACACACATCATCCAGCACTCCACACACACACACATCATCCAGCACACACACACACTCATCCAGCACTCACTCACACACATCATCCAGCACCTCAGACACAAACATCCACAGCACACACACACACACACATCATCCAGCACCCACTCACACACCCACCATCCAGCACACACACACACATCATCCAGCACTCACTCACACATCCATCATCCACACACACACACACATCATCCAGCACTCTCACTCACACACACATCATCCAGCACTCACTCACACACATCATCCAGCACTCACTCACACATCCATCATCCAGCACTCACTCACACACCCATCATCCATCACTCACACACCCATCATCCATCACTCACACACCCATCATCCATCACTCACACACCCATCATCCATCACTCACACACCCATCAACCAGCACTCACACACCCATCATCCATCACTCACACACCCATCATCCAGCACACACACACCCATCATCCAGCACACACACACCCATCATCCAGCACACACACACCCATCATCCAGCACACACACACCCATCATCCAGCACACACACACCCATCATCCAGCACTCACACACCCATCATCCAGCACTCACACACCCATCATCCATCACTCACACACATCATCCAGCACTCACACACCCATCATCCAGCACTCACACACATCATCCAGTACACACACATACACACACATCATCCAGCACTCACACACACATCCAGCACCTACAAATGATCAATCCAGCACACTACCACATCATCCAGCACCCACACACAAACACACACACCTATCATCCAGTACTCACACACCTATCATCCAGTACTCACACACCTATCATCCAGCACTCACACACCCATCATCCAGCACTCACACACCCATCATCCAGCACTCACACACATCATCCAGCACACACACACATCATCCAGCACACACACACATCATCCAGCACACACACACATCATCCAGCACACACACACATGTTTTTCTGCTAAGGGGAGAGGACAACTGCACCGCATCAAAGAGATGATGCTGTGTACCGTCAAATCTTGGGTGAGAACCTCCTTCCCTCAGGGCGTTGAAAATGGGTCGTGGATGGGTGCATGACAATGACCCAAAACACACAGCCAAGGCAACAAAGGAGTCGCTAAAGAAGAAGCATATTAAGGTCCTGGAGTGGCCTAGTCAGTCTCCAAACATTAATCCCATAGAAAATCTGTGGAGGGAACTGAAGGTTCGAGTTGCCAAATGTCAGCATCAAAACCTTAATGACTTGGAGAGGCTCTGCAAAGAGGAGTGGGACAAAATCCCTACTGAGATATGTGCAAACCTGGTGGGCAACTACAAAAAACATCTGACCTCTGTGATTGCCAACAAGGGTTTTGCCACCAATTACTAATTCGAAGGGGTCAAATACTTATTTCACTCACTGACATGAAAATCAATTTATAACTTTTTTTGACATGTGTTTTTCTAGACTTTTTCGTTATTCTGTCTCTCACTGTTAAAATACACCTACCTTTAAAATTATAGACTGATAATTTCTTTGTCAGTGGGTAAATGTTCAAAATCAGCAGGGGATCAAATACTTTTTTCCCTCACTGTATGTCCTGGACTCCAAGACTCGGGGGAGGAACTTGCATTGTTGTAACTGATTACCTCCTGTGGGGAATGTGCCTATAAATACCTGTGTAGTGCTCAATAAAAATTGTTGCTGTTTTAACCCTCACCAAGTGTCATCTGGTGTTTGGGAAAAAGGCTGGGATCATAGCACTTTTCGAGAAGGGCCACACAAGCTTTAAACACAGCATCCCGTTCCAGAGTGGAAAAGGCCTTCAGTGTTCACCTGATGCAAATCACAAAAAACAATTCTATACAAAGAAACTGACTGAATAGAAATTTGTAAAAGTTTCCAGCTTTGAGAATAATCCAATGTAAATTTTATAACCTAACTGAAAACATACCGACGCATTTTACACATTTTGATGTTGTTGCTTAAAATTAGAAATTCACTTTGAATTCCCTGTAACTCACAGCTTTGAGGATAACCTGGTTCCCCTGAAATTAAATGGTGACCATCAGGGCCGGCGCGTCCATAAGGCGGCACAGGCGGCCGCCTTAGGGCGCACCGGCTCTGGGGGCGCAAAATTCCAGTGACCGGCAGGAGGGAAGTGCTCCCTCCTGCCAGGTCACCTCCTGGATCCCCGGCGCGGCTTGCGGCTGAATTGGATGCCGAGGGAGCTCTGATCTCTCTGATCTGCTCCCTCGCTGACTGATGACGTCATATTCCCGCTCCCGCGGCATCAGTCAGCAGCCTGCGAGGGAGCAGATCAGAGAGATCACAGCTCCCTCGCCACCTAGGAATCCAATTGCCTCCCAGCAGCCCCACTGGACCACCAATGAGAGACCCACGCCAGCTCTCCAGGTAGGGAGGCTGGGTGGGAAATTTTAATTTAATTTAGATGATTAATTACTGTTAGTGTGTGTGTGCATGTGAGTGAGTGTGTCTGTCAGTCAGTGTGTGTGTGTGTGTATGTGTGTCTGTCAGTGTGTGTGAGTGTGTGTGTGAGTGTCTGTCTGTCAGTCAGTGTGTGTGTGTATGTGTGTCTGTCAGTATGTGAGTGAGTGTGTCTGTCAGTGTGTGTGTGAGTGTGTCTGTCAGTGTGTGTATGTGTGTCTGTCAGTGTGTGTGTGTGTGTATGTGTGTCTGTCAGTGTGTGTGTATGTATGTGTGTGTGTGTGTGTGTGGTTCTGTCAGTGTGTGTGTGTGAGTGAGTGTGTCTGTCAGTATGTGCATGTGTGCATGTGAGTACATGTGTCTGTCAGTGTCTGTGAGTTTGTGTGTGTGTGTGTTTGTCAATGAGTCTGTCAGTGTTTGTGTGTCTGTCAATGAATGAGTGTCAGATAAGTGAGTCTGGCTGTCAGAGATGTCTGTGTGTTTGTCATTGAGTGTGTGTAACTGTCAGTGTTTCTACACCCCTGACTGTAGCGTGGCCAAGCGGAGTGTACCGTGGTACAGGAACTTCTGTTTCCTGTACCTAGCAGGACTGACAGGAAAAGCTCACTGTACCGGGATTCGCTCCGCTCAGCCACGCTACAAGAAAGGTAGGAGGCACACCAGGAAGGGGAGGGGACCACTATGGGGGTGGGTGGCGCACCAAGGGACATGGAGAAGAGGGGAGAGATACCCTAAGGTACAGGAAAAGGAGGGAGGGGGGGAGAGGAACACTAAGCGACAGGGAACAGAGGGGGGAGGGGAGAGGAACACTAAGGGACAGGGAAAGGAGGGGGAAGGGAAAGGAACACTGAGGAACAGGGAAAGGAGGAGAGAAGGGAGAGGAACAGTAAGGGTCAGAGAAGGGAGGGGACCATTAAGGGACAGGGAGAGGGGCTGGATGTAAAAGAAACACACAGCGGGGCTTGAGAAGGAAAGAGACACACAAAGGAGCTGGGAAGAATAAAAGACACAGAGGAGAGATAGGAGACACACAAAGGCAAAAATAGGAGATAAAATACACTAAAGGGAGTCAGATATTTAAAAGACGGGATAAGAAACACAAAAGGGAGGTTAAGAGGCACATGGGCGAATATGTTTTTTGGGGGGGGAGGAAAAATGGATCTTCGCCTATGTACCCAAAATTCTTTGCACCGGCCCTGGTGACCATGTTGCAGTGAGGCCCTCTATTACCAGACTTCAGAAAACCATATATAGAGTCATATAGAGTAAATATCATAATAAAATATATAACACAAAACAAAATGTGAATATTATAGTTACCTCAACAAAAATCACTTCTACGCACACGTTGGGAGGGAGCTGCAAATCAGGTTTGAAGTGTCGGGCGAGGGCTACTAGAAGGTGCAAAGTGGCTAGTAAATCCTTGTTGTATATCACTGTTTAGAAGAGAAAAGACACATTTACACAAAGAAGGGTTTTCACAGCAATCAGTGGTCGCCCAATAGGTTGGACATTCATTACACAGAATGCAGAGGGGCCATCGAGTGGAACAAATCAATGGCTAGCAAAACCAAAACCCAAATGTGTTCATGACGTCACCTTAGAAACTCATTCTATAACTGAAAAATTTACTCAGTGACCTATTCAGAAAGTGTAATATCATCAACATTAAAATGCATTTTTCTAAGTATTTCATTAACCCCCTCCCACGCGGTTACATTTCATGCCTCGTCGAAGCCCAATGCCTAACTGTCCATGTCGTCCTCAATGTCTGTCCCTGTCCACAGCTCATGGGCCAGTTTGAAAAAAATTGTTACCTGGTTGAAGAGGACGATTGTCATTTATCATTAGGATTGTTTATCTCTAGATCAAAATGTTTTGTACTTGTTTATTTTATAGTCCATGTCTTGGTTTAAATTAAACGTGTTTGACATGGGGTTCAGGTTTATGGATACAAACAAGGCATGTTTCGGAGGTCTCTCCAGGTTCTGAACTTTATTATTATTATTATTATTATTATGATATTTATAGAGCGCCGTCAAATTCCGCAGCGCTTTACAATGGGTGGACAAACAGACATGTATTTGTAACCAGACAAGTTGGACACACAGGAACAGAGGGGTGGGTTGAGGGCCCTGCTAGAGGGAGTGGGGTAAAATGACACAAAAAGGTAAGGATAGTATTAGACTAATGACAGTTGCAGAAGAGGAATCAGTCAGGAGCTATTAACAGTTTAATTGATACGCTTTTATGAAGAAGTGGGTTTTTAACTATTTTTTGAAGGAGTGGAGACTGGGTGAGGGTCTAACGGAGGAGGGAAGCGAGTTCCACAGGAACGGTGCAGCCCTCGAGAAATCTTGAAGGCAAGCATCAAAGGTGGGAGTACGGACAGAAGATAGACGTAAGTCTTCAGCAGATCGTAAGGGCCTAGACGGGACATACTTGAGTATAAGTGAGGATAGATAGGTTGGAGCAGCATTATGTAGAGATTTGAAAGCAAGAACCAGAATTTTAAATTGAGCTCTATATTTTATAGGAAGCCAGTGTAGGGACTGACAGAAGGGTAAGGCGTGGGAGGTGCAGGCGGACAGGAAGATGAGCCTCGCCGCCGCATTTTACACTAGGATACGTATAAGGAAAAGATTCTCGGAAAGCACTACATGGATCAAGGGAAACTACTAAGATCAGAGAAGACACTGAACACGTGTATGATGTCCACACAACACTGGTCCCCAGCAGATGCGGTCGCTGCCAGATTCTTGTGAATTTATTTTGTGAAGTGTTATTTGAAACTGATTTTTTTGGTTGGTTGCAGTAGCTCAGGTTCAGTTTAATCACTTTACTAATGGCATGGGATTTCTGTGAAGCTATGGACTGAGGAGGTCAGAAGGAACCTCCATGGTGAGGCTGATGTCCCTTTGTGGCTTATTCCCGGGTGGAACTACTGGAGGTGCTGCAGCTGCAATCGCACTGCCATAGTCAGTGAAGGGAGATCAGTGAGGTCCCTGGCAGGTGTAATACAAAGCCAACAAGCGGACCCAGATATCCCACTAGGCAGAGTAGCCACCTGTCCTGTAGGGGGCGCCTGCTCTGCCTGTTAAAAATAAATGATCACCTGCTAATGAATACCTGTACACTGTTTATTAGTGTAAGGATATTAAATAGTTAACTCTTTTTGTTTTATATGCTTTAAAATAATGTTTGAAATAATTATGCTGACTTTGGCAGATGTATTCTGTAACATGCTCTGAGAGGCCTCCCTTCTACAGGATGTATGACCTCGCTCGACCTCAGGATGTTCCTGTCCCGTCTTTATTCAAATGCTTATCTTTTTAATGTCAGACAAGTATGTACTATTAACTACAAGGAAATGATAAATCTTGCTGCTTGCGTGACAAACTGTGTATAAATGCTAGCCCTGAAAATATACTCACTGAGAACTTGTTAAGCACTCTTTCGTGACTGTGTCTTAATTTGCTTAACAAGAACTCCCGTCAATTGATGTGGTGACCGGAGAATCGAGAATCGAGGGGAGTTGAGTCCAGAACAGGGTGTTTATTAGCGTTTATTACATGTGTTATTAGTGTGTTTATATACCTTGTTACACGTATTATTAGTGTGTTTATATACCTTGTTACACGTATTATTAGTGTGTTATATATCATGTTATAGTGTTTTTAGTGTACATGTCATGTTAGAGGTTTTAAAATTAAATGCATTTTTTTTTATTGTTTGTTGGTATATATTGTGTTTGTTGGTATATATTGTGTTTGTTGGTATATATTTTGTTTTTTGGTATATATTTTGTTACACGTTGTGATATTAACCTTTGTTAACCTCTTGTTTTCTGTTCATTTTGTTGTTTGTCTTATAACGTTTTGCACAAACTGCGCAAACATAGGATAGGACAGGATGGCGCTAGCACTCCCTGAGTGACGGGCAGTCAGCCCTCGTGCAATACTACCAAGTTATGGTCCTAAAGCTGAGACAGAACACGTGATCAGGATGTGAGACCTGCATCAAGGAATGGACGCATGAAAATATGCGTGATACAATGATCCATAGGATGCCCTTAAAGGACCACTCTAGGCACCCAGACCACTTCAGCTTAATGAAGTGGTCTGGGTGCCAGGTCCAGCTAGGGTTAACCCATTTTTTCTGTAAACATAGCAGTTTCAGAGAAACTGCCATGTTTACCTATGTGTTAATCCAGCCTCTAGTGGCTGTCTCATTGACAGCCTCTAGAGGGCTTCCGCACTTCTCACTGTGATTTTCACAGTGAGAAGACGCCAGCGTCCATAGGAAAGCATTGATAATGCTTTCCTATGTGACTGGCTGAATGCGCACGCAGCTCTTGCTGCGCGTGCGCATTCAGCCGACGGGGAGGAGAAGAGGAGGATCGGAGGAGGAGGATCGGAGGAGGAGATCTCTCCGCCCAGCGCTGGAAAAAGGTAAGTTTTAACCCCTTTCCTCTCCCCAGAGCCGGGCGGGAGGGGGTCCCTGAGGGTGGGGGCACCCTCAGGGCACTATGGTGCCAGGAAAACGAGTATGTTTTCCTGGCACTATAGTGGTCCTTTAAGTATGTACCCAAACACGCACTTCAACTCAAAATGCACACTGATCTCACTTTCAGCAATGATGGGACCCTATGCCATGCCACCACACAAAGATCAACCTTACCATGCCTGGAGGCAGGGGGGCACCCAGAATATAAATAAGTAATCAGGCAGATCTTTATAGCTACAGTTTATACCCCGCTAACCTTAATGCTTTAACAGTGCAGCTATCAGCAGAAATGTTTCACTCGTTTCCGTGGTAACTGCTCCACTTTTAGAACATTGCCCAAGAACCAGTCTTTAAAAAAAAAAAAAAAAGAAGAAGCACAAAGTAAAAAGTGGGCAGAGACCAGTTTGAGAAGAGCTTGGAAAGGAAGCGCAATGTGTAGCAGGTAATAAGGCTCAGAGCTCCCTGACCTGAACACCAGTCTACCGCCAGCTTTTACCACTTTCTTATTTTACAATCTTTGTTTTAAAGTGGAATCGTACAGCTACTGCAGCCGAAATGTTCCACTACTGTGTATATACGGAAAGAAACAGACAGATCACACAGCGAGAGGGGAATCATTACCGAGAGAACGTAAATGGGGGGGTTAACCGAACCCCAATATCTATTTTCCTGTACTGTTTATTAGAAACAAATAGGGGTGCATGTAAAATCTAAATTCTGTGTAATATATGAAAAGATCAGCCTGTTACCCGCTCACAGTTGGTGTGGACTTTTTAAAGGCTTTAAACGGGGTGATGGTGGGGGGTTGGAACCCCCAACTGATTAGTAAACTGAAACACCCAGAATGTTATATGTAAACACCCCAATTAAAAACATTTATAATTTAAATCATCGTCATTAATTAATCTATCTAATGTTGGTAGTAGTGATTGATGGGCACACTCCTGTTACTTTATTTGGCATGAATGGGCAAATTATAGGGACATTTTCTGAATTAATGTTGGTCTGATACCTGCGGGCCATTTCCTAATCACAGGCCATATTGCAGGATTCCCCTCCCAGCATAGCAATCTGTTATTAATTCATCTCTCCCACATTTGGTGCTGAGCTACAGACTAGTTCATATATTCTCTGGGTGAACGGGGGCGCAATGACAGAGGAATGGCAAAAAAACAAAAACAGACCAAAATAGCGAGGCTGTAAAAATAACTACACGTGGATATTTTGGGATAAAATGACCAAATCAATTGTCAACTCACCACAATTTGGTTTTAATATAAATAACTCATAAAATAGAGCTTTAAACTCATAGGAAAGCAGAGCACACAGATTCATAACCAAGAGTGAGATAGGAGACAGTTTGGAGACCGCCGTGTGTACTACAGATCAGCATGTGTTTAGTGTGCACACTGAGATTTATTTATTTTTTGCTTTTCTTTCACAATATTTCGGAGTTTAAACTTGCTTTGGGCTGACGTACAGACAGAACAGTTGTCAGGGAAACTGTAATTACCTCTTTTTGGGTTTTATAATAGCTGGTGTGTTTTCTTTATACTCTGAGATGTTTGGCTCAGAACGTTACGATTGCTGGGAGAAGTGAGCCATCTGTGGGTCGAAATTTTACATCAGCTTCACCCGTTATTATTTAGGCTTTTGTTCTCAATGATTTATTAGTCATTTCCAGATATATTCCCGTAATCTCTAATGCCGATCCTCAGTAGGTAATAAGCACTGTGTTATAATATAGTTTATCTGCGTACTACTCCAATCAGTCTCTCTTTAGTTTGTTTAACTGAGCAGATCACTTTGATATGATGTTTGTTCTGTTAGATCACGTGCAACCGGTGTCATTGCAAGAGTTACAGAGGTAACCGGTTTGGTATTTTGTATTTTTTTAAAGACATACAAATGTTTTATTTAACCCCTTCATGATTGACAATGCACAAACACTGGGACATGCAAGTCTCCTTTTCATGTCATTGAGCAGGAAAGATGTTCAGGGGTCCAGGAAACCCACGGTGGACACAAGCACGACACCACACTGAAATCCACCAACTGGGGGTCTCTAAGCCCCAATCTGCCCTGTTTCCTGATGCTATATTCGTCTTCATCATATGCTTTGCTGACTTGCAGTGCGTTTGTGATGTAGCAAAGAGATAAATATCACCATTTCTAATCTGCACATCGCAGCCTGAGGAAGGAGAGTCATTCAGGCTCAAACCATGATTTGCAACTGTCTCCATTATCTTTACAAACTAGTGAGCAGGATATTATTAACCCATTTTATGACAGAGGGATTTATAAAACCTACTCAATAAAGTAAACCCATGAAATATTTTAATAATATGGCTAAGCAGGTTTGGATATGTAGACACACCATAAAACATTACACGAGACAAACCTGCAGAAGGCTTCCTTGATTGCCGAACTCAGCTAGGTGAAACAGATCTAGAGATTCATAATTACTTTTTTTAATTATTGGAACTAGAAGTACATTAGCTCTACACTTATTGCTGCAAAAATAATTTCCAAGATGTTCATCCAGTACGCGGTCAGCCAAAGGCTACCGGAGAATCCCGGTCATTCTAGTTAAAAAATTAGAGATGGATGTTGGATATGCTTGACCTAACCAAAGCTTAATTACAAGATGAGCATCTAGACCGAGCATGAACTACGTCTAGAACTGGCATTACTTATATAGTTATATTGGCTGAAAAAGGCTTGCACCCACCAAGTTCAGTCTCTCTGAAACCTGGTTCTGCAGTTCATCAAAAAATAGGCAAAACATAGAAACCCCCCAAAACAAACTATTTGAAGAACTCTCCAATTCTACAATAAACCAGGAAAAATTCCTTCTCGACCACAGAATCACAGTCAAAACTCTCCTTGGATCACAAAGCTGTTACCCCAAATATTAAAAATTATATATTTCACAAATCTGCACTTTTTGTAAAAATAAAAAAAACATAAGACACGCTCTCCTCACAGAGTCTAAACTTCTTTAACAATATAAACAATCTAATATGCTTTAGAGGACATATCGAGACTTCGACCAACTACACGACCTGCATCTGACCTATCTTACCTCCATCACTTACCTGCATTCTCAAAACACCTGTAGATTCCTTACAAAACGCCCCAAATTTTATATTTGAACATTTTTATGTATCTTACAATGTCACACTGACACTATGAAACAAATAGTAGTATTTCTCCTCATAAAGATATAGATTTATAGATATTAAATCGAGGCACTTATCATTTTTTCAATATTCAGCAAATGCTGAACAAATACATTAAGGTAAGTACATAAATATACATTTTTTTTATCAAACTTGAAAATTCAGCAAAAAAATGTGTTAAAGCAGTAGAACCCTTCTTAGAAATTCAAGTTTTAAAAAAAACAAGTCTTCGTAAAGAGATGTTTTTATGCCTTTTTCCCCAAACATATGAAAGATGTAATTTTACAATATTTTGCCCTATAAATGCCTGATTGAGATACCCACGGTTGATGTCCCATTTTGTCTGGCTCGGCTCCAGCTCTAGGTGTTGCGATATAGCGTCCAGTATGACAGTCAGCTTGCGCTTCTGATTAAAAGTAGAAAGTGTGATTTCTTCCACATCCAACTTAATGCCTCCGATTTTTTCTGCAGAACCAATAATCCTTTTAAAATTGGCATCAAATGCAGTCCATTCACCGCTGCCACCACACAGGGTTCTTCTATAAAATGAGAATTCAAAGTGAATAAAGTAACCGAACTGGAAACACAGATGACTAGAATTTTTCCAGCTCGCCTTTTCTGACCTTTATTTTGAAATTCACTTTAAATTCTCACTTTAGTGATTAACCCTGTGAATGAAACATTATACAGCAAATATAAACACTGAGGCAAACAGTATAGCAGTCACCACGGAAACCAATAGCATGTTACATTTATAAACCTGAAGAAGCCTTGATGGCTCACCGTGTGAAATGGGCAGGGCTGAGGGGCACTATACCAGGATCATGATTCGCATTAATGAGGGGCACTATACAAGGTTCATGATTCCCCCCGATGGGGGGGACTATACCAGGTTCATGATTCCCCCCGATGAGGGGCACTATACCAGGTTAATGATTCCCCCCGATGAGGGGCACTATACCAGGATCATGATTTGTATTGATGAGGGGCACTATACCAGGTTAATGATTCCCCCCGATGAGGGGCACTATACCAGGTTAATGATTCCCCCCGATGAGGGGCACTATACCAGGTTAATGATTCCCCCCGATGAGGGCCACTATACCAGGTTAATGATTCCCCCCGATGAGGGGCACTATACCAGGTTAATGATTCCCCCCGATGAGGAGCACTATACCAGGTTCATGATTCGCACTGATGAGGAGCACTATACCAGGTTCATGATTCACACCGATGAGGGGCACTATACCAGGTTCATGATTTGTATTGATGAGGGGCACTATACCAGGTTCATGATTCCCCCCGATGAGGGGCACTATACCAGGTTAATGATTCCCCCCGATGAGGGGAACTATACCAGGATCATGATTTGTATTGATGAGGGGCACTATACCAGGTTAATGATTCCCCCCGATGAGGGGCACTATACCAGGTTAATGATTCCCCCAGATGAGGGGCACTATACCAGGTTAATGATTCCCCCCGATGAGGGGCACTATACCAGGTTCATGATTCCCCCTGATGATTGGCACCATACCAGGTTAATGATTCCCCCCGATGAGGTGCACTATACCAGGTTCATGATTTGCACTGATGAGGGGCACTATACCAGGTTCATGATTCGCACCGATGAGGGGCACTATACCAGGTTCATGATTCACACCGACGAGGGGCACTATACCAGGTTCATGATTCGCACCGATGAGGGGCACTATACCAGGTTCATGATTCACACCGACGAGGGGCACTATACCAGGTTCATGATTCGCACCGATGAGGGGCACTATACCAGGTTCATGATTCACACCGACGAGGGGCACTATACCAGGTTCATGATTCGCACCGATGAGGGGCACTATACCAGGTTCATGATTCACACCGACGAGGGGCACTATACCAGGTTCATGATTCGCACCGATGAGGGGCACTATACCAGGTTCATGATTCACATCGACGAGGGGCACTATACCAGGTTCATGATTCCCACCGATGAGGGTACTATACCAGGTTCATGATTCGCACCAATGAGGGGCACTATACCAGGTTCATGATTCCCCCTGATGAGGGGCACTATACCAGGTTCATGATTCCCCCTGATGAGGGGCACTATACCAGGTTCATGATTCGCACCGATGAGGAGCACTATACCAGGTTCATGATTTGCACCAATGAGGGGCACTATAGCAAGTTCGTGATTCGCACCAATGAGGGGCACTATACCAGGTTCATGATTCGCACTGATAAAGGGCAGTTTACCAATATCCTTACATACAAGCAGGCTCTTACTTTAGTACATTTATAAAGTTCAGATGCCGAAACCAGCAGACACCTATATAATTTGATATCCACCCCTAGCTCACCACCAGGACTTTGTCACAGAACTTTCTTTAATCCTATGGGATATACCCCTATATGCTGTATATTATCCCAACCAGTAATATAGCGGCCAATAAGACATCTGTCACATGCAGAGTCTCTTAGAACCAAAAGGGACGCCGACTGAGAACACAAAAAAGGATCCAGTCACAGTCAAAATGTTACGTATATTATTCTACAAACTGCCCCGTATGGTCCTACATGTAACTGGTACAAAATATAGAAATGCAACTGTGAGTTCCCCTTTTTCAGGAAAACGTTCCTTGTTAGCAATGAAAATATAATACCAGTTACATTGTTAGGGTTAGGGTTAGGGGTGGGGATTCGGGGTAGGGTAGGGTTAGGGTTAGGGTAGGGAATAGGGATAGAGGTAGGGTTGGGGATGGGGTAGGAGTAGGGTTTGAGTAGGTTTAGGGGTACTGTTGGGGTAGGGTTAGGGGTGGGGTTAGGGTTAGGGTTGGGCTAGGGTAGGGTTGGGGTTAAGGGTAGGGTTGGGGTTAAGGTTAGGGTTATGGGGTTAGAGGTACGGTTGGTGTAGGGTTAGGGGATTAGGGCTATGGGATTAGGGTTACGGGTGAGGTAAGGGTTAGGGTTAGGGGTAGGGTTAGGAGTAGGGTTAAGGGTAGGGTTATGGGGTTAGGGTAGGGTTGGGGTTGGGATTAGGGGAAGGGTTGGGGTAGGGTTAGGGGATTAGGGTTATGGGGTTTAGGGCAGGGTAGGGTTATGGGTAGGGTTAGGATAGGATTAGGGGTGGGGTTAGGGTTAGGGTTATGGGTAGGGTTAGGAGTAGGGTTAGGGAACTGCCGAAGTACCGAATCCCGAATTTTAGGAGTGCCGAACCGAACCGAAGTGCCAAAGTCCCAAATTGCCGAATTACCGAAGTCCCGAATTTCTGAATGTCCAAAACCGAACCGGATTTTTTTCCCATGCACATCCCTAACAAAAAATGAATCCTGAGACACATGATTGATGCAGCAAATGTGCTAGTGCCTGCTCTCTGGAAACAACCTCAGACTCCGACACTTGAACAATGGTACGAATGAATAGAAGAGATTTACTCACCTGAGGCCATTAGGGCATCGGTAATAGAATGAAGCGACAAACATGTTGAACTGTGGAGACCATGGATAGAATACAATGCTAATAGAGGCGTGGGATCTGGAGGGGACTGAGGGGTGGCTGGATGGGGGGTGCCCTCAGCACTATGACAAATGATCCAGACCTTCTCACCGACCAAACGACTTCTTTGCTTTTCACTAACACACTGGACCTCAGCTTCTCACATACTAAAGACACTAAGGGGGTACCCGATCCCGACGTACTGCGCAGTCCACCATATCACCACAGTGAGATGTAGGGTGTGGGGACCCTAACTCCACAGGAACCTTAACAAAAACTAAGATAAGTCACACACTTTCGGACTGAAGGATTGATTTGACAGTGAAGGCACACACTCTGACCCTAGACTAAGTGAGAGACCCACTTGGCATGAACATGAGACCCTCCCCAGGCCACTTGTCGCCGTCCCTCGGGTCAGACTGACCAACCCCGGGGGGAGGGCGAAGGGACCTGGAGCAGGAGGAGTAGTAGGGGAGGAGTACCCACCGCAAAATATAACCCATCTTGAGGGAAATGTAGTTAGGGAAACAATTCTGCGCAGATAAGCACCGAGATGTTGTAGGGCTGCACCTAAAACCTGATTTTCCAAGTACCAGTAGGAGATATGCATGTCACATCCTCAAGCTACGCGACACAAACAACTAGAACTTACGAACCTGACTTGAAGATAGGAGGGGTGGAGGGGAGGTAATCATTCCTAGAAACATGTAAAAGGATCCCTGTGTCCCACAAAGAGACACTGCCACTTGTACACTCTCTAGGACCTGTGAGTCCTCAGACCGATTACTCACTGATATCTTATTGTTACTTTAGCTTTTTATTGGAAAGACAAAAGAACAGAATGAAAAAAAACAAAACAAAAAGACAAACAAAACATAAACAGAATATGAAGAGGACAAATTCCTAAACATATACTCACTTAGGAAATAAAAAGAGTCTCAAATTCTTGCAATGACTTGTGACCTTATGATATAACAAACCAATAAAAAAAATATATTTACAAAAAAATAAAAGTGGAGCTACTGCCATCAAATTTTGTCACTAACTCAGCTGTTGCAACTTGCTAGCAACCACTATGGGAATAAGGTATTATCTCACTCATCGCAACATAATATCTAGGAGGCTCTCATGTTCTCACTGGATTCTCCATAGACATCACCGCTGTACTCTCGCGCATGAAGAAAGTAGATAGTTTCACCGGCAGGTGACAGCATCAGGTAAGTACAACAAACATAGCTGCACTCCTGGGCCACTGAACCCAGGGTGCGATGTCACAATTGGGGGTGTAAAGACCCCAGTAGGTGATGGAGCAGTTCTAACCCCTTGAGAGAGGAGTTTGAGAGTGGGATATAGGCTCTTGGCACAATGCATTACTTTTGTACTGCCATACATATTATAGAGTCTTGGTTTTAGTCAATCGACTATACTTACTGTAGATGGACACTACGGCCCAATACAGACTTTATATTTACATTCCTTACAAATCACCTTAATTAGCTTGTATCCCATCACTATCTCTATATCTATACAGGATCAAAATATAAATTAAACATTTAAAATTGTGCATCTTTGCTGTTTACGAACACCTTTCAAAAGTGGTTAATTTGATTGTATGGGAGGTCAGAAGGTTTATAACCTAAATTCCTCTTTGAAGCCAATGACCCCAACAGAGCTACTCTGTAAGGTGTAAAAAGTCTGGTTTAAATATAAACCAACTCTCTCATTTGCCATATTTCTAGATTCCCTCTTAGATAGGGAGTCCTTTGATATGAATGGTAATTAGCTTTAAAGAGAAAAGCCATTGTGTTCCAAAAGAACCATCGTGTTCCAAAAGAATTAATACCCACAGATTAATAATTAGGTCTCATTTTTATTATCTTTAGAATGGGTCAAGCACAATCTTCTAACCAAGCCTAAACATGATTTGTGTAATTTAACCATAGGGGAAGGGATTGTGATGTCCGCCATACTGGGTCACAAGTAAGAACTATGACATATCTATGGAATGGAAAAATGGCAAACAATTCATAGATTATTATTTCTGTGGCAAGTACATAAGAGGAGATAGAACCAAATGTTTCCAGTTGGATTGATGTTGGTCTAGAACACAAGGGGTGGTCACTTATTGTCCCTATAGGTATGCCTTTTCTCTGCCTCTGAAATCCACATGGTCTATATCCAATGATACTGAGATGTGTATTTGTACTTGCTTAGGGCTAAAATCTAATTTTGAGTAAGTCATCGTCTTCCTTGCCAGAGACCCCCTGGGCAGAAGTTTTACTTTGAAAACCGGAATAAGTGATTAGGACTTTTGTTATTTTATCCTTTTTGTTTTTTATCTGTTTTTGGTGTAAATAATGTGTTTATCATCTATATTTTTGTATGCACTGTGACTATTTTTTTGCTCATAATAAATATTCCTTTATTAAGTTCTGCCTTTGTCTGGTAAAGAATCACGTTACCTGAAGAGACCAGTGAGAGTTTTACAATTGCATAGTTATTGTGCTACGTTGTATTTGGTGGGTAGTGGATAGTAATAATTCTGTATTTTTGAACCTGTAATGATAATCCGCACCATCTGACCCCTTTTTAGCAGCGATATTCTTGTAGTTGAGAAGATATGGTGAATACTTACGCAGGAGGTGATGAAGTATTAGTCCATCATAAAGATCATCTTCCAAGCTTTTCACTACAATATGTTCATGTTTTAATTCCTCGTTAATCCAGTCCATCAGGAACTGAAATGCAAAAAAAACCCAATTACATCTTTATATTAATATATATATAACCGGGCAGCAGTAAAACAGTAAAAAAAATGGTTCCCTGCCATAGAATTAACTTTAAAGCTTCACAGCCAGACCCATTTATTTTCCTCCCCCTCTCCCACCTCGTTGTTAATATTAATCCAAAGTGTCCCTACAAATATTATTCTTTACTCTTGTTTTCAATTTTTTTCTATAGTTCCCTCACCAGGTACTGTGAGTGACAAATATGTCCTTCCCCTCCCCTGCCCAAATGGGCCGTTCATGTCAATCAGCAAGAAAGAAGTGGAGCTTGTTCTGGGATTGTGCAACATTTCGGGAACACCGCGAGGGACACGGCGGCCAGGTGAGCGGCGGAAATATTTATCTTGACAAAGTGTGCGGGTTTGCCACCAAGCATTGTCTACTTTGTCTTCTGTATTTGACTTGAAGTGGGTCGAAAATTTAAAAAAGAAGACCAGATTCTGACACAGAGGGAGCAGAGGAATCTATTTAAGGAAGATAAGTTTGGCGTGACAGAGTTACCTTGAGCACCAACGATGGCTGGTTCTTTCTCATCACAAAAATCTGCCTTTTAGTGATCTTATTTCAAAATAGAATGTCTAATCCTTTAACAAAAGCAGGGCTCTATAGGGAGGTCAAACCTCAATAAACTGGACATTCCAAGGGATTTACTGAGCGCACTGCGATTCCAGCAAAGTGTTACCTTATATTTAAACACATCTTTACAACACAACTTTATATAACACAGATGTTTGGATTCCAGACAATCGTTTGAAAAAATGACTTGAGTTTCGATCTCTTACTTTTTCTTAGGACAATTTTATTTTACTGCCTTACTTTAATTACTATAATGCCTGGATCAAACCAGCAAATAAATGGAGTAATATGTACGTTTAATTTAGTCTTACCAAATAAATTGTTCACATTATGCATTGGTTAAATATTTAAATTGTTAAATTAAAATAAATAAAAATAAAAAAATACAGAAAAATTTGGGATTTAATAACTAAATAGTGAGTTGTGCATTCATTGAACTTAAACAATAAGGTTAATTGATTTAATGACACGTACTTACGGCAAGCATAACATTATGTTGTAAGTTATTACAAAGAATTTGTTTAGCAAACACAGCCATGCACTGATCTTTATCCCAAAATACAACTAGGCGGGAGTAACCCAGCTATTCATGGGCACACTGACACATAAGTGGAAAGGAAATCGTGTGATATCTTATCGCTATATAGATAGTGCTCACGTCATGTTGGTGAACTAGCAGCACGCCAAGCCAGCTAAGGCTTAATCACAGGCTTAACGACCACAGGATTCATTTCAAAGGTTTTAAAAATCATATTTTAGAGCTTTATTGCATAAAATTCAGAGAAACGTCTGATGTTCTTTAATATCAAACTAAAAATTCTAACATTGCGATGGCGGTTGTATTTAAAATTTAAAATGAATCACACATTGCCACATATCGCCTAGATCACCAACAGACTCTCTGTAGTAAAAGCAGGATTCTGTCACCCTCATCATACTTTATGAAGATCCACATTAAGGTACTGCTGGGCCTGGGCTGAAGTGTTTACTGTGTCCACGACTCTCCGTGTCCTGTACAGGGGAGCTATGAGCCAGATCACCTACTTAACGTCTTTGCTCCCACGCAGGCCCACAATATCAGGCTTTGGCAGCACTAATACACCACAAAGATTTATTTTGGACAATATAGCTTCTATTCCGGGTGCACAGTATTAAATATTGAGATATGTTCAATTGTATCCATTTTGACGAATCCTTACTTAGTACATTGCCCCTGGTTTTGCCGTAATCTCTCCTATATGGTTTAAACTGTCCACGGTTACTGTTATGGGAGACGTGTACAGAGGATGAAGGGAAAGAAGCCAGTGGTACTGCAGGTTTAGAGCTAATGGTTCCTGTATTCTATGCCATATCATAATGATCCCACTCAGAATCGACTAGTGTGGACACGCCAGCCACTGGGACCACGGAAAGTGGCGTCTTCTATCTCAAGGCTGGATTTTGACTCCTCTCAAATTCTCTACATAAAGTCACACAACTGCCTTCAAATCAGTTTTTGGTTCTGTGGTCGAGAACTGGTTAAATTTTGTTCTGAATCGAAAAACTAATTAAATCCACCTGGGCTCAGAAAACGGAAGTAAATCCATTATGTTTGCCATAAAACGCCTTCCATTTGAATAGTGAATATATTGCTTTTTATATTCAGCCATTTGTACAAGTGGAAAAGGTCAATCACCACTAATAATTCCCTTGATAATATGTCCTGAATATATTTAAAAAACATTTCTAAAATCTGCATTTTCCCATTGCTATGTCATCCCGCGATTAAACGGCTGTGTGCAATGCAAGATAATGAAATGCAAATGAACTTTGCTTGTGATTTTATAGCTTCTAATCTGACAATGACAAAATAAATGCTATTCCTCCAGAATCCTTTAGCATAACCGGGAGCCACCGTACATAAAGAATAGGATGGACTGCAAGCGTATGTATCAGAGCTTGGCATAAAAGATATTTAATCGTTTGGTGATAAATATTATAATAGATTTCTCACAAAACTGGGTCACCAAGCGATATTTGGAGTGGGTCTTGCTTGCTTTTGGAGTGCCATAACCAACAGCTTTCTGTAGCCTGTTTATTAACAGGACTGTGCGAAGGACAATAGATCCTCCACAAAGACTTGATTAAAGGAGATTTAACTTATAGCAGAGGAAGATTTCTGCATAGAGAGCTTTTTAAATACACATAATAAATCTGATTAAAGGATGCCTTTTGGCAAAGCCAGATATACAGGGCTACAATAGTTAAAATGCCGAATATTAACAGCTTCCTGAGAATTCTGATTGCCACGTGGAGCCAAGAAGGATTTCTTTTCAACATTTTGCACCACAAATTAGTCATTTTCAGTTCATGTTATTATGTAACAATGCAAACATTTCAATGCCACACAGATTACCACATCCTAGGTCCAGGACAAAATATTTGCCGTCTACAATTTCCGAGTGAGGCCGTTAGAGAAAAGAAAAAAGTTATTTTCTGTTTTGTTAGAAAGAAAAATATATAGAAAGTTGATGAGTAGTAGTCTGTTTGGCTAATATCACTTTCTGTTATTACAGCTCACAATACTAAAGACAAAAACCATCAGTCTTTACTACAATAAAAGTCCACTGGCAGAGTTTATATCTCTCTCGTTTACTGGTTTTAATCCAATATCGGACACTATATTGGGTTTGTTTTACGTCTGTAGAATCATAAATACAAAAAATCCAATCAGGTGTGAGGACAATATTACTGTGAGGGTCATTTTAAGATTATGGGATTTTTTCAAATTTTTATTTTACGGTTCTATTTATTACTGTATCAGGTTCACGTTGAGATAGGAACGCCTCAGAACTTACCTTCAGTAGATTTTGGAAGTTGGGGTCACTTATAGCGCTGGGCTGTAAAACCTTTCTGATCTCCCCTGAAACAGAGCACAAAGATCCACACAGGTGGTTATAGAGGACAAACAGACATTTATAAAGAGCAATAATGTAACCTCGATAGGGGTATTTACTAAATGGTGAAATGTCAGGAATTTGAGGCCAAAACTCCTGAACTGAAAACATGGCGGACATGCAAGATTTAGCCAGTTCAGCAATTTTGAAAACATACTTTAAATAACCCTGAAATGGTTGTTGCGATAATTAGCGCTGCCCATACACTCAGCACACCAGCATTGCTATCATTGGACAGAAACAGTCCGTAAAGCACAATTAATAACACATGCACACTGTATAATAATTATGGGGAGTTAACACACATAACCGCAGTAACATTGCACACACATAACCGCAGTAATGCAATAATGGATTTACTTAGCATTAGACATGATATTTTTGCACCAGCTGGACAGCTGAATTGTTCGATTACCTTGTGGGAGCCCCGCCTCAAACGTCTGCGGAATATCGCTCAGGGTATCCATTTTCACTGGTGAAATAATTCAGAACCTGATTTATCCTAAAAATGCAAGAGTAATGTTATTTATATTGTTATAAAAAACAGAATTTCTGTGGCCCTTACAGAAAAACAAACGTATCGGCATTCATATTTTGAAATTATACTTCAGCCATCTTGGGGAAAATTTATTTTGTGATTATTCACTGAACCAGGAATTGTGAAGACTTGCAAATTTTAAGTCAAAATAAAAGCATTAGGAAGATTTTTTTCTATTTTTGTTATTTTGACCTAAACCATATAATTCATTATGATTTTAGCGATTAAATCTCTATGCTTCCGTGGAAAGATCCAGGTTGACAGGAGGTTATTTAGAGAAACATAGACAAATACCTTTCTGTTGCCCAAGGCCTCGATTTAATATTTTTGAATAATGTTTTTTTATAACCGATTATGAAAAAAATATAATTTTGTAATATTTTGATATTGTTTGATACATTTATATGTATATTTTTTAAATATGATATTTTTTAAATATGATATTTTTAAATCTGATCTGAAACGTTTAGAAAACTGATCAAACAATATTAAAATCAAGGTCTAAGGGGAGGCGGAGTGCGACTGCTGAGCCAGCAAGACGTACCTAAGCTGAGCTCCGTGTCCATGAGCCTAATTTTACCTGATTTCCCCCAAACTCTGGCCCTCCAGATGTTGCTGAACTACCACTCCCATGAATCTCAGCCTATTTCATTCATAGAATCATGGGAGTTGAAGTTCAGCAACATCTGGAGGGCCTGGTCTAGACGTTCTCACAAGATAGCGAATGGTTATATGCTCATCAAACCTAGACATACCTGATTAGCATGTTCTAAACTACATTTAAAAATGTGCAAGAATCCTGAAAAACATGTCATTGTCATAATCTGTACGTTACTGCTTGGGTTTGTTCCGCTGCCGTGGCGTGGCAATCTTGCTTTGTTCACCCTTAGCACAATAAAGGAAAGATTGACAAAAACATATATATTTTTTAAATAAAGGTCTAAGTTAGTACTGTGCCAAACTTGCCAGCAGCCTCGGATTTAGTGCTTAAGTCCTAATCCCCATCCACCCTCAAGTGTGTCACTATAACAGCCAAGATTTGCATATGCACCCATACCGTTCATGCTTTACAGGTAGGTAGCCATGTTTGGCTGTGTGGCCAGGAAGCTTGAGGTAACTTTATAGCTGGGCACTCTATAATACCACGTTTACAAATCTTTTGCAGTTCATTGAGGTGACAATTGCTCGTATTATTGCTGCCTCCATTCCTGGGCTCGTGGAGAGGTTTGGAGGCCAGGCTCCTGCCCACAGACTTTGGGCCTGGTCCCAAGAACTTCTAAACAATCAAAAAGGGACTATTGTCACAGTTGGTTCTGGGCTAAAACTCACTGGCTTCCCAGTCTGGTGAGAACACAGCATTAACTCTGAACTAACCTTATTAACTCCTATCAGCCCAGACAGAGTGGTGCGGGATAGAGAATTTGTTCTATGGTTTTATTAACTCCTATCAGCCCAGACAGAGTGGTGCGGGATAGAGAATTTGTTCTATGGTTTTATTAACTCCTATCAGCCCAGACAGAGTGGCGCGGGGTAGAGAATTTGTTCTATGGTTTTATTAACTCCTATCAGCCCAGACAGAGCGGCGCGAGGTAGAGAATTTGTTCTATGGTTTTATTAACTCCTATCAGCCCAGACAGAGTGGCGCGGGGTAGAGAATTTGTTCTATGGTTTTATTAACTCCTATCAGCCCAGACAGAATGGCGCGGGGTAGAGAATTTGTTCTATGGTTTTATTAACTCCTATCAGCCCAGACAGAGTGGTGCGGGGTAGAGAATTTGTTCTATGGTTTTATTAACTCCTGTAGATGTAATATATATTCCACCCTCTATAATTATGAGTTGGTTGAATAAAGTAATTCTGTTTTCATGAAGTCACAGCTAATGTTTGGGCGAGCTGCTATAATCACTGAAGGTATCCTGCTGGGAAAGGAGGGATATTAACGGAGATACTCCGGACGAGTACCGAGCTCCGTCACACCGCCTATTAAAGGGAAACTATTAGCACAAACACTACTTTATCTTAATGAAGATCATTCCTTTCAGTCTCACTGCTCAAGTCTCTGCAATTTAAGAGATTTTTTTTTATAAAGGGCCAACAAATTCCATAGCGCTGGGGTGGGCTAATAGTCATGTCATTGCAATAAGACAAGCTGGACGCACAGTAACAGAGGGGTTAAGGGACCTGTTCGAATCAGCGTACATTCTAGAGGGAGTGGGGTAAAGCAGCACAAGAGGTAAGGGTAGGTTATATTTCATGAACAGGAAAAGTAGGTTACTTGAATAGTTTGCAATTAAGGGTTAATTTATTGGATGATACAGTTGCAGGAGAGGAAGCAGGTGGTTAACCAAGGTGAGGGAAAGAAAAGCTATTAACAGTTTACTTGATATGCTTTCCTAAACAAGTGAGTTTATAATGACCTTTTGAAGGAACCGAGACTGGGTGAGAATCTAACAGAACAGGGAGGTCTTGGAGGCAGGCGTCAGAGGTGGGAGTAGGAACAGATAATAGACGCAGATCTTCGGCAGAGCGAAGGAGCCTGGATGGGACATACTTCTGTATCAGTGAGGATAGGTAGGAGCAGCGTTGTACAGTGATTTGTAAGCAAGCACCAGAGTTAAATCACTTTGTTCATATAGCCTTAGCCACACCTCCCTGCATGTGACTTACACAGCATTCCCTGCAAGTCATCGTGTTTACACATTCTGTTTAATTTAGAATTTCTAATCTCCTGCTCTGCTAAATGGCTGCATCAGCCTCCTGTGTGTGATTAACAAGAGATTCAATATTTCTAAAGTAAACACACTGTGCTGTATATCTGAAAGCAAACCATTCTTTTCCAAACAGGCTGTGTGAGTCACGGCCAGGGGAGGTATAGCTAGGGCTGCATAAACCGAAACAATAGTGATTTATCTTCTAAATGGCAGAAAATTGAGCTGTGAGACTGCTTGGGGCATGATCTATACACCAACCTGCTTAATATGCTAAGGCTGTTTTGGTTTTTAGAGTGTCTCTTTAAGACACACATGGATGCAGACATTTCCAATGTGGTTTCTTTCAACAACTTGCGAGATCAAGTTGTGCTCTCCCCTTTAAAGGCAACGGTGACATAATCAGATATAAATCATTTATGGCCAGGATGGCTAACTTTGAAACCACATATCTCTGGTCTACATTGTTCAACCTGGCTTCAGGAATGGGAAATGGCAGAGGTGCCAAATTTGGCCATTCATATCCATATGTGTATCTGAAGGAACGCCACACCAAAAATCCAAATTAAACATCCATATAGACTAAACTTGCCTAGAAATTATTAAACAGAAAAAGAAAAAAAAATCATATTTATCTTTCCAGAGCCCAGAAGCTGAACAAGGCATTGACATTTAGCAATTCGCAATCGGTTTTCTGTGAACCTCAAATAATTATTTAGTTAATAAGCCCCACTGGTGTTAGTGTCTGCTCTCTCCATAGCAGCTGTCTTTTGGCAGAAGAGCAGATTTCAAGTCAAACACTTACCTCCTAAAACTGCCCTAAATGAGTCAGGATGGAACCACCGCAAAGTAAAGTTTCGATGTAAACTTAGCAGGGAACCCAAATAAGTCTTAATGCCGATCATTTACATCCCATCACGGCCATGTGTACGGGCTGAAACAAGCTTAATAATAAAACGACATCTTACACAAACCTTCATCACTTCCTCATCCGGTATTCATCAGACAAAACTCACATTGTGGTAAAAGTAAAACTTCCCCATTTCGTTGTCATGTGACTCCTTTAACGCACTAATCGTGGCGTATTGCTACATTTCATTACGTAACCATAATTCACAGATAATCATCTTAACTGTAATAATAAATAAAATAATTCCATCTTCCCCTAATAGTGTTCTATTCCACAGATATCTGATCAAAGCTTCAGTTTATCTCTGTATCAGTTACACCTTTACTTTATATACAGATTGCCCAAAACAAGAAATATTCTAAATTAAAATACTACCGAATTATCTGTATCAAAATGTGCTTATTTTTCTAAATAAAGATAGAGATAAAAATAACACCAAATAATTGGATCTTATGAACCAGCATAATCAGCAGCAATTGTTGTTGCAATTTGTAACGTGATTTATTTAAGTCTATTTATCAGTGAATTATTTATAAACCAAAATGTTATTGCAGTTTTCTAGCTAGTCTCTGCTTCTCGTGGTTTGTGTGGGCCACCTTGCATCACTTCGCTCTGAGCAGTGCGGTGGGATCCAGAATAAATGACAGGTTCTGATTGGCCACTGACCTCACAGTCTGTAAAAGGTATTGTAAATCCCGATACATTGTGAAGATGGCCGCCTCCAAGCTGAAATACCGTCAAATCATAAGTACCATGAGCGGTAATTATAGTAAGTTTAAGCCCCTAGGCAAAAACAAACAAACAAAAAAAATCAAAAAAAAAATCAGATTAACAACATTTTTATCATAAATTATAGTACCACCAGTAAGAGTCAAAACAGATCATCTGCAGAAAGACTGACAACGCATCATTCGCTGGGCACCAGAGGGCTAATGACAGGATTCCCTCCATCAAGCCTCTGGCACTTTACTGGGGATTCTTTAGTATAGTACAAGTTACCAATCCTTAATTGTTAATACAGAATCACTGACACTCCGACGGTCACTTCAGTATGTAACTTTTATATGAATTCTAACTAGCAAAGCAGAGATCTCATCTCAAGATATTCCATATTTAGTTATTGTGTCATCTGGTGGCATACAGAACATTCCAGAATACTCTGAACCCAAAATCAAACGTGAAATCCTAAATCACAGAGATAAACTGAGTCTTACAGAGGGGCTGACCTAATTTATATATGGACGACAAAAATAAAATAGGATTTAAAAAAAACAAAAAACGTTTCAATGCAGTTCTACTCAACTTCTAGGAAAACCTAATGTAATGGAGTTATTTATAGGAGCATGGAAAGCATTGATGGTGTATCACAACATTTTGAGAATTAAAATAAGTTTGTCAACACACAACATTTTATTTTTCTGACCGATCCCCTAGACATTAGAGAAGACAGAGTACGATGTTGGTCCATTCTGTGTCAGACCACCTTCAACAAGAAAAATTGAGGGGGCTACAGGGCAGGTTGTGTAATCATCATGGACACTAAACAATTGTCACAATAACAAAGCCATACGGCGTTACAGATGGAGAATGTAGAAGGGGTTACAATAAGCAGTGAAAGCGCTATACATTTTACTTTAAGATTATTTTCCTTTTGAACCTTTGATGATATGCGATCTGCCAGAATTATTAAAAAAATATTACATCGTCTAAACACTTGTCAAGAAGGGGTCCATGTATAGTGTTTAGGGAGGGGGGTCTTTTAATGCGGATTGTCACTGTAACTGGTAGTTCGATTTTCTCCAGTTATCAATGTAGGGAAGAAACACAAAAAAAAACACATATACACCTCTGTCACCATCATAAATCACAAATATTTTAATATTTCAATTCACGTGTTGCAGATCTTTCAAGATATGGTATTAAATAAAAAAAATTCTTATTACTGTGGTATCACAGCTGCTGCTCCATCATACCGGATCGCCGTCCTCTAGCAGTCCGTGTGACTCTGCAGACTGGCTCTGCGCCCATCACTTCTTCAAACACTGAACAGCAGCAACACCTAACCCGATTTCTGGCATGAGAGATCTACGAGCAGCTGATAGATCAATACATGGAAGGAGAGGAGTTTCCCCCGCTGTTTGTTAACGTTTTCAAAGACGTTAAACAGCGGCCATTTGTAAAGAGTAATGACGCACAGAATAAAAAAAATAAAAATAAACATGTTTAAAACCCCTGGGTAACCGCTATTTATGGTGAAGAAAAAATAAAACACAACCAAAAAACAGTTTGTAAGATTTAAATATACATTTTAATTTTTTAACCCACTCTGTGCCGCACTGTAGAACATCTCAAAGTATTGTTTAAAGGATCTATAGAGTAATGCATTCTGAGATTGGTCAACGCCTTTCGTTTAATCACAACCAGCAAGTGTTTTCCTGCAGTGCAACACAGGACTGAAGAAAGGTTTATTGAGATCGGCTGCGGAGATTCAGCCATACAGAACAAATAGATTTCAATATTGCATTAATTCAACACAGACGCACATATTATAAATAGAACTGCTATATATTAATACATTTATTAACGTTGTGTTAAATAATTCCCTTAATCCCAGACTCCATCATCCCATTTCTATGAAGCCCCTGTGTAGCAATTCACCAGTTTACCATGTAGAGCAGTAATCTCTAAATAAAAGTCCTGCAAATGTCTGGACTACTTTTACCATGACTCTCAGGCAGCCTCGGAAATAGAGCTCACAGATAATTGTAGAATTGAGGTCGGCCGCTGTGGCCTGATTAACTCTGTTTTTTACCCAGGGCGACCGGGTTCATGGCTCTAGGCGGTTGGTGCCATATTTACAAAAATATACATTAAGGCACGTTAGATGCAGATATTTTTTAATGTCCAGTTATTCAACGTTCTTGTATTTTGTAAACAGATTGTATAACACCCTCAGCGTCGACTTCAGATCCAGGTTAACGATGTCTGTGGGAAAAATGAAAGGGAAATGTAAATTTCGTTCCTTAAAGAACCTAGGAACCAGTAAATCACATTCACGCACAGTGTTCCTGGTGATCGGAGAAGCACGTCACCGGATTTATGTTATAAAACCTCCGTAATAGAGACAGCGCAAGCAGAAACATTTAACTGCTCAGTAAAGGCCACAGGAATATGCACTCCAATCAGTTCTTCTGCACCACCCAGATTCTCTCCTCCAGGCACTATCCTCCCACTCCCCCTGCGCAGTGGGTAAGCAGAGAGCGCGGTTCTCTAACTGGTTACATGTGTGCACATAGTACTTGGATGTTTCAATGGGACAGGGATTCTCTCCTTAAGCACAAAAAAAACCCTACATTGTAATGAAGTGGTTTTGGTGCATGGATGTTGCCCCTTTTACTCTGGCAATGGTAACATTTGTCAGAGAATACACTTCTCAGGGTGGTCAGACTGACATCCACGAGAGGTATTTCCTCATTTTAAATTTATAACTTCGACACCATCACACCCTTCATGACAACGCTGAGTGGCACTCTATGAGATGGGTCAGATTGCAGGACCGGCGATGGTCATACACGCAAGTTTTGTTTTGAATTTGAAAGGGCTCTGAATGTAAAGTGATAAATGAAAACTCTAAAGCTTAAAAAAAGATCAATATAAAAGGCGGACTATATATTGTAGACAGATCCTAAACTATTTGAAAACACGAGTTCTCATACAGGTTCAGGAAGACAGCGAAGCTGTGTACGTGTTTCGAGAGTTAAATGCAATGTGTGTCCAATGGCAGATAGGGTGCCATGGCTGGTTCTCTCTCTGAAAGCCCAACAAACACCTTCAGGCCAAATAAAATGGAACCGTCAAGCCCTGATGAGAAAGACATATCAGTTGGATTTATAACGTGCGTCACACGAAGGCCACACAAACCGGAGCAATCTGCACACTCTCGGCCAGATCTGGGATGGGAATCTAGAATTACTGAGAAACGCAGTGATTTCCATTTTCCTATTTCCCTTGTGTAATTAGTCTCATTAGCTGCAGATACATTGCTGTAACGATCACCATAACTTGCAATATCTGCTGCAAAAGATAAGCGCTGCCAAAGCTGTTAAAGCGAGAAGGGACAGGGCTGATAACTGAAAGCCTGCAGCGGAGCACACATTGCAAGATCTGCTCACACGACTGGAGTCAAACCGACCGTCCTAGAGGAGGGGGGGGGAAGAACACTAGATGGAGCCATTGATACCTTATAACATACACAGGAGAGTAAGGCAACTCACCATCAATCTCTGAGATCCCAAAATACCCCCTTTCTCAAATACTTCCCATGACCCGTTGTTATCCCAAAAACATATTCTATATATCCTATAACCCTCAGTATACCCAATGCCCACCTCTGGCGCAGTTAGAACAGAATAACACGCAGGGAAAAAAAATAGATCTGAAAAGACAAACCTTCTGGCCGCGCTTTAGGCTTCTTAAGTCCACCGTCCTCCATTAACTCGAAAGCAAAAGAAATATTATGAACCTGCAACAAAAGGACGGGAATATTACAGCATCAGGAAAAATTCACAGATCTAATTTTATTTAAAACAAACTTGATTTTTCTGCATATTTTTTGTTTCTCTTTGTTAAAACACAGATCAATAAAGACACTGCCATTAAATAAAGTGCCATCTGTGCATTCTGATCTGAAAAACATTAAATATTACTTCCAGAACACACACACGCTAGTTCATTTGCCAGGGAATATCCACAGAAATTAACAGTTATGGCGGTGGGCTTTGGGAATTCGAGTTAGTCCTGTAATGGAAGGACATCTTAGGATTGCAGGTAAGGGATCCGACATTTCATTGATGGGATCCACATATTACATTAACATGATATTCTATAATCAGCTGGCTAGAGTAGTGGTAGTGACAAACTCTGGTTTGAATCAGACCCACCTTCCCAGTAAGTGTCCCTGGGAAAGACTAACGTTCTATATCTGCCTTCGTTACTTCCTCGTAGACTGTAAGCTTATTAGAGTTTTAGTCCACCCATTGTACAGCGCTACAGAACGTGTTGGAGCTTTATAAAATGATAATGAATACACATTACATGTAAAATGAATTACATTACACTGACATACTACCTTGTATACAAACCAAACATTCCGTTTGAGAGCAGGTGGCAGTTACAATGTAACATTACTATTTCACTGTGTAATGAATGGCCGTGTTGAGCAGACTATAAACCGCTTACCTTCTGATCGAACCCCTCGGGCGTCAAGTAGAAATGGTGAAGAGGAATGAAATAATTCTCCAATAGCCCCATTAGAAGCACCAAATACACACCATCTGCAAACTGTGACAAAAATTGGGAAGAGGCCATTAGAGAGGACAGAATCTCCCCCACAAGGCCTGCACTCTATTTAAAAGCTTAGAAACTGGGATGGTTTCTGGGTAGATCACTAAGAGTCAGGCAGTCACTATGGAATGTGATTTGAAATGGACGAATGCAAAAAAATAAATATGGGCAATGAATATCTGTATAACAAATGGCAAATCACTACTTTTTAAAGAAAGCCAATTTTTTAGGTTTGGGGCGTTTATATATCCTTTCATAGTAGAAGGACCAGGAAACAGGAATGTGGGTTGGAGTACGACACATGGAAGCCATATTCCGAGAAGGTCACAGATGCTGAAGTGTTCTAAAATGTATCCACGAGAAAGCACGTGCCACCACTAACCTGAGTCTCCAGCTCCGTCACCTCCAGGTTCAGTTTGTTTAGATGCTTATTCACAAACGTAATCAAAGACTGAAATAAAGGAAAGAATGAAACTTATTAAATCTCTTTGTGTCTTACAACAACCATCTAAAGCACCAAGTAAAATCGTCTTACCTTCTTAACAACACTCAGTTTATCTGGAGCATGATCAAAGAGGGTATCAAACGCATCCCTTTCTGGGGGGAGAAAATTAAACAATGATATAGAGATATGTTATCTAAATAAACCCAAAGTAGTAAATAAAACTACTAAATGTCACTCGTATTAGTAACTTGATGAAATGTTCTGCTCGATTAGGGATACTGACATGTCTAGTGTGTTTTGTCATTAATTAATTAACCCCATTAGGGCCAATACCAGGTTCTGCTGTTTTTAAAGTTTGTAGACAACCTGCATTTATTACGGCCCACGTGGCACCATGCAGATCAAGCAACGATTCCCGCATTACTGCACAGAGGAATGATGGGAGGGGAATAGCTCTCAATTCCATTAGCAATATGTATGCTCCATTCATGTGAATTATTGATTTCAGTAAACCGTAGGGATACATAAACCGGAACATAAGACAAATAAGTAAATGGAAGGTACAAAAAGGAGATTTTACTTACCAAATTTTCCCATCATCATCCTAAAGGGGGGAAAACACTAAAATTAAAAATCTTACCATTAAAAAATAAATAAATTAAAACACTACAAAACATGGAGACTTGACAAAACCATGGAGATATCCTAGAATAGTCCATCACTGTTGGGGGAATCATTCCTCAAGTGGGTGCGAAAATTGAAAAAGTTATGTGGTCTATTACTATTTGCATATTCAGCATGGCATTCTGGGAGAATAGCACAAGTAAGCAAAAACTGTTTTGAGATGGGCAAGCTATAGGGTTTTGTCTGTTCCCACATCTTCGTTTTTTGTTGCAATGCCTTAACCTGGCTCTCCCCAAGTTAAAAGGGTAATCCAGACATGAACCTGTGCTCACCTGTGCCTAGAGGGGTATCAACTGCACCTCACTGACAAGGCCCAAAGAAGGCTGAAACAATTGTCTGAGGTTGCTGTATCTCTCACGCAGAGAGAATTTACATCGTATCCTACAGTGCAAGACTGGATGAAATGTAAACCAGGTTTTTGAATTCCATCTAGAATGGATCATTTTATAAAGCGAACGTAGATTAGCCAATTCCTGCCCCACGCATCATGACTGGTCCCTGACTGGTTGGTCCCTGACTGGTTAGTAATTAAAATAAATTCATTATTGTACAGTCATCTCATGGCTTCCCAAAGGGCTTCCCTTTCCTGCCGCCAGTCAAAAAAAATGTATACAATACGATGTGCTTTGGGATAATCTAGAATTCAGAAACAGAGAAACTGTGGGCTTGGGAATCAAAGAATGGAAGGAGATAACATTTAAAAAAAAAAAAAGAGGGAAAAAAAAAAAAGTGTTTCTAAAGGTTGGTATTGCTGCAACCCATTTATATTGCCATACACAGTGTAAAACCAAATACAAGGTGAGCTGCTACTAGACTTGAAGGCACAGAATGCCTGGCTGGGTATACAAATCAAGGAATCGAACAATAAAACAGGAAGGGAACGTTGGATAACTTCAGACATATTTTTCTGTCAATATTTATAATAAAAGCATAAAATGTTCTGCCTCTATGGGTGGAGCTCATGTTATTGAGCACGTTGACACCCTATCTCTGCAGGCCTGATACCACATGCAGCGGTGTATTTACCGCAAGGCTGAAGAGGCATTTGAGGGGGCGGCAAAAAAAGACGCCTGCAAACGTCCTGGCAAATACCTTGCCATCCTCTTGTCCTGCCCCCCCCCACCCCCCTCAAGAGCTGGCCACCTTAGCCCCCCAAGGCTACCTTATGTGGGAAGTGAGTGGCGAGGGAGCGCTCTCCCCTGCTCAGCTCCCTCACGCGCACCGCAGTGATGCCGGAGACGAAACATGACGTCACTCTGGCCCTGGCATCACTAAGAGGTGCGCAAGGGAGCTGAGCTGAAAAGATCACTGCTCCCCCACGGCACGCTTCCACTCTGGGAGCGCTTGCCTGACCACCCGCTGAGCCAGCCCCACTAGACCACAGCGAAGAATCTACTCCAGCACTCCTAAAGGTAAGGAGACTGGGTGGATTGAACTTGAAATGTTTTTATTTTAAATTGTCAGTGTGTTCATGTGTGTGTCTGTTAGTGTGTGTGTCTTGGTTAGTGAGTGTTCGTTGTCGATTGTTTGAAAAAAAAAAAAAAGTCCCTCAAAACACATCTGTTCAGAAATGCTTATGGACTCCCAGAGTAATTTATCTATACTTACCCAAGTCTGTCCCTTGCTCTCCTAAAGAGCCATACTCCACTCACCTCAAGTTATGCTACTTTTCCACCTTGTTTGGTGGCTGTCACCCTTGCTGTCCTGTTGTGTATCTCCTCTAGACCAGGGTTTCCCCAATTCATTTTTTCCATGGAACCCTTTGACATAGTGTATCAACATCGTGGAACCCCCCCCCGAAAAAAAAAAATTGTGCCGTTTTTTGTTTTTTTTAAAATGTGTGTGTCAATGAATCTGACACACACACTGGCAGATAGTGGCACACATATACACACACTGTGTGTGTGTGTGTGTGTGTGTATCAAGGTGTGTGTATTTGTATGTGCCAGTGTGTATGAATCTGACACACAGATACACATACCTTGACACACATTGTGTATCTGTGTATGTATCGGTGTGTCAGGGTGTGTGTATTTGTGTTTGTATGTGCCAGTGTGTATGAATCTGACACACAGATACACACTGGCAGATAGTAGCACACAGATACACACACTATGTGTATGTATGTATGTATGTATGTATGTATGTATGTATGTATGTGTATGTCAAAGTGTGTGCGTCTGTGTCAAAGTCTGTATATCTGTGGTTGTATGTGTCAGTATGAATCTGACACACAGATACACACACGGTGTGTATCTGTGTATGTATGTGTCAAGGTTTGTATATCTGTGTTTGTATATCTCTGTGTCAGTGTGTATATGTATCTGACACACAGATATAAACACACACTGGCACACAGATACACACACCTTGACTCACAAATACACACACTCAGATACACATAGTGTCATACACACACTTGCACCCACAGATACACATTGACACACTCACACACACACAGGTACATACAAACACACTGATACATACACACACACACACACACACTTAGATGCACACAGTGACACAAACACAAACCTTGACACAGATACACACACACACACACACACTCTTTGACATGCACACATACACTCTCACTGCCAAACATTCTTTTGCAGACACACATAGAAACTCATTGACAAGAACAGATAAATTCTCACTGCCAAACACATACACTCACTGACAAGCACACATTCACTCTCACTGACAAACACACAAAACACATACAAACTCCCTAACAGACACACATACATTTTTTTTTTTTACATGTTACTCCATCCAGCCCCCCTACCTTTAGGAGTGCTGGCATGTAGTCCCTGGGGTCCAGTGGGGCTACTGCAGCTTGGCAGGCGGCGAGGGACAGACAGGTGAGTGGTGGAGGCGGGCGGCGAGGGAGCTCTGATCTCCCTGCTCAGCTCCCTTGCGCTCCTCCTAGTGATGCCGGATCAGAGCTCCCTGCTACCCCGCCGCCTGCGGCCATTTGTTTTCAAATTTTTCGGCGGAATCCCAATTAGTGTTCTGTGGAACACCAATTGGAAAACGCTTCTCTAGACTGCAAGCTCATTTGATCAGGGTCCTAAACTACTTATTGTTTCTGTGTAATGGACTCATTTATTGTAAATTCCCCCCCTTTAATAATATTGTAAAGCGCTGCGGAATTAGTTGACGCTATATAAATAATAATAATAATAAAAAAGCGGGAGGGATAAAGCAGACAGTACAATATACTGTTAAACTTCACAGTAAAATTACTTACTCTGTTGTGGTCGTAAGCTCTTCTGTCACATAGGATGTGTGAAGGAGGCCTTCTCGTTTCTGGAAGACAGAAATCATAGGAACGATAAATTGCCAACATCCTCTTTGGTACAAACCAATACTAAAAGCATGTGCAAAATATTAAGAAACTTAAAATAATCCAAATGTTCTATATATATTAAAATAGGGGGAAAAGAAGACAAGTACATTCATAAAATGTTCAGTAGAATCACCTTACAAATACCTCCAAACTTCAGAATGGAGACAGCCTGCAACGAATCAGACTCCAGAATGGGTTCCACGCAATCTAATGCAGTCACAAACCCGCCACAGTTTATGAACAAGGACTGGGCACACAAGACCTCCACCATTAGATTTATAGAAACAATGGAAGCAAAGTTTACATTTGTAGAAGAACCAGCTACGAGCCGAAATTTCACTTGCGTTGGTCCTATAGATTCGATCAGAGCTTTCATTTCCGTCTGTTTACGTACATTTGGTTGATATTTTTTATCCCACTGTAAGATTTTAAATCGCTACAGAATTTGCCAGCGTTACATAAAATAATATTGACAATATGGGACAAAAATAAATATATTGTTTATCAGTTTGATTGGGGGGGGGGGTGGCAGAGTGGGGTTTAAAATGATTCTAAAAAAAAAACCACACAATTCCTGCTGCGACGGCTACAATAAAGAAAGGCTAAAAAGAAAACAAGCACACAAGAACTCTCTCAGAACTGTTCAGTGAATGGAAGCCTCATCAGGTAAATTGAATTGTAGAGGTAGCGACGCTTGTAATCTAGAGATTCTCTCAATCCAAAAGAGAAATCACCAGGCAATCAAAAATATCTAAACATGGAGTTCTTGATCAAATATTCAGCTATTTAAACAGATGTAGTGCTTGCACGGACTGTTACTCAGTAGAGGTGTAAAGGCCAACACAGAAAGGGATTGGAGAATGCTGAACATTATAAAGCAATATAATGGTTCAGATTTTACAGCAAAGTAAAAATGCACAAAAGGGTTTCCTCTAATCTGATTGTCATTTAATTCACTTTATACTCAGCCAGTTACTTTACTACAATACAGAACAAAAATACAACAATCGCTAAATAAAGATTTAAGCCTTTCCTCTGCTGCCATCTAGTGGATTACTGTAATATAGCAGGGGCTTGATCTTGCTGTTCACAAAATTCTATTTCAATCAATGGCATTAAAGAGTCTGTCAACGATATAATTTCTGAGTATTTTATGAAGACGTCTTTATAATGTACACAACTGACTGCACTGGGATTTCACTGAAAAGTTACCATAAGACAAAACTGTGAAATTAAATTCACAAAACAGATAGAGCCTTCACTGTGGGAATCTGGTGCATTGTGCTTATAGGTCTATGGTGGATCTGGCTCTATCAGGCTCCATAGACCTCCATGCTGTAATCCAGCGCATGCACAACAGAACAGTAGTGACAGATGTTGGTGGATGAAGCACAAGTAGCTGAAGAAAGATGATGGTGGCACTCGCTGGGAACCGTTTCATGCAAGTCTAAATTAGCTCATCTTTTCCAATATAACTTAGTAAGAAATAGAACATAATTAACACATACTATACGGTAAATGTACATTCAGAATATCCTTAAAGACACACACACCCGAATAACCATTTTGAACACAACAGGTTAATGACACATTAACAAATATCACTAACCTGATAACCTGTAATTGCAAATCTAAAATATAAATAAATTAAATGGAAAAAAATTTAAAAAATTAAAATTAAAAATTGTTTGTGTTTGACGAGGCTCCTGGGTGCTCTCTTTCGATCCGGTGATCTCCATGCTGCCTGCGATGACATCAAATGTAGTTCCTATGTCAGTAGTGACGCAGTACGCCCGCGTCGTATGTGCGCCCCTTGCCAGTACTATGTGCCCACACAATGCGTGATGGCACACATGACTCATGCTAATTAGAGAACAAATTAGCCAGAGAGTGTGTTCATTATTTCCTTGTATTTTTGGTACCGAACTTGGCTTGTTTAAAAAGTTTTCATTCAGTATTTGCTAATATTTTACACCCTCTGGGCTGCACTAGTTTTATTTATTTTTTATTATAGTCAACATAAAAGGTAAGCTAAAAAAAAATATATATATATATATTATATATATATAATAAAATAAGTAAATTAAAAGTAACCTCATTTAGGAAGGTATAGTGAGGCTGTTTAAGTGGCAGCCAGGGGAGGTGTGGCTACGGCTGCATAATCAAGGATTTAACTCCTAAATGGCAGAGAATTGAGCAGTGTGACTGCAGGGGGCACAATCTGTACAACAAAGCTGCTTCATTAAGTTTAAGTTGTTATGGTACTCCTTTTAAAGGAACACTATAGTCACTAGAACAACTACAGCTTATTGCATTTGTTCTGGTGAGTAGAATCATTCCCTTCAGGCGTTTTGCAATAAACACTGTCTTTTCAGATAAAATGCAGTGTTTACATTACAGCCTAGTGATAACTCCACTGGCCACTCCTCAAACGGCTGCTAGTGGTGCTTACTGGGACAGTGTGACTGCCATTCAGTGTCTCCACCCTCTGCATACAGACACTGAACTTTCCTCAAAGAGATGCATTAATTTAATGTATCACTATGAGGAGATGCTGATTGGCCAGGGCTGTTTTTGACTCTGCCTCTGATCTGCCTCCTTAACAGTCCCAGCCAATCCTATGGGGAAGCATTGTGATTGGCTCTGAACAACACTTGTATTCAAGTCTGCAGCTGCTGCCTCATGTCAGCAGACAGAGGCAGCAGCTGCAGACTTGAATACAAGTAAGATTTTACTAGATTTACGCAGGCAAGAGGGGGTCAGATGTTAGTTTTAACACTTTAGGGTCAGGAATACATGTTTGTGCTCCTGACCCTATAGTGCTCCTTTAACACAATTACTGAAATAAAGCGAAGGAAACAAAAATAAACATTGTGCCATGTCACTCTTTATACTGTCCACATTATCCTTGAAGACATTGTTGCGATTCATCTATTTTTGCAACAATTATTAACAAAAATAAACAAAACTAAATTTACTTTTGAATAAAAAATTACACTGTTAATCATTCAAATCACACATCAAGAATGGATTTTTACCTTTACGACGACGACCTGGACGCTGACATGTTCAGGAAGGCGAATCGGAGCGCAGAAATGCATTGCCAGCGCTACAAGAAGGTGAAGAATAGCGGCCGTATTCTTTCCATGGATCGCTACAGTAAGACAAGAGAGAAGCCAACAGTGAGACATACAGACGGAAATCGCTGCAAGATAAATTACGGAACATTGGTGTCCAGAGATACCCACCGTCCACGGTCCATCGGATCGGCCACCCTTGGGGTCTCAGGAGATCCTGAACCTTTTCCAGAACAGTTTGTAACTTCTGCTTCTGAGCGATTTCAGACTGTGTCACTTCTGCCACGTTCAGCTTACAGTTTGCCAGTGTCTCTGCAAATTAAAAGGAATGAAATGAGTCCAAACCTGGGAATCAGAGGGATTCATAATAACCCACAAACAGAAGGTCTTACAAAACCAGAGAGCGCGTCATTCCTACATAATGTGTCTCAATGCTGTATATTGTTTATATTACAGGATTTTTAATTATTAGGGTTTCAAAGCGATTTCATCTTTGGGCAGCACCAAGACATGCCCAGTTGCTGCCAGGGATTGATGGGAGTTAGGCAGACGTCAGCTGATAACGATATGCCAGAAAAGAAGCTGAATTAAGAAAAGCCCCCCTTTAATATGGTTTCCCCACCTAGCAGCTTCTGTAGCACCTGTCCGTCATACAAATCATGTTTCAGACTTTTTACAATAATCCGCTCCTCCACCAGAACTTCATTAATCCAATCTATGAGAACCTGTAAGGAGAGAAAAGGGTTAAAGGATGAGAAGAATCAACGTGACTGGCTGGACTTTCTATAAACTTAATCTACGCTACGTTTGCTTAAAACTGGTGCAGGACTCCGCAAGAGGAAGGCATTTGTGGATGTTTGAGTAATTTCTGTGGTTTAGGGGACCAGACTTTATAAAATAAAGTTAGAGCTGAATTTGAGTTTTATGCCTTTTTGAATGGAAAGTATAGATACCTCTTCATAATGAGGTTTGTAGAGGTTTCTGAGTAATAAATAGCAATAATAATCAATAGGATTCCTATATTAGAGTAGTAACCATGGAAACCGTGGAAGGTTTATTGTAATTGGGTCAATTCAGGATCCGTATCTGGGGGGCGGGGGGGAAGGGTATTGGCTATTCCAGAACAACAAATATGATCTGGTATTAAATGAAAACAATGTTATATATTACACTGAATGTCATTACCGTTTGTACAGTGCAAAAACCCTTCATGTTAAAGGGACCTCTAATCTGAACCACTGCAGCTTGATGTATTGTTACAGCTCACTGCAGTGGTTATGGTGCAAAGTGTCTAGGAATTCAAAGCCAAACCAGTATTAGAAGGGGGAAACCAGCCCCCATACTGGGATTTCAGTAAGTAAAATATATTGCTGCATAACCCAATGGTAAAAAAAACAACATTTAATATCAGCAATAACTTGTGCTGTTTCAGTAGCTACAATGTTTCCTGTGTAGATTAAAGATTTAGTGTTTGTTAACACAATTCAGTTTAGTCCAGGCGCACATTGTAATAAGGACAACGACAAACATCGATGACTTTGTAAAAGACAGAGCTTAGACAGAGGTCCCAAGTTTCAGGGTAGAGGTAAAAAGAACAATGTGCATTTTACATATAAATCTTATTTTTAAGGCCACAAAACCCATATCTGATCAGTGCAATACTAAATTTAAAAAAAGAAATTGGGAAGGGTCAGCTCCCTTCTAAAATACATCACATTGAATTTGTAACAGTATCTGGCAGTATAAAGACAGCTCCTTATCGTTAATGTATCACATTCTGTCTGTGCAAAGATTAAAATGTTAGACATCACATTCTTTTCCCACTCAGTAAATCTCAGTTTAGTGAATAAATCCCCAATAATGGAACAAAATACGTTAAACTCTCACCTTTTTTAGTTCTATATATTTGAGATCTTCTCTGGATGCTTTGTCAATCATTGTCCGCTCTTCATTTTCCTCTGTGTGATCACAAAACACAGGAGGGATTAGAGAGATATTAGCTGCGGCCATCACTCTAAGCGCTAATCGCAGAATTAGGACAAATAAAAAGTCTCAGAGAAATAATGAAACATTCTTTTACTGGAAACTCTTAGTGGCCGTCCAGTCATGCCATGACTGTTATATATAGATAAAAATAAAAAAAAGGATTAAGGGAGAAAAAGGAAACGCAGAACGCCTGGGTGGGGTGTCAGGAAGTTTCCAAATATGATTCAAATCTGCAGAAACTTTAGTCTTTATTTAAACAAATAGAAGTCAATAAGGTTTTTCACTAAAAAGAAAATTCAAAGTGAATTTAAAATTTAAGCCCAGAGATCTGGTAGGATAACGGACGTGCCCATTCGACAATAGCTCGCTTATTCTAACATTTTCCAGGGGATCTGCTTTTCATTTTTTTTTTTTAGTTCAATGTGTCCGTTGCATACTGTGATTTATAGCACATGCGGCATCTGAATGCACAGTTACGGCTGATATACCCCCAATGAGTGAGTGCATGCATTTATTTGGATCTTAAATTAGCCTACAAATTCTGTAATTCTTATAAACTGCAGCCTCCACAAGCCCTCCCCTTTTCCCTGCAAGACTTGTTAGTCTCTTTATGGGGACATAACCAGTCACAGGCTTTTAGAAAATCAGCCCTTTTATAAATAGGAATAGAATAGAATACTCGTCGCCCATGAAGCATTTTGGTAACTTGAAGTGTTCGTATGGGTGTGAAGTGGACCTTTAAGCCACTATTTGAATTTCTTATCATTCACATTGATTCACAAACTCTATTCAAAAAAAGACAGACCCAGGCTGTACGTATAGGTGTTCAGCCAGATATTTTATACTAAAATCAAAAATTAATTTTCAGTTCTAGACAATGCACACTTTAATAAGTAAATCATTTTACTTTAAACAGCCTTTTAAAGTACGAATGTCCCGTGGAGTGCATAGATCTGGCAGCTGATGGGTAAGGTTACATACCAAGCAATGTCTCCTCTGGGTCGAGGGTGATGGGTGTTGGAGACATCGGAGCGTTGATGGCATTTTTACCTTCCTCCTGGAGATCATTCACTAAGTTAGAGAAAAAGATATGTTAATATTAAAGTACCATAGAGAGAGAGAGACACACACACAAAGTAATATTTACCACGAGTAGGGTGGGGCAAGGGTGGGGTTCCCCAAACACTATATTTTACGGTTTCACAATTTGAATTTCAATGCACTACATTTTTTATTTTTTTTTCACAAAACACAGAAAAGTCAGAAATTCAAGTGGCTTTCAAATTTTAGCAAAAAATAGCAAAAACCAAATAAAATTTGTCGATGTTGGCTTAAAACAGGCTTCCTCAAACTCCGGCCCTCCAGATATTGCTGAACTACAACTCCCATGATTCTCAGTCTATTTCATTCATAGCATCAGGGGAGTTGTAGTTCAGCAACATCTGGAGGGCCAGGGTTTGGGGAAGCCTGGCTTACAGTTTGGAGATCAGTTTGAATTCCTGAGAACTTCCATGTTAGTGAATAGCCATTAATCTGTAATAGAAGTCTAGCTTAATGCAGCCACTTTAATGCCACAGGGTTTTACCTCCATTCCCAAGATTAGACCCCCCCAACCCTACACCCCCCTGTTTTTTGTTTACATTTTAATATCAAATAGACACAAAAAGATTTACAAAAATAGACTCTTTATAGCAGGTTAGATGTAGGTATTTTTTAATCCACACACGCCAAAGCCAGTTTAATGTTAAAATATACAGAGTTATTTGTGCCGAGGAGATGTAAGTAACACAACCCTTAATGGTTACTAAACTCTTTTTTTTTTTGGGACACAAGCCATTTTTTCTGGCCGGATTCGAAGCCCATTAAGAATAATTGCTGAGACACACCGGAGACACACAGCAGCATTGAGTCCTGTTCTAAGCCGTGAGTTCATCTCACCGAAGGTTTCAAGATGCAGATCCTAACACCTATCACAGCTAGCTCCAATTTATCCTCATTTTCATACATACCCACGCCTTCCTTCCGACGCTTCCTACAGAGCAGGCCAGACATCCCACCTCTTCCAGTGCTTGAAGTTCGTAAATAAAAATGGAGGAGGCCTTGCCCAGCCCTGGTTATTCCTGACACGGTGACGACAGGATGAGACAGGAGCTCTTTACAATTAGGAAGGGTACGGACAGCTGAGAGCCTGCCACTTGACGTTAACACTTTGACTGCTGTCAGAAAGATCTTTAATTGCACATTCCATAAATAAAACCGGATACTCCAGGAGAGCCATAAACCCCAATTACTGACTGGCTGATCATTGGCAACTGGTGCAGGACTCAGACTAGCTGTCATTTAAAAGAAATGTGTTAATCTCTTCGTTTATTCATCTAGAACCCAGTTTCCTGATGCTCGAGCCAGAAATGGGCAAAACCAAATTAAAAACCATCTCACAACTTATCGAGAAGGACATGATCAGACAAGATATTCCTCCAGGAGACTGAAACGTGGAACAAACAGGGGGGAATCACATTAAAAACCCACACGATTGCACAACGGCAGTGTAGTAAAATATCATCAGAATATGTTATTAATAGAATAAGGACTGGACCCAGGTAGATCTTGTGCCATTATTGGGATGGGGATTTCCTATAAAACCAGTTCACATACTCCGGTTCTATGGTAATTACACGGCCCATGGCCACTGACCTCCATGGGGAAATGGAAGGTTTCTGTGTACATTTTAATTCTGCTGCCCATATTGTGTGTAACCCCTCCAAAATGTGTCCAGTTCTGAAGTGGCTATTGTGTAAATGTAGGATACATTTTATACTATTGGCTTCTTGTGGTAAGGAGGTAATTATTTCTGTGCTTAACCCCTTAAGGACACATGACAGAAGTTTGGTCCTTAAGGGGTTAAAGAGGACACTATAGGCACCCAGACTAGTTCAACTCATTGAAGTGATCTCTGTGCAGTGTACCTGTCCCCTTAACCCTGCAATGTACAAGACAGCCACTAGAGGTGTTACCTGCTGTTACATAAAGTTTGTGTGAAAAAAAAGCAAAAAAAAGCAAGGGTGGCAAAAATTATCAGTTTTGATGATCTCAGTCAATCCAATACTTTCCCTTAGAAAAGCATTAGAAGGCTACTGTGCATGCACTTCCAAACACTGTGCTGAATGAATGCATCTCTATTGGGAAGCAGACCGTGGAAACGCTGAACTGACCCAGAATGCACCGCTAGAGGCCCTCTGAGTGTGCCACTAGAGGAGCAATTTGCCAGCAATGTGAACACTGGCTTTTCTTTGAAAGGGCAGTTCTTACAATACTAAGGCTGCAGGGACAGGCTATAGACACCAGATCCACTACAATGAGCTGTATCTTACACATTAAGCTGTAGTGGGTCTGGTAATTGTCCCTTTAAGAATCAGCTGACCTCAGCTATCAACAAGGTTATACAGCGTGTAACACAGTAAATACATAGAAAACAGGACAGGTTTACTGTGAGAGTGGCAGACACACCCTTTGAAGCGTACCTTTGTTGTGATGGTGCTTGGCGCGGACCTTGTGAGTGAGCGTTGGGTAGTTAAAGCAGTAGGTTCGTTGTTTACGAATGAACATTTAGCCGGCTCCTAGGGAAATTGATCAATCCCCGGAACAAAACCATCCATCAAGGGGTTACGATTAACTGCAATTCCCATCAGGACTTAAATATTTAATATAACTAACACTCAGAATACTTTATTAAAAACAGCTAAATAATTTAAGGTTTAACGCAAAACAACGGATAATTGGGTAATAGAATGATTATTACTTCTATACCCGCTGCGTCTTGCTAGATTAAAACATGATTTTGTAAAATAAAATAAAATTACATAATTTTTAAAAAATGAGATTCCTAGCTCACTGAATGCATTGAGATATATGTACAAAGTATTTGGCATGCTCATTAAATAGAGTAAAAATGTAATCTGTACTCCCCCCACTTCGCAACAGAGCGCAAGCCTAATACCGATAACATAGACACCCCAGCGTCACACTAAAGCTTTCCTTTACACAGAGAGTATCGCACCATAACCATCACCTCACTAATACCGCCACAACAAATGTGACACTAATACTCTCATCTAGACAAAGTGTCCTGCTAACATTTGCCCATCCCTGTGCCACACTACCACCACAAACATAACACTAATACCACCAGAAACAATGTAATCTAATACCACTTCAGACACAGAATGCCACACTTATACCATCTCACTCAGGGCATCACATACACAGAGCTACACCAATACCTCCATATAGACTCAAGAGCACCACACCAATACCGCCACAGACAGAGACAGCACCACACACTAACAACACACAGAACATGCAGCCTTTGATTGGAATACAGTTTGTGACTGAGGTGCTCTACAAGGACTTTTCAAACATTTACAGAGAATCTTACTGTTTGTCAGCTGAAGGGGACTGTAAGACACCAAAGTCTGGCTTCAAACAAGGGCTGGGGACTAGCAGAAAATAATGCCATGCACTCCCCATTTATAGTATCTGCAGCCATTTACCACGGCCAAGCCATGGGCTCTCGCTGCTTCCTACAGATAGGAAAACCACAAAAACGCACAACGATAAATTGTCAGCACAAACTCTTCACCCATAACACACCAAGAGAGACACTGTGCCAAACCACTGACATTCTACGGGTTAATCAGCCCTTGTATAAAATGATTATTTATATAACATAAATAGCCATTAAAGCCATCCTTGCCAGTGGCATCCTCTGGTAATAGATAAATGGATGGATTCTGCAATTCAGATTACACAGTCCCTACACGTGGAACCCTTACAACAATAAAAAAAACTTACTGGTATAAAGCAAAAAAATATATCACGAGTACCTCTATAATGTTTTATACTTTGTATATTAGTATATAGTCAGCTTACCGAAATAGGACAAATGTATAGGAGTCTCAAGGGCTCAACAAAATTCATAAACCTTTCAGATGGGCTGATGTCATTTATACCTCTATATGCAACAATATTTCATATCCATTAAGTCTCCTTAGGACCTTCCCTCATCTATGTTACAAGAGCGTTTTTAATCTTCTCACAACATCTATCCCATACGGAGATATTTGTGTTTATATTTTTGTTATTTGCTATCAATAAATGTTCCATTCTGACTTGAAATGTGGGTTGATTTTTCACCAACGACCAGGGAATTATCTTTTCTACATCCCAGTGTCTTGCGATTACAATTTTGGTAGCCAATAGTGCAGGAGATAAAATCAGTTGGTCCATGTGAGACATACTGTATATGGCCAGTTAAGATGTAGTAGAGTAACCTCTGGAAACCTTTTTATTTTGATATTTAAGGTTAATTAAAGAAAAGCATAAGTTTCCCCCCCATAGGTCTCTTATTCTATCACATTCCCACCAAATATGGAGGTAGGTACCTCTAATCAATTGGCACCTCCAACACATGTGGTCTGCATTAGGAAACATCTATTTATATTGGAATTAACATCTCGATTTATTTTTTTAATTCTTTATTTTGAGAGATTTTGCTTTTTTGGGGGGTTGTGGGGGGGTACAGAAAGTAAAACAGGGGGTAAGCAGTCGTAGTCCAGTTTTCACAACATGTACATATTCTTGTTATAACATACTTTTCATGAAAAAACTGTCACATATTAAGTAACATGCTTTTCGTCAATGCTGGAGTTTGTATCTTTCATTCTTGGTTTCTGTTTGAATAGCAGTTTTGTTCTATGGACGTCGGGGAGGGTCAACATTTTTCATTCAGTTTTCCCTACATACACTGATGGTAGTTGTCTTTGTGTAGGTTTGCGTTGATGTGGATGAGGAGGGGGGGCGTTGTAGGAAAGAGGGTGGAGGTGGGGTGAGGGTAGTCTGATGCCATTTACAAGTTGGTAGTAGTGCCATTGCCAGGTGTTTTATTGGGTTTAAGTTTGCAGTTACCTAGGAGCGTGCAGTTCTCTTTGGTAATTCCTTGTTCATTCACTGCATTGCCTAGATATAGGTGGCGGTGGCATTTGTTAGATGTCGTAGGTTCCCTTGTGGGGATTGGAAGCCTGCCTTGTGATTAGTGTGCATTGGTGGGTGTTTGCAACTGTGGTTCGGTTGGGGTCGTTGCAGGGTGCGTCATTAGTTGTGGTGATTTATGTCTTTTCGTTCTTACTGGTGTTGCAGCCTTTCGTTTGGGTATAGTAGGGTCTCAGTGTGTTGTTGTCGTGGAGGTTTTCAGTGGTCCCTTGTCTGTTCAGGGTACTGCTGTGTCCTGCGTTGTTGTACGTGGGGGAAGTGGGTGGGGTATGGCTTTAAGGAGTTCAGGGGTTTGGGCTTGGGTGATGGTCTACGGATCGCCTGGGCGCTCAGCACCCCCCTAAGTGGGTAGGGGTGGGCTGTATGGCGCAGGGGTGGTTGTGTGCTGTGGTTGCTGGTTTGGGTAAGTGCATTGGTTTTCAGGTTTTCTCCAGGGGTGTTGATCTGTTTGTGTATAGGTTTTACCATGGTATGGTTGTGTCTCCCTCTAGCCATGGGTCCCATATTTTTTGATACTGTTTGGGTGAGTCATGTACTTATGCTGTGAGTTTATCCATGTGCGAGCTGTCAGTTATTTTTCTCAAGACCATTTCCTGTGTCGGGATACGGGTTGTGGACCACAGTTCCGCTATGGCCCTTCGTGTTGCTAGGGCTATTAATTTATTTTCGGCTCTGGTGAATGTATCTATTGGTTTGGAGAGTAGAAGTGCCCAGGGATCTGTGGGGCAGGGTTTGTACAGTATCTTGGCTATCAGTTGTGTGACACTGTGCCATAGAGGTTGGAGTTTCGGACACGTCCACCAGCAATGTAGGAACGTGCCCTTTTCTCCGCATAGTTTCCAGCATGTGTTCGTCGGTATTTGGTGCATAATGGCGAGGTGTTGTGGTGTGAGGTACCAGCGGAACAGCATCTTGTATGCCTGTTCCTTGTGTGTGACACATATTGATATGGATGCCGTTGCTTCCCATATGTCTGACCAATCGGTGGCTTCCTCAGGGGGGCCTAAGTCTGTTTCCCCACGCTGTTATGTATGGGAGGGCCAGTTGTGTGTCGTGGTTGGCTATTGTCAAGTACATGTCAGATTTGCCCTTGTCTATTAGGCTGCTTTGTGCAGTCATATTCAAAGCGAGTGAGTGGGGCTGTGCCGGCTTGTCGTATAATCGGGGTTGCTGCGAAGCTGCGCAGTTGTATATATCTAAAGTGATCAAAGGTTGTGAGTGAGGATGCGTCTTTAATTTCTGAGAATCGGATGATGGTATCATTTTGGTAGAGGTGTCCCAATCATGATATGTCTCGTTGTTCGAAGTGGGCGAAATGTTTTGGGGTGAGTCCTGGTGGGAATAGTTTGTTCCTCCAGATTGGGGTCATGGGGGGAGAGGTAAGAAGATAGCTCAAATTTGTCTCTGAGTTTGTCCCAGAGACCGAGTGTGTGTGTGATCGCGGGTGCGGTAGTGGGGGGTAAGGGCCTGTTTGGTTTAGGTGCCAACATGTAAAGGGACGGGTGATCCCAGCCGAATATCAGGTGTTCTAAGTCCACCCAACGTTTTTCCCCTGGTGGGACATGCCATTGTTGTATCTGCGCTAAGTGCGTTGCTGAGTGATAATGTACGAGATTAGGTAGTCCTAGGCCTCCGCATTTCCTGGGTACATCCAGAGTGCCCCTGCGTATTCTTGGTTTGTGGCCATTCCAGACAAATTTGTCTATAGCTGATTGTAAGGTTTTGAAATCTTGTTTGTGGATAGGGATTGGGAGTGTTTGGAAAAGATACAGGAATCTGGGGAGGAGGTTCATTTTCATAGAGGCGATGCGTCCCAGCAAGGAGATTCCTAAGGGTCCCCACTTTATTAGGTCCTCGTGGGCTTTTCTAAGTAGGGAAGTGTAGTTTCTTGCGTATAAGGTGGTCTTGTCTGACGGTAGTTTAATACCTACGTATCCTATTTCTGTGTGGCAGAATCGCAGGGGGACTGTGTGTGTGATCCTGGTTAAGCTCTGGGTTTGTATTTGTATCGGTAAGAGCTCAGATTTAGTTAGGTTGATCTTATACCCCGAGATTTCAGAGTATTCGCGTATGATGGTAAGAAGTGGGATAAGTGAGCTTTCCGGGTTGGTTAGGGTCAGGAGTATGTCATCGGCATATGCCGAGAATTTAAATGTTTCTGCTCGTACTGTAATTCCATCTACCTCCCGGCTGGAGCGCACCGCCTGCAGCAGGGGTTCTAATGAAAGGGCAAATAGTAGTGGTGATAAGGGGCATCCCTGCCGTGTGCCGTTTGATATGGGGAACTGCGGTGGGACTATGTTTGGTATGAGGAGTGCACCTGTAGGTGAGTGGTATGTCGCTTGTAAGAACGAGGTAAATTCGTTGGGTAGTCCTGTGTGTGATAGGGTTCGGTGTAGAAACGGCCATAACAGGCGGTCGAAGGCCTTTTCTGCGTCTAGCAATATTATGGCCGTAGGGATGTGTTTATGGTTGGCCAGCCAAATGAGGTCTATGGCCCTCGGTGTGTTGTCTGCTGCTTGCCTATGGGGGATGAATCCCACCTGGTCTGGGTGGATGAGGGAGTCCAGGTGTGGGTTCAGTCTGTTAGCCATGACTTTAGTCATGATTTTGAGGTCTACATTGAGCAGCGAGATAGGTCAGTAATGAGCGGGGTCGGTGTGGTCTTTTCCGGGTTTGGGGAGAAGGCAGATGTTTGCATTAGTGTAGTCTGATGTGAGCTTTTCCCCTCTGAGTGCGGCATTGAAGACTGCGCAGAGGTGTGTGAGGAGTAAGGGGCTAAATTCTTTGTAGTAGAGGGCAGCATATCCTGGGCTTTTGTTGGGTTTGAACGATCCTACTGCCTGTGCCATTTCCTCTACCGTGACTTCTTGTCCTAGTGTTCTTTTGGCCTCTTGGGACAGTTTGGGTAGTGTTGCGTTTTGTAAAAAAGTGTCTATGCGTGTGGTGAGGGACTCCCTTGTGTCTAGGGGTTGTCGGTCGTGGTTATAGAGGTCCATATAGTAATCCTGAAAAATTTAACCTATACGGTGTGGGCAGTTGCTAAGATTCCCTTTCTCTGTGCGGATTGTGGAAATACGCCTGTTGTCGGTGCGTTTTTTGAGGCGGCGAGCTAGCATGGTATCTGCCTTGTTCCCTTTTTCATAAAATTTTTGTTTGAGCCACATGAGTGCTTTGGCTGTGTCTGCTTGTGTGAGGAGGTCCCTAGTTGCCTTTAATTCCTTCAGTATGGTGAGGTTAGGGCATTGTTTGTGCTCTATCTCCAGGCGGCGCAGTGCCGTCATTGCTTCAGTTATTTTTCATTGGGTTTGCTTTTTCTTACGTGTGGCTACACTAATAAGAGTGCCCCTAATGACTGCTTTATGTGCAGCCCATAGGGCTATTGGTGAGGTTGCCGTGGGGGCGTTGAATTCGAAGTACTCCTTGATTGCTTTGGCTATTTCATCTCTAATTAGCTTGTCGTCTATTTTTTCTATAGTTGAGGTCTTTTGTTCAATCAAATAGGATTTAAAAAAAAAAAACTCTTCAATCTTAAGTAGTTAAATATTTATTTAGATGGTAAATGATACTCATTTAATAATTGTGGGAAAGTTTTTAGTTCTCGATCTACTGCTAATTGGGAAAGATTTGTGATACCAGTCTGGATCCAGGCCTTTAAATATAAATCTGGCATTTGTTGTTCAATAAATTGCAAGTCAAGATTAATGGTTTTAAATGTTTAATATGGTTTTAAATTTTCTCCCAATTTTTGAAAACTTGTGTTGTAATTAAATTAGGAAATTTTTTTTGTAAAAAATGTGGTCTCCAAATTAGACCGTTCGAATTTGTCACTTCCCCTGCTTTTGCCTCTATTCTGTTCCATCTTTCATCTAGGTTGTCTTTTAATTGCATTCTATGAATATGTAGTATTGTGGATGCAAGACAATTGTTTTTAATAGGATATTTAATTCCTATTTTATAAGTCTTTTATCCAACCAACTTTCTGGTATGTTTACAGGCAACATCTGAAATGTATAATGCCACTTTGGGATTACATAGGAGTTCACTACGTTAATCCTTCCCAAGAAGGAGATTTCTACATTTTTACGGTCCTGCAACCATCGATTCATAGACTGTAGTGTTTCTAAAAAAATTTACTTGCATAGTTTTCTCCCCTGCCCATAAAAAAAATATATATATTTAATTTTAATTACATCTCTGGTTACTTTATTCAGATTGATGTCCAATATCACAGATTTATTTGTATTCATTTATAGTTGGGTACCTTATTATAATGCTTTATTTCCACCATAAGGGCAGTCAAAGATTTAATGGGGTTAAAGTAATTAAAATATCATCGGCATATAAACTTGTTTTTAACTCCTCCTTGGATATTTTATACCCAGAAATCCTAGTGTTATTCCTTATATTAGTTACCAAAGATTTGATAGAAAGAAGGTATAAAATAGGGGAAAGAGGGCATCCTTGATGAGTGCCATTATTAAAAGGGAACCATAAAGAGCAGTTTTTTTGGCCTATAGTACAGACGGAAGGATTGGTATATAAAAAGCCATAATGGCTCTTTGTATCCAAACAAAAACGCCAAAACATTTCAATGTGGCCTCCAAAAACTTTCAGTTGACCCTGTTGAATGCTTTTTTTTTAGCATCAACCGACAGGGTCAACAAAGGGATAGTCTTTCTGGAAGCATTGTCCATTATATTTACCATTCTACGTATATTTGTTGAAGATGTTCTCCCAGGTACAAAGCCAATTTGGTCAGGATGAATAATCGCTGGTAAGACTTTCTTAATTCTTGAGGATAGGATAGAGGCGTAAAGCTTAACATCAACATTGATGAGAGAAATTGGCCTATAATTTCGCACATCGGTAGGCAGTTTATTTTGCTTCAAGATAGGCAGTAGATTTGCTAGTCATCTCCTCTGGGAAGGATCCAACTGGAGCAGCAAAATTAAAGGTATTTACTAAATGTATATTTACCAGGAGTCTTATAGCGGTCTAAGTTAGATATTGCTACATTAACCTCTTTTCGATGGTTATTGCTCTATTCATTGTGGATCTCTCATTATCGCATATCTGAGGTAAATTAGTGTTCAGAAGATATTGGTTAATATTAGCTATTCTTGTATCTGATGGAATATTGTAAAGGTTACTATAGAAGTCATTTAATTTTGTCCAATTTCCTTGGGGTCACATAGAATATCTTTATCAACTAGTTCTAACACTTTATTTGCACCCTTTTGTTGTCTTAGTTTATGCGATAATTTGTCCTCCCTATTTGCCTTGAAATAGTATTTTAATTTCAGTTTTTCTAAACTTTTAGTGGTTCTTTCCATAAGTAGTGATGTCGCGAACACTTCCACAAATGTTCGCGAACCGCCATAGACTTCAATGGGCAGGCGAATTTTAAAACACACAGGGACTCTTTCTGGCCACAATAGGGATGGAAAAGTTGTTTCAAGGGGACTAACACCTGGACTGTGGCATGCCGGAGGGGGATCCATGGCAAAACTCCCATGGAAAATTACACAGTTGATACAGAGTCTGGTTTTAATCCATAAAGGGCAGAAATCACCTAACATTCCTAAATCACAATCAATATGGATTGACACCTGACATATGACATATTGACATATGGATTGACACCTGTCCTCAGAGCCCCTGATGCACACGGACACAGAGCAGAATAGGGACTGGTCCCCCTACATAGGGTCACTTGGCAGATATGGATTGACACCTATCCTAAGGATCCCTGATACACACTGACAAAGAGCAGAATAGAGACTGTTTCCCCTACATAGGGTCACTTGGCAGATAGAGCCCCTGATACACACTGACACAGAGCCCCTGATACACACTGACACAGAGCAGAATAGGGACTGTTACCCCTACATAGGGTCACTTGGCAGATATGGCGTGGTCGTGGGAGGAGGAGTATGACTTTCACCTCTTCCCCTGTTAGATTCCCGTTGTGCTGTGACATCACCCTTATACGCTGTGTAAAGCATACTTTTTAATTTATTTTGCAAATGCTGCATCCTTTCTGACTTGTAATTCGGTAACATTTCCGCCACTGTCTGCTTATACCGGGGGTCTAGTAGCGTGGACACCCAGCACAGGTCGTTCTCCTTCAGCCTTTTTATACGAGGGTCCCTCAACAGACACGACAGCATGAAAGACCCCATTTGCACAAGGTTGGATGCCGAGCTACTCATTTCCCATTCCTCCTCCTCACACAGAGCAGAATAGGGACTGTTCCCCCTACACTTGGCAGATATGGATTGACACCTGTCCTCAGAGTCCCTGATACACACTGACACAGAGCAGAATAGGGACTGTTCCCCCTACATAGGGTCACTTGGCAGATATGGATTGACACCTGTCCTCAGAGACCCTGATACACACCGACACAGAGCAGAATAGAGACTGTTCCCCCTACATAGGGTCACTTGGCAGATATGGATTGACACCTGTCCTCAGAGCCCCTGATACACACTGACACAGAGCAGAATAGAGACTGTTCCTCCTACATAGGGTCACTTGGCAGATATGGATTGACACTGTCCACAAGGACAAGCTGCAGGCTTCCTGGCAGGGCCCATACAAGGTGGTAGAGCAGGTTTGTGATACCACCTTTGTGATCGGTGCGGTTACAGGCACGGGAGGCAAGCGCATGCTCCATGTGAACATGCTCAAGGCATACCACGAACGCACTGAAGAGGTAACCGCGATCTGTGCACCTGCCACTGAAGATTATGATAATTTGCCACTCCCAGATCTCCTAGACCTAGAGGGCCAGAGCGGAGACCTGGGAGAAGTACAGTTAGGAGAATGGTAATCCAGGACAAGGGGGCCACGTTTTCCAACCTACCTGGGTACAGTCCGTTAACCACTCACAAAGTTGAAACCCTAGACCAGACCCCCCTTCGCCAAACCGCCTATCGCATACCCGAAGCAGTTAAAGAAAATATGCGGAAAGAAATTGAGGAAATGATGCAGTTAGGGGTGATAGAACACTCTGACAGCCCCTGGGCCTCCCCGGTAGTACTAGTACCGAAACGGGACGGCACGACCCGTTTCTGTGTAGACTACCGGAGGCTAAACGATAAAACAACCTCAGACGCCTACCCTATGCCCCGGATAGACGAGCTCCTAGACAAAATGGCCAGAGGCCAGTACCTCACCACAATAGATCTGTGCAAGGGGTACTGGCAAATTCCATTAGCCGAGGACGCCATCCACAAGTCGGCATTTGTCACCTCGTTTGGCCTGTATCAGTTTAAGGCCATGCCATTCGGGATGAAGAATGCCCGGCTAACTTTCAGAGGATGGTAGATCGGCTACTGGATGGGTTTCAGGAGTATGCCTGCGCCTACTTGGATGATATAGCCATTTTTAGCTGCTCCTGGCCCTAACACCTGACCCACATAGGAGCCGTACTAGACCGGATTAGGGAGGCCGGACTGACCCTAAAGCCCAGTAAGTGCCATATAGGAACGCGTAAAAACCTCCCCAAGATAGTAGTATGGGCCCCAGAGTGTGAACAGGCCTTCCAACAGCTCAAGACGGCGCTCATTAAATCATCTGTACTTTCTGCTCCTGATCCAACTAAACGCTTTCTCGTCCATACAGACGCTTCTATGTTTGGATTGGGAGCAGTACTGAGCCAAGTCGGAGCAGATGGCGGCGAGCAACCCGGGGCTTATCTAAGCCGGAAACTTTTGCCCAGGGAAGTAGATACACTGCCATTGAAAAGGAGTGCCTGGCGGTGGTGTGGGCCCTCAAAAAGCTGCAACCTTACTTGTATGGACAACCGTTTACTTTACTCACAGATCACAACAAATTTGGGGCACTGCGCGTGCAATCTAATGTGCCACCAGATAGGAGTGGTGTGTTTAGTACTATTGTTATCAGTTTAATCACTGTTACGTCCCCTATCCGTTGATGTGGAGCAAGACGCAGCAGCAGAAGAGGACTCAGCCGAGGAGGTTATGGAAGAGGATGGAGTAGGAGGAGTAGAGGAGGTGGCAGCAGACCTGCCTGCAAGTCATGGCGGTGTCACCAACTCCTCTGCAGAGCCACGCATTCCATGCTTGGCAGCCGTCAGCAGGTTTGCCCAATGCGCAGTGTAGGTGATATACCTGCCCTGACCATGCTTTGCAGACCAGGTATCAGTGGTCAGATGGACCCTTGCCCCAACACTGTGTGCCAGACATGCCATTATTTCCTTTTGCACAATCGAGTACAGGTTGGGGATTGCCTTTTGTGAAAATAAATTTCGTCCGGGTACCAGTGAGTGAGTGGTGGCACTGGGCACAGTATCCACTGTGAGCCTGACACACCCGCTGGCAGACAACTAACTGCTATTCAATCTATAACAGTGAAAAAAGTTTTTTGTTTTTAAATGCAAGCTATTATGACACCAGATATGAGTGGCACTGTAAACTGGCAGAGTACACGCTGTAGGGCTGACACACCCGCTTTGAGACAACTAACTGCTATTCAATCTATAAACAGTGAAAAAAAAGTTTTTTGTTTTTAAACGCAAGCTATTGTGACACCAGTGAGTGAGTGGTGGCACTGGGCACAGTATCCACTGTGAGCCTGACACACCGCTTTGAGAAAACTAACTGCTATTCAATCTAGAACAGTGAAAAAAGTTTTTTGTTTTTAAATGCAAGCTATTGTGACACCAGATATGAGTGGTGGCACTGACTGGGCAAATGGGTACAGTATCCACTGTGAGCCTGACACAGAAGCTGGCAGCAGTGGCAGACAACTAACTGCTATTCAATCTATAACTGTGAAAAAAGTTTTTTGTTTTTAAATGCAAGCTATTGTGACACCAGTGAGTGAGTGGTGGCACTGGGCACAGTATCCACTGTGAGCCTGACACAGAAGCTGGCAGCAGTGGCAGACAACTAACTGCAATTACATTACACAGAAAAAAAAAAAAAAGCAGACTGATGTTCTAGCCCTAAAAAGGGCTTTTTGGGGTGCTGTCCTTACAGAAGAGATCAGATGAGTCCTTCAGGACTGTAGTGGACACTGTATACCCTAACCTAGCTATGCATTTCCCTATCTAATCAACAGCAGCTACACTTTCCCTCCTCTCACTAAGCATGCAGCTTGAGAATGAATCTAAAATGGATGCTGTCCAGTAGGTGGGAGGGTCTGCTAGGGAGGGTGTGCTGCTAATTAGCTGGAATGTGTCTGCTGACTGTGAGGAACAGGGTCAAAGTATACTCAATGATGATGAATAGGGGGTGGATCGAACCGCGCATGTGTTCGTCATCCCGGCGAACCGTTCGGTGCATCACTATCCATAAGACAAATATTAATCTTCTCCTTTGTTTCAGCCAGCTTTTTGGAGTTTTCAGGAGTTAAATTATGTTTATTAATTTGTGAAAACTTCTCCAGCTGTGCATGGAGCGTAGTAAGATTTAGTTTTTTGTTAAATTGAGCTTGGAGTTTAATAAAATTGCCTCGAAATAACAGCTTTAAAAGCACACCGAAGAGTTAACAGATTTTCTTCAAAATATCTTTATATATTTAGCTAAAACATTCTCCTGTTAGTAGAGGTTTTAAGTAGATTATCATTTAATTGCCAAGTGATATTTGAATTATTTCTTTTAAATACTTTTGTTTCACAAATCACCACATTGTGGTCTGTCCACGTTATATCTTTTATATAGATTTTGGAGACTTTATTCAGATCATATCTAGTCTGGAATAAGAATAATGGACTCTTGAGAAATGGGTGTACCAATATTCATTAGGATGGTATATTCTCCATATATTATACATATTTAATTCATTTTTTATTTTGTTTAGCGATTTCGCCTGTTTAATAACCATTTTATTCATTTCAGCTCCTCTCATCAATTTTTGTCCATTTCTGGATCCAACACAGTATGGAAGTCTCCTACCAAAATAGTTTGTCCAACTTTTATATCTTCTATTCATTCCAATAAATTTACTCAAAAATATAAAGTATAGATTATTTCATTTATTTTACAAATTAAAACCAGGTATATACCTGGATCAGACAATTTATATATTATTATCTCAGTGTGCAACGATTCACTGAATATTATTGCCACTTCACATTTATTTTTTGTATTATCCGATGCATGAATAATATTTGGAAAATAATTTCCTCTCCATGTTACTTTGTCTGGTAGCCTCCAATGGGTTTCTTGGAGAAAGAATAGCTCTATTTGTTCTTTGATTAGAAGGTTATATAACAAAGTCCTTTTGTTTGGAGAATTAAGACCCTGGACGTTCAAAGTAATCATCTTAAACATCCTGATACACAAAAGGCATCCCTCTCCCCAGTAGCACCCAAACTATACCAAATTATATCTACACAAATAAATACAAAAGGATTAAAAACATTTTGGGGTATAATCCCGGTTATTATCCCCTCATGGACCGTTTAGGCCAATATGATACAATGTCCCTAAAAGACACCAAGTAAGTCCCCGGAGGGATGTTCAAGTCTTCATCCTACTGAGTCATTAGTCAGTTAAAAAAACGATAGTTATTATTTACCCTTATATTTAGTTTTTATCTCTAGTAATGAAGTAATTAATTGACTCCAATAACTATTAGAAAATTAGAAGAAGATGTGAGCATGATAATCTATATATAGATAGAGCCTAAAAAATATTGAGAAAAAAATAAATAATAATTCTTTGTTTTTTCAGGTGTATTCATTTGGATCCTAAACTGCGGATTTATTAAATAATGTAATTGTCTAACTAAAATAATATCAACATAAGACAGTTTTAAGTGTATAAGTGATTATCGAGTGAAGTTTCAAGTCGTCTATATAAATTTTTATCCATTTAAAGTGTATTTAAATTTTATCTGTACATGATTATTCTAATAACTACAAAAATTGTACAAATGACTATAGTATAGTGCTTAGTACTCCTTAAATGTCTGTAATACCTATAATATATCTTTCATTCCATTCCCCTATTTCCTAAAAGCTCTATTGTGCCATAGATGTGTATAGACATTGCTAAGCTAACTCATCAAATCATGTAAGTAAGTGTTAAAACCTTTGGGGGGGGGGGGTATATTTATATTTTCCAAGTATATTTATATATTTTCTATCAAATCCAATGTAAGCATTGATCATACCTTGCAGTATGAGTGCATAACAATACCATCTGTTCCTTAAAAAGAAAAAATATATTACAATCAACTACCATCTGTAAGCTCCCTATGAATGAGAGGTCAGAGTAATAACCATTTAGTCTACACACAAACACAAACACACCACCCCACCCCATGTGGAAGGAAAAAAAAAACACCACACACCACACACACCTCACAGATCTTACCCAACAGAAAAGGGAAGTCAGTTGAAAAATTCTTTGCCCATTTACACCTCGGGTGAAAGAATCTCGGATATTCAGAAAGGGACCTCCTGTACACTAGACAGCTGGTTAACTGTTTCATGGATGGCTTGCATCACCCACTCAGCGCAGCCCTTAAAATAGCTAGACCTGAGTGGCGTAGCCTAACTTATTCTGACCTTGTAAAAGTTGATAAAAGGTATTTATGGCGAAAGTAACCTCGCCACTGGTTCTTGGAGGGCCCTGTGTGCCAGCCTCAGGACTATGGGCCATGCAAAAAGGCTCATAAAAGACCGTGTTCATGCCTATTTGCTATCCTGTTGGGTAACTGAACAGATGCACCTTGGTGACCCAGAACGTCTTTAAATTAAAGGATTACCTGGAGCTTGTTAACACCCATTAACACCTTGGAACGGTTTTCACTGCAGTGTTCTTATTGTTCGTCTGGGTGGCCGCAATTCCTATGGACAACCACAAGGTGGCAGCCATCTTGTTCGTATGAACACAGGCAGCGGTGTTTGGGCATGAATCTCATCGAACTGAAATCGGATACAGAAACTCCCGAACACCGCTGGACTTCCATCATCGCCTACATTCGGTTCTATACAATTTAGAAAGGTTTTACTATCGGTTTTCCCGAGCGCTCGTATATCTAATTAGGAGCACCTGGTTCTCTCTCTCTCGGATGATTTATCCATCATAAAATTTCCATATCAGAAGCTACCCTCTCTTCTTGTGATGTAGATGACACACGCTAGCCTGCTGTAGTGGTTATGATCCCAGGAGTACCTTGGCCTGGTTCCTCAAGAATGGGGCAAAGCATTTATTAACAGCTTACCCCATACCTGGCTCTCCGCTGGTTTGGTGAGGTGTTTCTGCAGAGGTGGAGAAGCCAATCTGGTCAGCATTCATTTGCTGAGAGCATCAGCTGACTGCTTTCAGCCAACAAATGGCCCCTGTGCAAAAATAAAATATAATAATAATAATAATAGCAGCACAGAATTGGCATACGTGCCACGAAGAAGCGACTTGACACTCAGTTAAGGCCCTAATTGAAAGGGTTTAAAAAGACACTTTAGAACCATATCAGACCAACTGATGAAGCAATGAATCGTCGAAACGCGTTTTAGTTAGTATTTGCTATATTTAGATGTGCTTTTTCTTTTAATCTTATTAATTTTATACTGCATAGCTGTATTTCAGAAATTTTGTAAATTCGGGAACCCTTTATTTACGGAGACATCTGAACCCCCATAAAAAAACAACAATACCTCACCATAGTGTACCACAGTGTGATTCCAGCACAGAGGTGGGTTTTTGGATCCCCCGTAGGATCCTGGAGCACTACACACTAGAGCCAAGTGTAGTTATGGCTCTATATTTGTGAGTGTTCCCATTGTTTTTGATTTCTTTATTATTCAATTAGACTTTGCTGCGCTATTATTTTCCTCTGTTTTATGATTACAGATACTGTGACATCTCGGAGTCAGAGGAAAGTACACACAGCTCCACCCATTTCTCGTGTTTTTTGGTATTGTTATTAGGGTGGGTTAAGGGGATGTTCCCACAGGAGTGTTGAGTGGTTTAACATCTATCACTCCCTCGTGTACGTTGTGTTGATTTGTACAGAATTGGCATTAACCCGCCCAGAATGCTAGCTCCAGGCTGGCTGATGACGCTGCCGGAAGTGGAGTTACACCTCCAGCAGACAAAGGGTTAATCTCAGTATGTGCAGCATAGTATGGGACCATAACCACTTCCACTTAAGGGACCATAACCACTTCCAACCACTGATGTTGACATGGTACGTGCAGTAATCCTTTAATTTAAAGACGTCCTGGGTCACCAAGGCTCCCTTTTCAAGGCTCAATGGCCACCTGGGAATCCCTTAACAGGAATACACGTGTGCGGGCATAGAAAACACAATGTGAAATCCGCCGTGGGGTCTGTCCGATGCCCGGAACACACAGCGCGGTCCAACATGACTGTCTGCACACAAAGCGTTAACCTGACAGTGTAGGGATCTTACCAGGCACAAAGGATCCCCTGAGTGGGTACAAATGTCACCTGCTAGCTTTTCGAGAGGGGAACTTTATCTGAATGAAAGTAGTTTGCTGTTGATAACTGGATGGAAGTTAAGATAATTAAACAATAAAAAAAAACACGCACTATGAGCACATTAAGGTTAGGTGTTTTGTAGTGTTAATGTCGTTCTGATGTTAAAGCTAAATAAAATCTCACAGCCCGTGCTGGGTGCAGTTAATGTCTGCGAAGATGTTCCTTTTTCTTATAATTCACAGTTCCTGCACTCACTTCGCACAGATTGGTTTAAAACCAGCAATTTACAGGCTGGCCTCCACCTCCCGAGCTCCAGGCACCAAATTCCTCTGTGAAAACGAATACTCCCCCCCTCACCACTAAGAAGGAACTCTAAACCCCCGCTGGCTGACAGTGCAAATCACAAACACAGGATTAGACACGTCGGATACAGAGAATGTTTGATTCACAGACATCAGATTATCCTATCGGAAGGATTGCAGCGTAATGTAAAAATAATGTCGCAAAATACAGTGTGTAATATGGAGAATGATGGTATGTACTAACCGGCGTGAAAAATATATCATAATAAAATGGTGTAATGTTTCTGATTAGCAACTCAACCATCGAAACCCGTAACGACAAGGGGGAATTGATACGGCAAGTAAAGATCACTTGCAGAACAAAAAAAACAAAAAAAAAACACGTAAGGTTTTTCACTAAAGTCAGGATTTCTGAGTAAATTCTAGAATTGAGGCCAATATAGCCAAATGCCAACAATTCTCCAAGTCTAATCGGTTGTCTATTTGGCCCTTAAATCTGCGTATTTTTATTCACCATTTACACAAAGCAGTGCGATTATTTTCATGGTCTAAGTTTTGGAAAGTCAAGGAAAATGAGAAGCAGCATTCAATAAAGTGATTTTTTTTTTTTTTAAATGAGATCAGTTCGGCAACATGTCGCCTAAATGACAAAGCACACCAACACAAGCATTGCCGCAGATTCAAAGTGAATTTCAAAATAAACACCAAAACGTAGCTGAACCAGAATCATAGCCAACTTAGCGAATAATGGAAAATTCTCGCTTCAGTGAATAATCCTGTAAATGTTTAGAGCAGAGCAGAGCAGACAATTTGAGATTGCTCAAATCATTTATTCCTCTGTTCCCCGTTTCTAATCTTAATGTCCCTCTTCTCTAGGAGCTCCGTATTGATGGTGAATCAGAAAAAAATTAAAATAAGTATTGGAAGTGGTGCAGAAAAGAACTATTTGGAGCGAATAAACATTTGGCACCATTCTGTCACACATGGCAGACATTTGCATTACTTTCATGGTAGACAATATTAAAAAGGTACAGGAAATTAAAGTAAATTATAAGTAAGGGTGAATAAGGTATACGTTTGGAAAACCACAAGCAGAAAGCCTCGGAGGGACGGGGGCGGGGGAGGGGGTTGTCTTTAGTGGACGATATAGAAAGGCAGTTTTTCTCTCCTGACAAACTCCAGTTATAGACCTCCTATGGTCACGCAGCAGGAGATACCACTATCTCTTCCTACTGCCAACACAATGTGTCACTTTTTCCACTTGTCACAAGGACCAGCACATTAACAATATCGCCCGTGCTGCGGAGAGCAAAGGAAAGAAAGAGTTTCAAATAAAAGCCAATACTGTGTCAGATAGTTCAGAGTAAAATATCTTCAAATAAAAATCAGGCAAAACAAATACTCACCTAAATGATACAATGCAAGCAGTAAGGAATGGATTAAAGGGACACTATAGACACAACCGACCTTAGGCGCCCTGTGCAAAAAAAAAATCTTCACAGCATACCCTCCCGCCCCGCCATTCTTTTTATAGTGTATTAAATAAATAATGATTTAAAAACAAATATTAATTCCCTAGTTGGGAGAGGGGCATGCTGATCTGAATCTGGTATGCCCCTCCACTGGGTGCAGACCATGCGCAACTGTCTCGCAAGCTTAGGGACTTGCAGTGTCCTGTGGTAATCTCCGGCAGTGCTCCGATTGTCCGGAACTAGGAAGACAGCTACTTATGGTCTCCAGCCAACAGAAGTACATGCCAGATGTGTCAGACTGCAGAGGCACATGCACACAGTTATACATACACACTGTCAAATACACAGGATCAGGCAGTTACACACAGATGAACACACTCACACAGTTACATACATACAGTCACACACACACAATTAAAATCAGACAGTAACACACACACACACACACAAACAGTTACAGGCAGACAATGACAAACACACAGGTACAGACAGTCACATACATACAGCCACACACACACACAGTTACATGCAGACAGTCACATACACAAAGGCAGACAGTCTCTCACACACACAGTCACACATGCAGAGGCAGACAGCCACACACACACACACACAAAGCCAGAAAGTCACACACAGCCACACACACACACACACACACACACAGGTACTCACACACACAGTCAGACAGTCACACACACAAAGAGGCAGACAGCCACACACACACAGGCAGACAGTTGCACATAATAATGTAATCCTCCACCCGGGTAGCCGGCATTGTGCGAGCTGTGTCGGCCACATGGCGCCCCAGGCGCCCTGTGCGGCCGCACAGCTCGCACACCCCTAAGGCCGGCCCTGGATTCTATAGTGTTAGAAACAGAAATCTGTTAGATGAAGTCATCTGGGTGACTATAGTGTCCCTTTAATTAAGCAGTTTTGGGGTGTAGATCATGCCCCTGTAGTCTCACTGCTCTTTCTCTGGGAGTTAAATTACTTTGTTTCTCTTTATGCAGCCCTAGCCACACCTCCCTGCATGTGACTTGCGCAGCCCTCCTTAACACTTCCTGTAGATAAAGATCTAATATGTATACTTCCTTTATTGCACATTCTGTTTAATATTTCTTATCTTTTGTTTTGCGAATAGCCTTTTAGATCCTGCAGCAGCCTCCTGTGTGTGATTAAAGTTCAATTTGCAGAGCACATGCGCAAGAGTACAACTCTGATGTCTATGGAGGATCCCACAAAACCCCAGGACCCTTCATTGATATTGTCTTGTGATCAGCAAGAAAATGCATTTTCCCCTGAAACCGCCATTAGCGACTGATGCGGGAAATGACAAAACCTGACGGCGATTACTCTGTCTTTTGTCAAGTGGAGGGAGATTACATGAGACAAAGCAGTCCCTACTTTGTCTTAGTACATCAATTTGTAAAAAATTTAAAAAAAAAAATTATAAAAAGGGAAAAAAGTGGTCTTTTTTTAATAAATTTTTCTTATATCGTTTATAATTCTGGAGTTTTGGCACTTGAAAAGCAGATTTATTTTTGTTATAAACAATTGTAGTTTAAAATGTATTTTTAGCACCTTTTTCACTGATTATATTAGTTTGTCACAGTTGTTTTAGTAGGTCTTTTGACTGTGTTGGCATTTAAGTGAAATTTTAAAACAGCCAAGGTGAGTATTTCATAAAGAATTTATTTTTTTGGAGTGGGGGGATTTGGGGTGTCGGTCAGCTTAATAGTGCCACTTTAAATTGCAACTAAGTGCACCTGTTACTGTATAACCCTCCACAATATTACATTTTCAGAAAAATAAAATCAAGGAAAGTGTTTGACACTCATACCTTCTGAAACAGACACAGCCATCAAAGCGGCTCTATTTGCATAAGATCTGGCGAAGTTTAGCAGGTCCCTTAAACTGGGGTTTAATAATCTGGTGACTGGATATTTAAACAGAATATTATTTATACATGCACAGGGATTTGGGATAGTGCGCAGGTAACGTTTTTTGGTTTTGAATTTATGGATATTTGTTCATGTAGTGATGCAAGGTGAGAGACTGCATCTCCTGCTATCCTCTGTCGGAGATACTACGCATTGTACGGGACACTAGGGCGTCAGGCCTATAAATATATAGCGGCTGGGGATTTATATGTGGAATTTCGATACGTGATTCTTTCCTACACAGAACGGCTCCTAACTATTTCACCTTGGCTGCGGAATTCTGCTGTTATTCAGCTATTTTCGTTTCCATTTCCTGTGAAGATTTAAGGGAGAGTAAATACATTTTCCTTATTTAACCAAAGCGTCGAAACAAAGACAAAAAATATACAAACAGCTTTCCTGTTAAATCTTCTGAACTAGGAGGAAAACGACACACCGAGACAGGAAAAGTCAGATCAAAGGAAGCCGCAGAGATCAGAGGAATAGAATCCTGACCTATAGAGGTCCTACTGAACCAAGAGATTAGATTGTAAGCTCTTCTGCACAGCATAATTCCAAACAGTTGGTCTGTTCAAATATGTTTGGATTCTACTAAATGAACATTGCTTCGGTATGTGTTGGTGCCTTAAGAGTAAATTATACTTTTACAGTAGGCAGAGTTATTAGGTAACACGAGGATGCGCCATTAATGGAGAATCAGATTATTATCGACCATTCCCAAGAGCTTACACTCTAGGCAGTGGGAACTATAGAGTACTCTGGGATAAACTCCTCAGTGTTGATTCCTGTGTGTGTCCAGGGGGTCTGCCATTACACAGCAGGATACACAGATCAAGGGGAGCCAGCTCTGACCTTGCAATTCACATTAAACAACAAAATGTCAGGAATGTCTCTCCCTTTTGTTGGCTGATAATGAAGACACATACCAAACAGGGGGCTGAGGGTCACATGACTGACAGCATCCTCCAGCCTGCAGCTCCCAATCCCATGACTGTCCCTTTAACCCTTTAACCAGCTGTTAGACCAATGCACAAACATCACTTTTTAATGAACTTAATGTTGGAGCTTTAATGTTTAGTTTAAGGCAGTGAATCAGGAACGAAGTAACACTTTATAAGTTCCTTTAGTATATTTGACATTTTATTATATAAGTGAAATGGTAGGCAAGGGAACTCTCTCCATACAGAGGGTTAAATTGTCAGCCCTGGCTCAGGTTTAAACACTCAATACCTGCTGATTTTTTGGGACTATGATTTCTATTACCCTCAGCAAAGAGCTGTGCTAGCATGATGGGAGCAGTGATCCAACTGTCAGTGACAATGCTTGTGGTAAGTACATGCACACCCATCAGATGGGCAGCTCATGAAAAGTGTTGCCCTGTATCTTGCTTCATCATAGACATCAATTAACTAATCAGAGCAGTTTCTATGAAATTCCTATCACTAGGTTTGCCTCCTGCAGCATACGACTTCTATATACCACAAGACACCACTTTTCATGTGCTACCCATCAGCATATGGAGGTAGTAGGAATATGTATCTATGGTGAAGCAAGACACGATTGTTACCAGATCTCCTTCACCTATTAACAACAGAGAGCCTGTGATAACCCCTCACTCTCCTTTGGGTGGTCTCAGCATGAGACATTCACTGGGGGTCCCAGTACAAACAGAACAGCAGCCTATCTAAACAGACTGCTCTGACTCCCATCATCCTCAGACAGCATCATGTGTACCAGCAGGAAGAGCCTCCTGGATTCTACTTAAACAGGGGTCCCAGACACTCACCTTCTTTAGCTTTCTTCTTCCTGACCAAGGTGCCCCCCAGTTTCACCAGGAAAGACTCATCCTTCTTCATCTTATTACTCTGCAGAGTGGGGGTCCTGACCTGGGGGGAGCTCATGGCTTGGGGTCTGTGCTGGGAGCTGATCAGGGAAGGTCTGGGTTATCACATGTGGACAGGAAGGGGCAGCAACCAAAAGACAATTATTATCAGCATCCAATGGGAGAGGCTGGGGCTGGGGAGACCCAGTGAGGGAGGATGGGAGGGAATCTCTGCATGTGATGTCCTGATACATGGTATCTGCAGTCAGTCTGTCCCTGATACATGGTATTTACTATCTGCAGTCAGTCTGTCCCTGATACATGGTATTTACTATCTGCAGTCAGACTGTCCCTGATACATGGTATTTACTGTCTGCAGTCAGACTGTCCCTGATACATGGTATTTACTGTCTGCAGTCAGACTGTCCCTGATACATGGTATTTACTGTCTGCAGTCAGACTGTCCCTGATACATGGTATTTACTGTCTGCAGTCAGACTGTCCCTGATACATGGTATTTACTGTCTGCAGTCAGACTGTCCCTGATACATGGTATTTACTGTCTGCAGTCAGACTGTCCCTGATACATGGTATTTACTGTCTGCAGTCAGTCTGTCCCTGATACATGGTATTTACTGTCTGCAGTCAGACTGTCCCTGATACATGGTATTTACTATCTGCAGTCAGACTGTCCCTGATACATGGTATTTACTGTCTGCAGTCAGACTGTCCCTGATACATGGTATTTACTGTCTGCAGTCAGACTGTCCCTGATACATGGTATTTACTGTCTGCAGTCAGACTGTCCCTGATACATGGTATTTACTGTCTGCAGTCAGACTGTCCCTGATACATGGTATTTACTGTCTGCAGTCAGACTGTCCCTGATACATGGTATTTACTGTCTGCAGTCAGACTGTCCCTGATACATGGTATTTACTGTCTGCAGTCAGTCTGTCCCTGATACATGGTATTTACTGTCTGCAGTCAGACTGTCCCTGATACATGGTATTTACTGTCTGCAGTCAGACTGTCCCTGATACATGGTATTTACTGTCTGCGGTCAGTCTGTCCCTGATACATGGTATTTACTGTCTGCAGTCAGACTGTCCCTGATACATGGTATTTACTGTCTGCAGTCAGTCTGTCCCTGATACATGGTATTTACTGTCTGCAGTCAGACTGTCCCTGATACATGGTATTTACTGTCTGCGGTCAGTCTGTCCCTGATACATGGTATTTACTGTCTGCAGTCAGACTGTCCCTGATACATGGTATTTACTGTCTGCAGTCAGACTGTCCCTGATACATGGTATTTACTGTCTGCAGTCAGACTGTCCCTGATACATGGTATTTACTGTCTGCAGTCAGACTGTCCCTGATACATGGTATTTACTGTCTGCAGTCAGACTGTCCCTGATACATGGTATTTACTGTCTGCAGTCAGACTGTCCCTGATACATGGTATTTACTGTCTGCAGTCAGACTGTCCCTGATACATGGTATTTACTGTCTGCAGTCAGACTGTCCCTGATACATGGTATTTACTGTCTGCAGTCAGACTGTCCCTGATACATGGTATTTACTGTCTGTAGTCAGACTGTCCCTGATACTGGTATTTACTGTCTGCAGTCAGTCTGTCCCTGATACATGGTATTTACTGTCTGCAGTCAGACTGTCCCTGATACATGGTATTTACTGTCTGCAGTCAGTCTGTCCCTGATACATGGTATTTACTGTCTGCAGTCAGACTGTCCCTGATACATGGTATTTACTGTCTGCAGTCAGACTGTCCCTGATACATGGTATTTACTGTCTGCAGTCAGTCTGTCCCTGATACATGGTATTTACTGTCTGCAGTCAGACTGTCCCTGATACATGGTATTTACTGTCTGCAGTCAGACTGTCCCTGATACATGGTATTTACTGTCTGCAGTCAGACTGTCCCTGATACACTGTCTGCAGTCAGACTGTCCCTGATACATGGTATTTACTGTCTGCAGTCAGACTGTCCCTGATACATGGTATTTACTGTCTGCAGTCAGACTGTCCCTGATACATGGTATTTACTGTCTGCAGTCAGACTGTCCCTGATACATGGTATTTACTGTCTGCAGTCAGACTGTCCCTGATACATGGTATTTACTGTCTGCAGTCAGACTGTCCCTGATACATGGTATTTACTGTCTGCAGTCAGACTGTCCCTGATACATGGTATTTACTGTCTGCAGTCAGACTGTCCCTGATACATGGTATTTACTATCTGCAGTCAGACTGTCCCTGATACATGGTATTTACTGTCTGCAGTCAGTCTGTCCCTGATACATGGTATTTGTCTGCAGTCAGACTGTCCCTGATACATGGTATTTACTATCTGCAGTCAGTCTGTCCCTGATACATGGTATCTGCAGTCAGTCTGTCCCTGATCCATGGTATTTACTATCTGCAGTCAGACTGTCCCTGATACATGGTATTTACTGTCTGCAGTCAGTCTGTCCCTGATACATGGTATTTACTGTCTGCAGTCAGACTGTCCCTGATACATGGTATTTACTGTCTGCAGTCAGACTGTCCCTGATACATGGTATTTACTATCTGCAGTCAGTCTGTCCCTGATACATGGTATTTACTGTCTGCAGTCAGACTGTCCCTGATACATGGTATTTACTATCTGCAGTCAGACTGTCCCTGATACATGGTATTTACTGTCTGCAGTCAGACTGTCCCTGATACATGGTATTTACTATCTGCAGTCAGACTGTCCCTGATACATGGTATTTACTGTCTGCAGTCAGACTGTCCCTGATACATGGTATTTACTGTCTGCAGTCAGTCTGTCCCTGATACATGGTATTTACTGTCTGCAGTCAGACTGTCCCTGATACATGGTATTTACTGTCTGTAGTCAGACTGTCCCTGATACTGGTATTTACTATCTGCAGTCAGTCTGTCCCTGATACATGGTATTTACTATCTGCAGTCAGACTGTCCCTGATACATGGTATTTACTGTCTGCAGTCAGACTGTCCTGATACATAATTATTTACTATCTGCAGTCCAGGGCTGTCCTGATACATGGTATTTTGTCTGCAGTCAGACTGTCCCTGGTACATGGTATTTTACTATCTGCGGTGTAGACTGTCCTGATACATGGTACATTTACTATCTGCAGTCAGACTGTTGTCCTGATACATGAGGTATTTACTATCTGCCAGTCAGACTGTCCCTGATACATGGTATTTACTATCTGCAGTCAGTCTGTCCCTGATACATGGTATTTACTATCTGCAGTCAGACTGTCCCTGATACATGGTATTTACTGTCTGCAGTCAGTCTGTCCCTGATACATGGTATTTACTGTCTGCAGTCAGTCTGTCCCTGATACATAGTATCTGCAGTCAGACTGTCCCTGATCCATGGTATTTACTGTCTGCAGTCAGACTGTCCCTGATCCATGGTATTTACTGTCTGCAGTCAGTCTGTCCCTGATACATGGTATTTACTGTCTGCAGTCAGACTGTCCCTGATACATGGTATTTACTATCTGCAGTCAGACTGTCCCTGATACATGGTATTTACTATCTGCAGTCAGACTGTCCCTGATACATGGTATTTACTGTCTGCAGTCAGTCTGTCCCTGATACATGGTATTTACTGTCTGCAGTCAGTCTGTCCCTGATACATGGTATTTACTATCTGCAGTCAGACTGTCCCTGATACATGGTATTTACTATCTGCAGTCAGACTGTCCCTGATACATGGTATTTACTGTCTGCAGTCAGACTGTCCCTGATACATGGTATTTACTATCTGCAGTCAGACTGTCCCTGATACATGGTATTTACTGTCTGCAGTCAGTCTGTCCCTGATACATGGTATTTACTGTCTGCAGTCAGACTGTCCCTGATACATGGTATTTACTGTCTGCAGTCAGTCTGTCCCTGATACATGGTATTTACTATCTGCAGTCAGACTGTCCCTGATACATGGTATTTACTGTCTGCAGTCAGACTGTCCCTGATCCATGGTATTTACTGTCTGCAGTCAGACTGTCCCTGATACATGGTATTTACTGTCTGCAGTCATACTGTCCCTGATACATGGTATTTACTGTCTGCAGTCAGACTGTCCCTGATACATGGTATTTACTGTCTGCAGTCAGACTGTCCCTGATACATGGTATTTACTGTCTGCAGTCAGACTGTCCCTGGTACATGGTATTTACTGTCTGCAGTCAGACTGTCCCTGATACTGGTATTTACTATCTGCAGTCAGTCTGTCCCTGATACATGGTATTTACTATCTACAGTCAGACTGGCCATGAATCAGAGAACATGGGAATCTGTCAGTCTGTCCCTGAATCAGTGAGCATGGGAATCTGTCAGTCTGTCCCTGAATCAGAGAATGTGGGAGTCTGTCAGTCTGTCCCTGAATCAGTGTGCAAATAAGGAAACTTATCTTGAGCCATTGCCCAATAAATGGTCTTTGCTTAGCACAAGGTTTGCCTGCTTCAAATGGAAACTCCAAGCACCATAACCACCACAAATCATTGAAAAGAAAACCTCTCTATGTAAGTAGTCGAACCGTTTTAGGACTTCTTACCTGTGGTTCTCTGGGTGATGCCATGTGTCACAGGTTTGAGAGTCTATTGCCGTTATTCTTTCAATCCTCCATTAGTCCTAATTCCAGATGTGCTGAATATAGTGAAAGTATTTCCGTTGTAGAATTTCCCCAATATAATGGATGCAACCAGTCGTATTGGGTAAAAGCAGCAATCTGACTTTATTAGGCCACTCTGCTTTTATGCAGTGCCCCTAGCATGGGGCTTCCAATCCAAAAATCACAGGGGTTTCCTTCCCACAAGCCATTGTGTTTGAGAGATAATTGAGCTCAAATTAAGCTAATCCAAGTATCTCTCAAATAGGAAAACTTACAATTTTTACATATCACACAAATACATTAACAGTACAGGAACCCCACAAAACATTATATTCCCGAATAGCCCCGATCTGAGCGCACAACATATCCAAAAAGTGCTCAGATCGGTTCAGTAAAACGAAAGTTATGTTCGTGCAAAATTTTGACCGACCGGCCATGAGGTGGTAGCCCAAAACAATTCCAGAGAATTAGTCAGGCTGGCCGGTCACTTTCGGGACAAACTGATGAACGCATCCCCTGGCTGTTAAGAAATTAATCCTTGTTTGCACAGGTGCGTTCGTATATACGAATGGCAGCCATGCAGGGAATGCTTGTTTTGTGGTTAACAGCTAAGGGTGGTTGGTGATTACGAGCTGTTAACACTGAGTCTGTTCGGTAAATGTAGGGGGAATATTAGACGAGACGATACAAAGTATAATTAAGAGAACACGTACGTGGAGTCCCATCTCCTGTGACACCATGCTGACAAAGAATGCCATCCATATGACTGATTAAAGGGACACGTTTAGCAGCAAACTATTTTGGTGCACAGGTGCTTCACTTTTCGGACACTGTAATTTTTGCGATGTTTAAACATACATTATCTTGTCCTTGTAGGGTTTAATGGAATGTTTTGTACAGTTTGCATTCACTTTACATATTATATGAAACTAATTTTACTATATTGCTCTTCAGCGTTAAACGAACCCTTACATGGAGGTGTCTGGATTCATTGTGTTTTCATATCTTTAGATGTCCATATCTTGGCATGTTACACTTGGCACCCTCTGGGCAGGTGTCCCAGTCACCATCTTGTTTACCCTCAAAATTGTTCTTGACCACTTTTATCAACTCCAGCAGTTTCTCTACTCCAGGGGTTCCCAATTCATTTTTCCTGAGGAACCCTTTGGCATAGTGTATCAACATCTTGGAACCCCACCTCCCCTTTCCCAGTGTGTATTTAGAGATTGCTTTGCCCTCCTGGAGCACCCCGGCAGTATTACTCCCCTTTTAGTGTGTGCATTCTGCACTGCTTATACAACAATATTCTACCTGCCACAACCTCTTTAATTGACAGAGACCCTATCAAACTGCTGTAGAAAAGACAATACAATGTTACATTGTTATACAAGGTATGCTATCCCACCACGCAGTGTATAAATTTTTTTTTTTTTTTTATGATACTCTCAAGGTTTAATATATGGAACAATATTCGGGTAGCGAGCTAGATCAGAGCAGTGATATTATAATGAAGACTGAAATCAAATCAAATAACACACAAGTGATAATCCTGCGGTTTCTTTTTATAATGCAGTAGTTGGTACAAACAGACGCAGAAAATATAGTAGACAAAGAATATCTTAAAATGTTAAGAAAAAAATAATTGCAATATCCATATAGTGCTGTGATTTCATTCAGATGAGATTTGTTCATCCATAATTCAGAGGAACCTTATGCCAGCTCCAAACTGTACCCCATCGCATATTCTGAAAATATAAGAGCGAGAATTACGACGATTAACAAGTTCTACAGTGAAATATAAAATATTGTCATAACACTACGCAAGCAGTTTAGGCTTACGCTCCACATTGCCAAAGAATTAAAAAAAATGTATCTGCTAAAACAGTCACACGAAACAAGACGGTATACCTGTCTCCACTCTGAACACCCATTGGGATGCAGTAATTCAGCTCAAGTCTGGCAATGTTTCCCAAGCGAAGAACTATCCCAGCTCCGTATGACCAGCGTATGCATTCAGCCAACCTGCGGAGATGAGCTTTCGGTCCCTCTCCTGTGGAGTGGAGATTCATTAGAAAAAAAGAGAGCATTCTAGCACAACTCCATAACCTTTAGAGAGGAACGGTCATTTTATTGACCCCTATACCCATTGTTGAAGGGCGTTCTAGGGGGATGTGTGCAGCGAAACAGGTTCACCACACAGATGCCTCCACTGCACCAAATCAGTGGTAGGTGTCTCCAATGTTCCCATGATGCCTTGTCAATAGTGATGTCCCAAACGGTTCGCCGCGGACTCATCATTGAGTAAACTTTGACCCTGTACCACAGTCAGCAGACACATTCCAGCCAATCAGCAGCAGACCCTCCCTCCCAGACCTTCCCACCTCCTGGACAGCTCACTAAGAATGCAGCTTCAAAATGGATGCTGTCCAGGAGGTGGGAGGGTCTGCTGCTGATTGGCTGGAATGTTTCTGCTGACTGTGAGGTACAGGGTCAAAGTTTACTCAATGATGAGTCCGCGGCGAACCGTTCGGGACATCACTACTTGTCAATGTAGTATAATCTTCCCATGATTCAATGCATCTCAGGTACACATTAAAAGATCCCAATGTAAAAGCCAGTAATCCATAGACAGACAGTGGTGTCAATCTTACGGGGTCCAGTACAGCACACAGATCTAGCTTTGGATGCTGAGAAAGATGCTGTAGAAGCCACACATTTACAAAATACACAATATAAAACAATTAAAAAAATAAAATAAATTATATTAAAATTTACCATAATTTAGATTGCAGAGGTTGCCGGCATTAAGGAAGAAATGTGTTCTGAAAAGGTCGCCAAATCCTCCACGACCAGGACGGAAAGGTAAAGGGGTGTACAGGTGAACACCTCCCGCCCAATAGGCTTCTCCTCCCAGGTAATCACCTGTAAAATAAAGTTTAAAAAAAAAAACAAAAACAAAAAAAAAAACGTACATTTCAAGCAGATTATTTCCACATCATCACTGATGATCATTAAGTCACTATAATGTAAAATCTGCCATTTTTATCCATTAATGGGTTTTTTGCTAAACAATGAATTTTAGCAATTAACTCAAAATACCAAAATTGAAGCTAAAATAGCAGTGCCATCACTATAGCTGGTATAAAGAATTATTCCAAATCAGCTATTTTAACCTCGGTTTTGCCAGTTTGTGAATAACCTCATTTGAGCTTTGTTGGGATGATATTTACTATGATTTTGTGAGCACAAGATTCAGGACTTCTGGACACCTTCCACAAACTCTGGAAGAAATTGTTCTACAACCGTATCATATTTTATCCATGGGTTTCTAAATCTAGGCGGTAGTTATATGGCTTAGAGAAAGTATACAGATTAAACATTTTAGACATTTCTATTTATTCAGTTGTAAAACTACTGAGAAAAGATCTGAATCATTTTATTAAACATGCTAAAAATGCTTAATACTGCGTCTAGGAGCCACAAGACCTTTAACCCCTTAAGGACACATGACATGTCATGATTCCCTTTTATTCCAGAAGTTTGGTCCTTAAGGGGTTAAATAAATCAAAGTGGCAACTCGGACAGACCTGTCATCACTAGACTAGAGCTACGTCTGCAGGGATACGTTGCATCTCCCAAAAAAAAAAAAAACTGGATCAACAGGCTACTTGTAATACAATTAGGACAAACATTGACCCCTTCATTTCCACAAATATATAGGAACATGGCATTTTAAAATACAGACGTCTTTACATTGAAGAAAATAAGAAATATAAGTGCACTGTAAATCATATATAAAAGATGAATTGTTATTTTTGCAACATATATTATTCTCAGCCTAAAACAAAATGTAGATTATAAAGTAGGAAACTGAAACTGTAACTAATAATAAACAGTAGAACTGTGCCTCCTACTGGTCATATTTAGTAACTGCTTTCAGAGTCCAACCCTTTTGTTATCAGTAATGTGCTTTTTTGAATCCTATCCTCTCAGGATGAATACATCCAGAAAACTGGCTCCTTTTGTTCACATTATTAATTGATGATATATATTTATTAATTTATATTATTAACCAATGATATTCTGTATATAATGCCAACAAATTGTGCTACAAGACATACCTTCACTTTGCGGCCCAATGCTGTACATACTAAAGCCTCGTACGCTTGTTGGTCCTCCGAGGTAAAACCTGAAAAATAAACGTTTTAATTCACTGGGTAAGAAGTGAGTGAACACAATGAGGATATAAACACAGCTTCTACCAGTTTCCAGAAAGCCCAAGGTTCACATTGATCGGACGCAGATCACGCATGGACCGCGGTTTGGCTTTCTCAGTCCAAGTTGGACGTGTTATACACCTAACTCTGAATTTGAGCAAATTAAGGCCTCAATTTTACAGATATCTGGATAAGCTTTTCAAATGATTTTTTTTTATAAACAATTTCCAATCAAGGCCAATGTCTGAACTGCAATATGAAGACTAAAATAGTCAAGCTATGACCATTGCCAAGTTGGAGAATTGTTTTTTTAAACCTGCTGTTGCCATGATTTTGAGATTTCATTTCCAAGTTTAACCCCTTAAGGACACATGATGGAAATATTCTGTCATGATTCCCTTTTATTCCAGAAGTTGTGTCCTTAAGGGGTAAATGCTGAACCCTGCCAGTGTTTCAGCCATACAGGTGTGATGGTGGTTTGAGAGGCCGTTTAACAAGGAGGATACAAGTGAAACCCTACGGTGAATAAGACCTTTATTACCTTAACTTTCTATGATGGTTTTATGGTTTTCAGAAAATGCAGAGCTTGGCAAAGGATTAATGTGTTAGAATGTTTCTCAGCATTTCATTTTCAAAGCACTCAGAATTATACTTTTATTACTTTACACAAGTCACATTCTTGTTATTGTAAATATAAACAAGATACAGAATCAGACTGCAGACAGTGCTGCAATACTCACCGATCAGCGATACTGGATGGTCTGTCTCCAATAGGGACCAGCATTCCACCCCATAGGGATGTAGACAGTACCTAGTGCAATATATTAGGGAATGTCAGTTCCAATGTGGAGATCTACTGTTACAAGCACTGCACTAATACTCACACATAAAACACAGGAATCACAATAAAAGTTCACAAAATAAACAACCTGATTGATGCATTTTTGTGTGCACAAAATACATGTCTGTGTAATGTGCAAAAATATTAAAATAAAAGTTTTCTCAGTTACAAGTAATTTACATGAGAGTTGTGAAGTCATTCCCTCTGTTCCAAATGTACCAACCACACAAGAACCTGGCATCGTTAGATTTATAATACACCAACATTTCTGTGGTGTAGTACAAAGGGTGAAGTACTCACAGAATCCCAGGAAAGCTGTTTATTCAGTTGCAGTTCAAAGTCCTCTTTCAAAAAGCTGACATCTCCCCCTGTATACCCAGCCAATTCCTGCAAAGAAGCATTCATGGGTTACTATGGAAACAGGCATAAGTACTGTCAAACCATCTTATCCCTTCACTGGGGATAACTAAAACATGTCCCCCCTCCCCCCCCCAAAAAAAACATGGGGCTCTGTAAACAATCCAGAGGCATGAGAAAACAATGTTTATTCCCATACTGGAAAACATGATCGAACGATCACACATAATCATCAGAGCTAAAAGTGAGTTTCGGTAATTTAGGTGGTCATGGTGCCTGGAGTCTGTACGTGCAGCTCTGCAGAAGCCGGATGTCGTGAATCCTGCTTCACAGCAGACCAGGAGCTGCCCTGCAATGTGTACAACTTCCATGTTAAAGCAAGCAAACCAATTCATAAACCAAACAGGAATCCCACAGGAAGGAGTTCTCCAAACTGCAGCACATCACCTGTACTACAGAGCAGCACTATTCAAGGAGCAACCAACCTATGTACAAGCTTATCTGGATTGATCTTGTAATTCTACTTGGGGCTCTGGTTAGTGAGCCTAGAGCATGTATTTACACTAGTACAAGGCAAATCGAACCCACAGCAGTTTGCTTGGGATTATTTATACAGTGTAACGGCGGCTTGTACCTGGTTGATTTTCAGCAAGGCCCCTCTCTTTGGCAGAATTGAAGAATTACGAGAATCTATCACCATTGAGTGCTAAAACAGAGCAGAAATCAGTGATTAGTGACACTCTGAAAGGCGTTGGCTTCATGTGTGGTTTCATGAAATGAGGAATGTCTCCTTACAGATAGAGACGATTTGAGAGTGTGTCCGCTTTCTTCCCGGATGGCGAAAGATGCCGTTCTTGCCAAACAGCCGAGTTCACGCCAAACCCCCTCCCATTTCAATGTATGGCTGGTTTTCCATATAGGGAACTGTTGGTAAATGTGGACAATGTATGTCAGGCTAAGTCATTCAAGCAATGGCTTCCAATAAGGAGGAGGAAATAAAGGGGTTCTCTGTATTTACTTAAAAAGTCTGTTCCTTACACTGATTTCAGTAGAGATGCCACGATCAGTCTCTCGCAATGAGCTCCAGGGGAACTGACCAGTAACTTTGTACAAGTTGACAGAAAAACTACAAAAAAAATAAATAAATACAAAACAAGTTAAAAATCAAACAAAAACTTTACAGTATTTCACAGACTAAAAACATACCAGAGATGCAGAAAAAATACAAGATTTAGTTTAATGTTGCCCCCAAGCATTTCTTTTCGTTATACTATTTGGGAGAAATAAAACTACAAACTATATGTGTAACTTGCTCAGCTACTTTAGCTCACACAGGGGTGTGCCATGACCCCCTATAATGCAGCACGTAGATTTAAAGTTATGCAGATCCAGATAATCAAACCTCACTATGTTTTTGTAGAAAATCCGTATTTATTCTGCTATGTGATTTTCAGGACTGAATTGAAAGGGCTGTTTAAGTAAGGGAGCAGATTAATTAAATAGATAAACCTATACATGCCCCACATTCAGGCTCCAATCCTATATTATTTTCCCCTCTCCCACATCCTATTTTTGAGATTTCATTCATGTTGTCCCTTGGCTACTGAATACCCATGATGGCTTGTATCATCACACTTCCCTTTCAGCAGCCCCAAAGACCATTTCACAGTGTTGTCAATCAAGACGAACAACACAACAAACAAAGCCATCTTTTTAAGGAGATCTATCTTGAATCATTTGTCTTAGAAAGCACCCACAAGCGGGACACATTCTACAATCATATAATAATTACGGTGTGTATATTGATCAGAACGGTTATACTGCTTGATTGATCAATAACAGCTTAAGAAGCCTCCAATGAGGTGTATTTATGAATTTTCTTTTTGCTATTTAGCAACAAAGGTAAAATGCAACCGGTCAGTGAGCAAAACCTTTTAAAACAGGGCACCAACTTACTTTCTTTCAAAATTGCCAACTTGAGGTTTGAAGAAAGACAGACCATAAGAGGTTTCTTTTGTTCCGTAAGAGAACTGGAAGGTCATCTTCTCAGCACGACCAAAGAGATTGGGAAGTTTCAGCCCAAGAACCTACAAAGCAGGTACATTTTATTTTCCAATAATAAGGACAGCGGTGAATTCCTGTATTACATGGGATAATGCTCTAACCTTACCAAATAGAACTATTACAATTTTATACAACCTTTTTACAATCATTTAGTAAAATGTTTTTGTAAATCGTAAATGACTATACAAAGTGGCCAAGAATCCCAGGATTGTTCAGTAAAGTGAGCATTGGTGGGAATTAAAAAGGAATTCAAATTTCAGGGGTTGCTGCCATCTTGATCCGATGCTTCCTGTTCAGCTCCTGCCATTTCACCTGCCGGCAGCCCACGTCATTGCTGTACACTCACGCAGGACGGCTGAGGCCATGACCAAGCTTGACATAGGTAACTCCATCTTTTTTGTCAAGCTTTGGAAAATAACTAAAGACAAAATAGTCCCTACTTTGATTTATAAAATCTTTTTACCACGTTGAAATTTCAACACAGTCTTTATAAGAATTTCATATAGTTTCTATCTATCTGAAATGCTTATTTGTTTTTTGGTGGAGGTGACAGATGCTTTATAAAAAAAAAAAAGGAATCAGGAGAGGAAAAAAAAAAATTGAGAAATGATTTTGTTCTGTGCATTTCTACATTTGCTTTGAATTTAGCTAGTGCAATCTACAGCTCAAATCCATTCTACTAAATAAGGAGGTCACTTATGGACGGCATCCTGCGAGGTAACCGCTCATCGTCTCTTCAATGAGATGCAGAATATTAGAAGATCACAGAACTCCACAACCTTACCATGCTGCCCTCATTATTGCCAACCATGGTATTGTAGCTCCCAGTTAACCTTCTCAGTTCTTTAACCTCAAACGTGACGTCCAAGCCATTGGGAAGAGCATCCTCACCTGAAAATTAAAGTGGAAACGGAGTGTCTTCTCAGGGATGGAACAGAGGTCACCATTAAGAATAGTAAAGGTGCAGGATCTGTATATATGTTCAGCTTTTTGTGTACAAGTAAAGGAATAATCAGTTGGAAGACAAGCAACTGCCTTCCGTTGATATGAATTAAGGAAAGCACTGAACGTGTGTTTATGAGTGTACACGCACAGTGCTCCAATCAATCTCTGTGAGAGCTACATGTTTGCCTGCATTATGCACATGTGTGATTGACAAGGAAATTTACCGCACTGTGTGACATCTTCGGCACTTTCACATGAGGGGACTGGCTGCGCTGTGTCACGCGCTGCACGAGGGGACTGGCTGCGCTGTGTCACGCGCTGCACGAGGGGACTGGCTGCGATGTGTCACGCGCTGCACGAGGGGACTGGCTGCGCTGTGTCACGCGCTGCACGAGGGGACTGGCTGCGCTGTGTCACGCGCTGCACGAGGGGACTGGCTGCGCTGTGTCACGCGCTGCACGAGGGGACTGGCTGCGCTGTGTCAGGCGCTGCACGAGGGGACTGGCTGCGCTGTGTCAGGCGCTGCACGAGGGGACTGGCTGCGCTGTGTTACCTGTTCTGCAACAGGAACATCAAACACGAACTAAACCTTTTTATTTTGCACAGTCTTTTGAAAAGTAGGAAAGACGCTAAAATAGCGCTACACGTATTTCCTCCAACTATGTTACAGCTGTCATTCAGTAGCACATACATGAGACATATCAGTTTAAAGGAGGTCATGAAAAGGAGTCAAGCTACATGTTATGGTATCGTGTCATTTCTTACCTTCACTGGTGTCAATCAGGACTTCCACCTGCCGAAACACCCCCATGCGAAGCAACTTCTCTCTGGCTTCATGGGATTTTCTCATAACCTGAAGTTATGGGATAAAAAAATAAATAAATAAAACAATCAAAAGATTAATGTACAGATTATTATAGTGCAATTAATGTTGCATACTGACATGTTTGGTGAAGTGTGCGCTAAGCATTATGGGATTGGGTTGAATTAACTGTGAGATTTCTGAAAGGCCTCCCTGGCCAGCATTCCTGTAATTTATACCTCTAACCCGGGAGAATAGAAGTGTCAAAGTTATTTATAATATACTAGCTTGCCCAATGTATAAATACAATTCTATGGCATTTAAGTCCCAGAAGCCCTAAAAACACTACATGTAAAAAATAATATATATATATTTTTTACAGGTACACTGTAATTAAAAAAAAAAAAAAATATATATATATATATATAATAAACCACAGATTTATAAACAGATATTAACATAGCAGAACGGCAATGCACAGAGCTCCCCTTCATACGAACTGAAATCAGTAGATATAGAAACAAGTGATGTCATACAATAAAATCACAATATCTGTTTAGGCTTAAACTGTAGAACATAGAACATGAGCTCTTGACAAAGGCGCATGTTGGCACCGAAACGCGCGTTGAGCGTAACCATTTCTACTATGCAGTCTATCTTGGACTAGCACTACCAAGTCTGTTATTTTCTGGGCAGGGGGGCTCTCTAGGTCTTTGTATGACTAGGGCTGGGGCTATTGGAGTTAATGTTCTTTAGGGACAGTGTGAAGTTCTGCGCTACCGGGGATGGCATATTAGCATTTATTTATGCACAGCTAGCCTTTTGTAACAGATCGGAACCTCACTTTTACTATACCCTAATATCCTACCCCACATGCAGTACACTAAGGGTGTGCTATACAAACTTTTAACTATGACCTTTTGATTTAAGCATTTGTCTGCTCTATATGGGTATAGGTGTTAAAAGTATCTCAAAGGTTTTTCTTTTTTCTTCTGTTATTATCCAGTCGGATTTACTCATCACCGCTTACCCATACTATATGCAGCATTGCCTTAGCTACTATTTGGGATTTGATGGAGTATCTAATTGGGGATTTAGGATTTTATGTTGGGCTAGTTTTTCCGACCTTTTGTTAGTTGGGTCTATACTGCCTTATTCCTCCCCAGTACTCCTCTATCATTAGACCTTGCAGTTGTAGGTAAACCCCTGTTAGCCCTATATCTAATGTTCTCTCTCTTTTTCTTTACCCTCGGGGGATAGCATATGAAAGTTAATCACTACATGTGCAACTATAGGCACATGGCTCCAAGGACTCATGCTATCCAATACACTGACTAGGGGATACACTGTTACTTTCCCTAATTCTTACCTCTCAGTGCATACAGCTGGCTAAAGAACATGTTACTACTTTCAAGCTGTTCTGCAACAATGTATCTCAGCTAGACTACTCTATATTAGCCAAGAGTCTTGTACAGTCTGTGAGGGTAAAACGCTTTGTAAATAGACAGACTGCTCTGTTTTTACCATTATATATATATATTTTTTATTTATTTATTTTTTTAACCACTTTTCAGGTTTTTTTTCACTTGTACTATTATTTTGGTTGATTTTCCCTAAGAGGGATTAATAAAGATATTTACTTTTTAGTTCATCTGCACTCTAGGAATGGCACTCTTTTGCTACATATAGACAGAGCAATTTAATTGGGAGCGCTGTTCCAGTTAACCCACTCTGGTCTCGTTTCGTGTTACTCACTTTATCCTTGGGTTATGCCCTAATACCCTACAACCAATACAACTCCAGAGAGGGACTTTTTTTGGCCTCTATCTGGCGCTGTTTTGTTTTTTTTTCAAACTGTAGAACATAGTTTAGTAAAATGTGCACCACTAACTAGATTAAAAATATAAAAAAATCTGCTATAGTGCAGTAATATGTATATATTGATCTTCATACTTGATTTAAAGTACCACTTTAAACTTCAAATAGAGCACCTCTGGAATACTCACATCAATAAGATTTTTCGCCTTAAAGACATCAGCAATTTCATACATAACAAGGTCATCTTTCGTCCTTCCAAGCCCTTCAAAGTTGACATGCTGTACCACAATCTTACGATAAGAGTAGAAGATTTGGGTTAATGAAATTATTTCACGTTTGTGCACAGGTGATTATTATACATCAGTAGTGGATGACCTAAGTGGACTACACTTCCCATGATGCATAGCCAGAGTAAACACCTGGTATGCTGTCAATGTAAGCAATCACAACAATGCATTTCAAATGCTAATGAATAATAACATAATAACTTAGAACAAACTTTTTAGTTGATGTCTGAATAATCGTATAAGAATGTAAAGCTCATCACAAAGAGGCATCCTTTCTCCCTCCTCCCTCCAAAAAATATGTTTCCAGGAAGGAGAATGATCTTTACATCCCTTACTGCTGGGAGCTGGGAGCGTTAAAGCGTAACGCTATATCTTGACCAAGCCCTGCGAGAGCTTGCCAGAGCTACAACCTCCAATGACATAAGGGCTTATTTATTAACCCAAATTAGATTGTGGAAAACCAATAAGGGAATTGCAATGGTAAAAGAGTAACCATGATACGAAAATGATTATCTATGTTTAATGCAATACATAAATAATGCATGAAAAAAAATACAAAACAAATTAAACAAATATGATATACTTATCGTGAAACACCTATTCAGCAGCTTTTAGTGAGATATGAAGTCCTTAACAACCCAGGAGCAGGTCTGCTCATCACACAGGATAAAACCACAATAGTAAATATTTTACAAAGTGAACTTTATTCCATCACCACGGATGGACCAGTCAACGTTTCAACCACGTTAGTCTTTGTCAAGCCTGGCTCTCAATATGCACACAGTGAATATATAGCATTCCAATTAATAAGTGATATGATCCAATGAAACTATTAATTCAAACAAACCACTATAATACAACACAATTACAGGTTACCATAGCAATAAAAATAAAAAAAATTCTTCTTCTGTATGTATATCCAAATAGGATCACGCAAAAATAAAAATAAATTTAAAAAAGTTTGGGGAAGGATGGGAGCAAAAATAATTTTGAAACATTCATAAGAATTAATTTTAATAATATGTAAAGATAATGATTTGAGAATTTGTATATTTATTTTCACCCACATTTTTTAATTTTAATGCCAACGGCTCTCTCTGTGGAGCAGTGAGCTCAGACCAAGTCGTGCATGATTTGTGCTCACTGTGCTTATATACCTAGTAAAAAGTTGTGGTTTAGACAGCAAGAACTTTTATTGCCAGTTTGGCAGCTCTCAGAGACTGGCTTATAGCTGTGGGATTTTTACAAATTGCTGCAGTTCTAGGCCATTCCAGCACAGGTACTCTCTGCATTATCAACTTTGCATTAATGTAAACTTGTGATGGTGCTTAAAATGTCTGTCAGACAAAATTGCAAAGTTGGGAGAATAGATAAGAGAGAGGCGATAACTATTTGGCTTAAAGGGACACTACAGTCACCAAAATTTTTTTATCTTAATAAAGAAGTGCTCTTGGTGTACAGAACATGCTACTGCAGCCTCACTGCTCAATTCTCTGTAATTTAACAGTTAAAGGAACACTCTAGGGTCAGGAACACAACCATGTATTCCTGACCCTATAAAGTTTAACCCACTATTTAGGTGGCTTTCCCCCCACTTAGCCCCCTTAAAAGGAATTAAAACTCACCTTATTTCCAGCGCCGTGCGGGTCGGCCAGCGCTAGCTTCGCCCCTTGGTGACATCATCAGATTTTCCGATTTTTAGCCAATCCAATGCTTTCCCACAGGGAAAGCATTGGATTGGCTAAAATCAGCAAGGGAGCGGGGCCAAACACCGTTTTGGCCAATCAGCACTTCCTCATAGAGGTGCACTGAATAAATGCATCTATGAGGAAAATTCTGCGTCCCCAAGCAAAGCGTGTAGATGCGGAACGGCAGTGCTACCTACTGTGCCAGGAAGCACCTCCAGTGGCCATCTGAGGAGTGGTCACTTGGAGGTGTCCCTAGGGGCAATGTAAACAATGCCTTCTCTCTAAAGGCAGTGTTTGCATTAAAATGCCTGAAGGCATTGATTATACTCACCAGAACAACTACATTAGTAGTTGTTCTGGTGACTATAGCGTCCCTTTAAATCACTTTGTTTATGCAGCCCTAGTCACATCTCCCTGCATGATACTTACACTGCCTCCCTAAACACTTCCTGTAAATAGTTACCTAATGTTTACACTTCCTTTATTTACAAATTCTGTTTAAATTTAGAATGTATTATCTTCTGTTCTGCTAATAGCTTTCTAGACCATGCAGGAGCCTCTCGTATGTAATTAAAGTTCAATTTACAGAGCAGGGGATAACCACTTTTAAAATTCGTAACATCTGGTTGACAATTAAACTTTCTCTTTTTTTCCATGCAGGCTGTGTCAGTCACAGCCAGGGGAGGTGTGGCTAGGGTTGCAGAAACAGAAACAAAAGTTATTTAACTCCTAAATGGCAGATAATTGAGTATTGAGACTGCAGGGGCATGATCTATACACCGAAACTGCTTAATTTAAGCTAAAGTTGTTTTGGTGACTATAGTGTTCACTTAAAGTGGAACTGTCATGTTCATTTTATTTCAGTTTTCCTTTTCCTATGACCTTGAAAGAACACTGTGGCTAGGGCTGTATAAACAGAAACAAAAGTGATTCAACCTTTAAATGTCAGGGACTTGAGTAGCGAGATGGCAAGGGCATGATCGACACACCAAAACTGCTTAATTACACTAGTTTTTTTGGTGCTTAGCATATCCCTTTAAAGAAAAAAAAGAAAAAATCAGAATCCATTGTGATTTCACATGCACATTAGCATCTAACTCCACTTTCTGTGGCTGTCAAATCATAGACTTCCCAATGCACCTCAACAAGAAGTGTTTGCAAGGCAGGTGCTCTGGGCAAGGATACAAACTGCTTTAGGTGTGTGGAGCGTCCCTCTGACAAATAAATAAGTAGAAACTGAAGATACTTACATCTTTGTTTTCTAGAATTTCTTGCCTTTTCTGTGGTTCCACTTCCACGAGATCAGCATCATCTCCAGATGATCCAAAATCAGGACCACTCATAGGCAGCGGATCCAAACTCTGCAGCCATAAAACAGTATATATATTTACCAATGGAAACAGTGAAGAACATACGCATGCCACCAACAAACCAATGCTTACTGTGGCATCACACACAGACTGCCATAAATATCGATGTTGACAGCACATCGTCTCTCTGTAAACCCAGCTACAATCATCTATGCAAAAGTCTCAGCTCTATCACTCTCTGTAAATGTACCATGTGATTGGCTTACTACCATAGAAAGAAGCTCATAAACAATCAGGTTTAATCACCAAACAGAGAATTGTTATGTTTCTTTTATAAGAAAAGGGCACATTTTACTCCAAAACAAGGCTGGTAAAAGTGGTCATGTGGAGAAATTCTCCAACTTAGCTAAAACATGTTTGGATATTTTAGTCTGAATTTCTAAACTTGGCATTTAGTGGAGGAAACAACGTGTCATTTATATAGACTGGTTTCTAAAAACATTTATTGTAGTTTAAAGGGACAAAAAAGTCATCTGAACAACTACAGCTTATTGTATTTGTTCTGGTGAGTAGAATCATTATCTTCAGGCTTTTTGCAGTAAGCACTGTCTTTTTAGAGAAAATGCAGTGTTTACATTGCAGCCTAGTGATAATTCCACTGGCCACTTCTCAGATGGCTACTAGTGCGCAGCACTGACATTCAGTGTGTCCTCCCTCTGCATGGAGACACTGGACTTTCCTCATAGAGATGCATTGATACAATGCATCTCTATGAGGAGATGCTGATTGGCCAGGGCTGTGTTTGGCTTTGCCCCCGATCTGCCTCCTTGACAGTCTCAGCCAATCCCATGAGAAAGCATTGTGATAAACTCAGAGTATCACTTCTGATAATGTCAGCCAAGCAGGCAGATCAGGGGCAGAGCCAGCGGCTGCAGACTTGAACAAAAGTAATTGTACTATAGTTAGCAGGGCTAGATGGTGGTTTTAACGCTATAGTGTCAGGAATACATGCTATTCCAGTTATATATTTATATTAATAAAGGAAAACAGAAGTAAAACCACTATTTCATATAGACAACACCGTGTCAAAAATGAATAAAAAGTGTATTATATATAAAAAAAAAATACACACACACACTTAACACAGTGTCCAGTGGTTGTGAATATAATAAAATAAATTATCGGCTTCAGGGTGCCAGTACTGGCTTTGGTAGATGTCTACAGGTAAGGCAGGCAGGCAAGATGTAGTTTCCAAAACAATTTATTAGAGATAATATAAAATCAGGATACAAACAAAAGCAGTGTGTAATAACAAGGATATACACTATTGCAAGAAGTCCTTATAAAATATACAGCAAACGCGTTTCGACAAAAGTCTTCCTCAGTGCCATGTTGATAGATGCTGACTGCTCTCCTTTTGTATGATTTAGTTGATTGCCGAAATCAATTCACCCACCGATATGTCGGTTTACTTCCAGGTCCCGTGTCACTTCCGGTCACGTTTGTGCGTCAGTTTGCCGTCGTTGTGACGTCATTTCCAGTCTAGTATTGATCAAGTCTCTCTTTGATAGGAAGTGCTGCGGCATCCGTATTATAAGTGGGTAATCATGCCCACAATTGGAATAATATAATGCTTGAAGTGTTCTGGGGACTTAAATTAGATCTATCAACAACTAATATCTATCAACATGGCACTGAGGAAGACTTTTGTCGAAACGCGTTTGCTGTATATTTTATAAGGACTTCTTGCAATAGTGTATATCCTTATTACACACTGCTTTTGTTTGTATCCTGATTTTAGATTATCTCTAATAAATTGTTTTGGAAACTTCATCTTACCTGCCTGCCTTACATGTAGACATCTACCGATGCCAGTGATATTAACCCCGTGGTGCCCGGTGTCAGTGATATTAACCCCTTACTGACCCGGTGTCAGTGATATTAACCCCGTGGTGCCCGGTGTCAGTGATATTAACCCCTTACTGACCCGGTGTCAGCGATATTAACCCCTTACTGACCCGGTGTCAGCGATATTAACCCCCGTGGTGCCCGGTGTCAGCGATATTAACCCCCGTGGTGCCCGGTGTCAACGATATTAACCCCGTGGTGCCCGGTGTCAACGATATTAACCCCGTGGTGACGATATTAACCCCGTGGTGCCCGGTGTCAGCGATATTAACCCCGTGGTGCCCGGTGTCAGCGATATTAACCCCGTGGTGCCCGGTGTCAGCGATATTAACCCCGTGGTGCCCGGTGTCAGCGATATTAACCCCGTGGTGCCCGGTGTCAGCGATATTAACCCCGCGGTGCCCGGTGTCAGCGATATTAACCCCTTGGTGTCCGGTGTCAGCGATATTAACCCCTTGGTGCCCGGTGTCAGTGATATTAACCCCTTGGTGCCCGGTGTCAGTGATATTAACCCCTTGGTGCCCGGTGTCAGTGATATTAACCCCGTGGTGCCCGGTGTCAGTGATATTAACCCCTTACTGCCCGGTGTCTGATATTAACCCCTTACTGGCCCGGTGTCAGTGATATTAACCCCGTGGTGCCCGGTGTCAGTGATATTAACCCCTTGGTGCCCGGTGTCAGTGATATTAACACCTTACTGCCCGGTGTCAGTGATATTAACCCCTTACTGACCCGGTGTCAGTGATATTAACCCCGTGGTGCCCGGTGTCAGTGATATTAACACCTTACTGCCCGGTGTCAGTGATATTAACCCCTTACTGACCCAGTGTCAGTGATATTAACCCCTTACTGACCCAGTGTCAGCGATATTAACCCCTTACTGGCCCGGTGTCAGTGATATTAACCCCTTACTGACCCGGTGACAGTGATATTAACCCCGTGGTGCCCGGTGTCAGCGATATTAACCCCTTACTGACCCGGTGTCAGCGATATTAACCCCTTACTGGCCCGGTGTCAGTGATATTAACCCCTTACTGACCCGGTGACAGTGATATTAACCCCTTGGTGCCCGGTGTCAGCGATATTAACCCCTTACTGCCCTCAGGCCCCGGAGAGGTCACCCTGCAGCCCTCCCCCCCCCGCGGCCCTCCCCCGGCCCGCTCTCCCCGCTGTACCCGGGCCTGCACGGTTCCCATGTCGCTCTGTGTCCGATCCCGGGGGTCACCTCACACACAGCGCTGTCAGACAGGACTGGGCGCCGCCATGACAGACAGCCAGAACCACGCCCACACCGCACGTCACGTCGGACACGCCCATACTCTGCGACGGCGCCAGAGAGAACCATGGCAACAAACCACGCCCCCATAAACACGCCCACCGACCCTGCTCAGCGCGCAATGACGCTCGGGTAAACCACGCCCACTGAGAATTCTCCCGCCCTGCCGAGTGACGTCATCGCGGCTCTGCAAAGTCTAAAAACAGCCCTAGAGCCCGGGATCAGCACACAGACACAATAAATAATAATTAATAATAATAAATAATAATAAATAATAATATTAAATAATATTAAATAATAATAATAATATTAGATAATAATAAATAATAATTAATAATAAATAATAATAATAATTAATAATAATGATAAATAATTTATAATAATAAATAATAATAAATAATAAAATATAATAATAATAATTAATACTAATATATAATATATAATAATAAATAATATATAATAATAAATAATAATATATAATAAATAATAATAAATAATATCCAGCACACAGACACAATAAATAATAATAATAAATAATAATAAATAATAATAATATATAATAAATAATAATAATATTAAATAATAATAATAAATAATAATATCCTGCACACAGACACAATAAATAATAAATAATAATAAATAATAAATAATAATATATAATAAATAATAATATTAAATAATAATAATATTAAATAATAATAATAAATATATAATTATAAATAATATATAATTGTAACGGACCGTTTTGCACACAAGGGGTAAAAACCGTTTAGGCGATCGTCCCCCTTTCCGGAGATGCAGGCACAGCTATTGTAAAACACCAAACACACGAACCGCCAATAAGTGAATGCTCCAAACTCCCGAACGGCATCCAATATAGCACTCCAAACACACGAACTGGAACCATACGAATCGCTGCTAGCAGACGAATAGGAAAAGCATCCAAGCGGCTTACACTCCTAGCAATCAGTCTCTATCAGCAGTCAGTAAATCCCCCCAAAGACGAGACAAGGCTCCGTGTTGAGGGTCGAGCAGTGGTCTGTTTAATGAGGGCTACCTACCCAGTATTTATGCAGGTCTCCCACCTGGTGGACACTCCCCTAGGGGACCAAAGGGGAGACTGTGACAAGGGACAGACAAGCAGACAAATAGGACACACAGTCACAGTATATTCCCACAATGCATCCTGGCTTCCTCCCCTCTGCCTTGGAGATAATTGAGAAGTAATTCAATTATCTCCCAAGACAAAGGCAAATCGCCATTATGCACGTGGGGATACTAAAACAGGAATTACTATTAAAATACAATAATGTGAGACACATTACATTAAAACTATACATTTTACATGTCCCCAGATAGCTCAGGTCTGAGCACACATTATTAAGCGAATGGCGCTCAGACCACACAAATACAGTTTAATCGCCATGGAGCCAAAGTCTTTACAGTCAGTTTCATGCGAATGGGCTCCATGGGATTACTATCTGGGGCATAACACATTCAAACAAAACTACCGAACACCGGGCCGTTCGTGCACTTTCACCGAACAAGAAGGGAGGTCGGCGGCTTCAGAAAACTGTGTCCGTTTTCCGTTCCGTGAATTAAGCGTCGAACACCGCTGTGCGTTCGAATGTTTAACAATAATAATAAATAATAGAAGAATGCTAAATAATATACTAATAAATAATAATAATAAAAATAATAATAATAATATCCAGCACCAGACTCAGCAATAATAATAATAATTAAATATAATAATAATAATAATCTCCAGCACCCAGACACAACAACAATAATAATAATAATAATAATAATAATAATAAATATAATAATAAATAATATAATAATAACATCCAGCACCTAGACACAACAATAATAACAATAATAATACTAATAATAACAATAATAATTAATAATAATAATATCCAGCACCCAGACACAATAATAATAATATAATAATAATTAATATATTATTATTAATAATAATTAATAATAAATAATAATAATATCAGCACACAGACACAATTATAATAAATAATATAATAATAATAATAACATCCAGCACCCAGACACAACAACAATAATAATAATATAATAATAAATAATAATATCCAGCACCCAGAGATAATAATAATTAATATAATAATAATAATAATATAATAATAACATCCAGCACCCAGACATAATAAGATTAATAATAATAATATCCAGCACTCAGACATAATAAAAATAAATAATAATAAATAATAATATTGATCATTAATAATAATAACATCCAGCACCCAGACATAACAATAATAAATAATAATAATAATAATAATAATAATAATATCCAGCACCCAGACATAATAATAAATAATAATAAATAATAATATTAATCATTAATAATATTAACATCCAGCACCCAGACACAACAATAAATAATAATAATAATAATAATAATAATAATAATAATAACATCCAGCACTCATACACAATGGTAATAATAATAATATGAATAATTATAATAACATCCAGGACCCAGACATAATAATAATAATAATAATAATAATAATATTAATAATAATAATATCAAGAACCCAGACATAATAATAATAATAAATAATAATAATAATATTAATAATATTAATAATTAATAACATCCAGCACCCAGACATAATAATAACATCCATCACCCAGACATAATAATAATATTAATAATAAATAACAATAATAACAACATGCAGCACCCAGACACAATGATAATAATAATAATAATAATAATAATAATAATTAGTAATAACATCCTGCGACCTGACATAATGATAATAATAATATTAATAATAATTAATCATAATAACATCCAGCACCCAGACACAATGATATTAATAATAATAATAATAATAATAATACTAATAATAATAATAAATAATAATAATAATAATAATAATAACATCCAGCACCCAGACACAATGATAATTATAATAATAATTGTAACGGAACTGCTGGCACCCCGACCAGGCAGCTTCCGCTGACGGATGCTCCTAGTGCTTCCCAAGGGCTCCAAGCACTCCACTAGACACCATAACCAGCGCAGACCCCACGAACCGCCGCAGCTTGGTTGGGGTCTCGCCATCTTCCTCATACTCTGAGCACAAGACCAGGGACCAGCTTCCAGTAAGCAGACCTCTCCTAAATCCAGAGAGCAGGAACAAGCTCTTACAAGAGCTTACTCTGGGGAGTATAGTGATTATAGCAATCCCCGGAGTGTAGGTAGTTCTCCAATCCCCCAAACATGAGCCGAAACTTCATGAAGGGTAGAACAAGTCTGTTTAATGAGCACAAAGGCATTTTTTTTATACACATTTTCCCCACACGGTTACTACCCACGTGGACCTTGTGGAGCACAGGACACAAAGGACACAAACCAATCAACACAGTATTGTACAGTTAGACACTCCCAGCTAATGTACACAAACCCTCCCCTCTGCCTGTGATAAAATTACCAAACACAATGGACTATTTCAATTATCACAGGCAGAGAATTTAAATTTTTAACCAAAGTCCAGAAACACCCCAAAACACAAATATATCCCCATAAATCCTACATCCCCGGATAGCCCTGATCTGGGTGAACAACATATCCAAAAATCTCCCAAATCAGAGCAGGGGTTTAAAAGTTTTATGGAAGTCACATTTGACCGACCGCAAGCATGGCTTTCATGCCCAAAACAGTTCCACAGATTTAAGCTGTGCGGCCAGTCTATCTTCTCCTCTACCCTGGAGATAATTGGCTTAAGTGGCTGTGGTAACTTAATTATCTCCAGGTACAGGAAATATCTCTAAGTCCAAAAACTGTTACAAAAAACACATAAAAATACATAACTCTTATAATACAATCAATGAAGGCGCTGTGTTTGTGAAGGCGCTGTGTGTGAAGGTGCTGTGTGTGTAAGGGTGCTGTTAATGTGTGCTGTGTGTGTGTATGTGTAAGGGTGCTGTTAGTGTGTGTGTGTGAGGGTGCTGTGTGTGTAAGGGTGCTGTTAGTGTGTGCTTTGTGTGTGTGGGTAAGGGTGCTGTGTGTGTGAGGGTGATGTTAGTGTGTGTATGTGTAAGGGTGCTGTGTGTGTAAGGGTGCTGTTAGTGTGTGATGTGTGTGTGTAAGGGTGCTGTGTGAGGGTGTTGTGTGTAAGGGTGCTGTTAGTGTGTGTATGTGTAAGGGTGCTGTGTGAGGGTGCTGTGTGTAAGGGTGATGTTAGTGTGTGTATGTGTAAGGGTGCTGTGTGTGTAAGGGTGCTGTTAGTGTGTGCTGTGTGTGTAAGGGTGTTGTTAGTGTGAGGGTGCTGTTAGTGTGTAAGGGTGATGTATGTGTATGTGCTGTATGTATGTGTGTTATGTGTGGAGGCCGTTTAGTTAATATCCTCCCTCCCTTCTTACCTTATGTAGGGATGGGGGACCGTGCTCCTGCCTTCCCTGGTGGTCCAGTGGAGAGTGAACTCTAGCCCCCGTGGGGCTAGAGTTAACTCTCGCGAGATCTGAGCATTGCCGTGGTAACCGTGGCAACGCTCCGACCGCGTGAGAGTAACCCGGCGGAGCTGCTGGCAAGAGCTCCCCGGGTCCTCTCCTGCCTCCCTCACTGCCTGTGGGTCGGAGGGAGGCACATAGCGCGTGCCGCGGGGATTAGGGTGTGCCTAGGCACACCCGGCACACCCCGTGCGCACGCCTATGAATACTATGTTTAAAGGACCACTATGCCCCCACCCTCTCCCGCCAGGCTCTGGGGAGAGGAAGGGGTTAAACTTACCTCTTTCTCCAGCGCCGGGCAGGGAGCTCTTCTCCTCCTCTCCACCTCCTCTCCTCCTCTTCGGCTGAATGCGCATGCGCGGCAGGAGCTGCGAGCGCATTCAGCCAGTCTCCTATGAAAGCATTCATAATGCTTTCCTATGGACGCTTGCGTCTTCTCACTATGATTTTCATAGTGAGAAGCATGCAAACTCCTCTAGCGGCTGTCAATGAGACAGCCACTAGAGGCTGGATTAACCTATTTATAAACATAGCAG